CACCAGCAGAACCGCAGCTTCCAGCTGCCCAGATGCCTGCCTGCAACCCCTACTCCCCGCTCCCCGCTCTGGGAAAGACCCCCCAAGCTCTCTGTACAGCCGTACTGTTAGAACGGGCCAGCCTCAGTGTTCACTATTATAAGTTTACATTTGGCAGAGTCTATCTGCATAAAGGAGTTCAAAGCAACCCTGGGTCAGGAGAGAAAGGGAGGGAAGGAGGGAGGGAGGGAGGGAGAGAGAGAGAGACAGAGAGAGAGAGAGAGAGAGACAGAAAGAGAGAGTGTCAGAGAGAGAGAGTCTGCCATAGTGGTGGTGGGGCAGGAGGAAAGTGGCACATTGGTGATGGGAAATGTACACTGGTGAAGTGACAGTGTTGAAACACTGTAGGACTAAAACCCAATCAGGAACAACTTTGTAACTTTGTATCTCAGGGTGATATGAGCTTCTATCCTGCCTGCCTTAGGCTCCCTGTCCCCATGAGATACTGCCGTAATGGGGGGACCTACCTTTTCTCAGGGCTAGTCTATTCCGCCCCTTGCTGCACCCACCTGCCCTCTGTGAAAGGGGGCTCTGCTCTGCCATCTCCCCAGTGCTCAGGTGGGTCAAGGGAAGCCCAGACAACTCGCTAGCACTGGCCCGGCATGGGTGCTTCCCTTCTGCCCGGGATGGGTCCTCACCTCCCCCTACCCGGGCTGGTCTGGGAGGGAGCACCGTCTCTCTGCCTCCCTTTTGCAATGTCCAGATTCTGCTCATCACTCCACTTCTACTCCCCGCGGTGGGTGCCCAGGTCTGGCCCTCCAGTCTCCTGCCAGGCCACGCTCCTCCTTCCAGAAAAGTTTAGTGCCCCCAGCCCAGCTCTGCCTCACTCAGCATTCTTACTGTTCGCCGTCCCCACATGCTCCCAGCACTCTGGTCTCTGCATTCCCTGTGTCCTTGACTCTGCCATTAGTTGTGATTCTTTTTTAAAAAAATAATTATTGAATCACCATAAATCATCAAGTTATTCATGGTTGAGTTTCATGGTTGAGTGCAATGATAGAGCGTCCATTCCTTCACCCATGTCCTCTCCCCTCCACCAGTGTGCCCAGTGTCCCGCCGGCCCCATCCTGCCTCTCTGGCAGACTCTCTCTCCTTTTTCTTTTTTCCCCTTTAGGTGTGGTGGTTTGCAATACTGTTACTGAAAGGGTATCACGCATATCACATTACCTCCTTTCAGCTGTGATCGCTTCTTTTCTTGGTAGGGGGGTATACCAGGCAGTACTCAAGGGGTCACTCTCAGCTCTGCACTCTGGAATTGCCCTGATGATGCTCATGGGACCATGTGAGATGCCCTAAGGGGTGCCGGGGATTGAACCTGAGTCGGCTGAGGCTCCCTCCCCACTGTGCTCTCGCTTTGGGGCCCGTGATCACATCTTAGGCTCGCTTTCCCCACGGCCTCATCCCTTCAACTCACACTGCTGGGACTCAGTTCCAGAGCCTCCCAGTACTCCCCTCCCTCAGGACTCCATTCCACTCCTTCCCTGGCCCCGTGTCCAAGGCCACTGTTAATGTGACTCCCTTGCATGCACCTCTGAGCCACTCGTCTTTCCTCAGACTTGCTTGGGGAACTCCCAGCAATCCAACTCGCTGCCCTTCCACAGCTGTGCCACCCAGAGGAATATATCATAGGGAGGTGGACCAGGAGTCAGTTGCTTGGCTGCAATCAAGGGGTGGGGGCTCCCCAAGCTCTTCTCAGGAGGCCATGTGCATGTTTATGCATGCATGTGTGCATGTGTGTATGCACATGTGTGCACATGTGTGCATGTATGTGCACGTGCACGTGTGTGCTTGTGCGTGTATTCATGCATATGTGTACACGTGTGTGCATGTGCATGTGTGCATGTGTTTGTGTGCATGTGAATGTATATGCGTGTGTATGTGTTTGTGTGTGTGCACGTGTGTATGTGTGCGTACATGCATGTGTGCATGTGTGTATATGTGTGTGCATGTGCTTGTGCTTGTGTGTGCATGTGTGTGAGAGTGTGTGTGCACACTCTCAGCATTGCTTAGGGGTATTTCCTTGTTATGTTGGGGGACTACATGTGGTGTGGGGGGTGGGCCCCAGTGCCCTATCCCCTGTCCTGTCTCTTCCGCCTGGGCCGTTTTCTTGACTCCAGCGATGTGCCCCCTCCTGTAGCCCACCCTTCCTTACCTCCTGCTCCTCTCACACTCACCCCCCAGCTTCTCATGCAGGCCACCTCTAGACCGGAGCATCCCAGGGCTCAGTCCTCGGGGCTCCCTCCCACATGTGCCTTTGCTGACCGGGTTCTGCGCCTGTGGGCTCTCTCTGTGTAGGTGTTTCCCACCTGTCTCCAGGCGCCCCCGTCTGATGGACAGCTCCACCTCACGTGGCCACGCCCAGCTCCTGACTCCTTGCCCAGTTCTGCCCATCCTTTGTTGCACCCACTGTCTTCTCATCATTCTTTAGCTTTCCACCAAGCTCCGTCCAGACCGTTGGGTTATCCCCTCGGTTCCCCTCCAATCAGCAGCTCTAACTGGCCTGCCCTGGGGACTGCTCCCCCCATCAGAGCCCCCCCCCCTTGTCCTGATGTCCGGGTCTTCCTCCTAACTGGCCTTGTGGTGCTGTTTCTTTGCTGCTTCTCTACTTGCTGTCTCCCCCACTGTTTTTGATGCAGGGGTCAGAGGGGTCCTGCTAAAACAGAAGCCGGGTCCAGAGCGTTGGTGCCATGGGTTGAGCATGTGCTATGTCTGCAGGAGTCTGGGATTTGGGGTGCTGCATGGCCCCAGCTCCCCGAGCACAGAGCAGGGAGGAATAGCTCCGAGCACTGTAAGGCCTGGCCCCAGATCATAGCACGGGACTCCTGGACTCAACACTTGCTCCCCTTGCCCCCCAGCTGTCTCTCCCACTCTGACACTCTCCCCATCCCCCCTCACTGACCACCTTCCTGGACTCTGCACCTGCAGTGTCCTTTCCCCTGATGCTCTCTGCCCTGTTCCCTCTCTCCCTCTGCTCAGATGTTGCCCTCCCAGGAAGGCCTCTGTCCAATTCTCCTCTCACCCTCCCCTCTGCATCTGTTGCCCCTGGGCTCCTACAGGGCTCATTTGTCATGTTCTCTGACGTGTCTCCAGCTTTGATCTGTGCATGGTAGTTGCTCAGCAAATATTTGCTGAACCTCTGGAGCGAGAGCAGAGTTTTTAGGGTAGGAGGAAGGCTGGAGCCCAGCAGGACTTTTAAATCAGAACAATCTTGCAGCTAAGTCCAGACTGGAAGTACCCATGTCCACTTTTCATCTACCCTTCCTGCTCTTATCCATATCTGAACCCTTCCCTTCCCTTCCCTTCCCTTCCCTTCCCTTCCCTTCCCTTCCCTTCCCTTCCCTTCTCCCCCTCCCCTCCCTTCTCCCCCCTTTCCTCCCCTCCCCTTCCCTTTCCATTCCCTTTCCTTCCCTCTTCCTTCCCTTCCCTTCCCTTCCCTTCCCTTCCCTTCCCTTCCCTTCCCTTCCCTTCCCTTCCCTTCCCTTCCCTTTTCTTCCTTTCCCTTCCCTTCTGTCTCCCTTCCCTTCCCCTCCTTTCTCTTCCCTTCCCTTCTTCCCTTTGCTTCTTCCCTTCTCTTCCCTTCCCTCCCCTTCTCTTCCCCACCCTTCCCCTCCCCTCCCCACTCCTCTCCTTCTCCCTCTATCCCCTCCCCTCCCCTTTTCTTTGGTTCCCCTAAGCAGGGATGGGAGGCACAGAGCTCCCAGGCATACCCCGAAGGCCCTGGGGGCCCCATTGGCTATTCTCAGCCATCTGGACAGTTGTTCAAAGCAAGATCCCAGGCATATGGCGCTGCTCATTTCTTGTGGCTCAGGCCGTAGGGCCACAGCCAGCAGTCCTGGGGCCCCTAGCAGTGCACCCAGAGGTGATTGGGGACCATGTGGCTCTGGAGACCGCACCTGGGCCTGGCACTTGACAGCTGTATTAATCTCCAGTCCATCATTTTACTGCGTCTGGGCCACACCTGTCAGTGCTCAGGGCTCTTCTGTGCTCGGGTATTGCTCACGAGGTGCTGGGCATCAAACCTGGCCTTGCTGTAAGCAAAGTGCACTCCCGCTTTGAGCAAGCTCCCTGCGCCTGTCTGAAGAAGCCGCTGCTTTCTTTCTTGGGTGGGGTGAGCTCCCTAAGTGGTGCTCAGGGACCTGGGTCCACTCCTGTCAATCCTTGGCCAGTCAAGCCCGTGTTTCAATACCGGGGCCCAAGGATGTGATGCTGCGTGAGTGTGTGCTTCCCGGGATGACAGTGCCACTAACCCTGACAGAGCCACATCTGGCCACATGTGGGTGCCAGGGATGGAATCCAGGCTTGCATGTGCCCAGCCACCCACCCTCGCTCTCTGACCCTGAAGAATCTCGGTGCCACGAGTGTGAATTTGCATTTGAGTCTTCCCCCAATGCCCAGGCTCACGGGGCAGGCTCAGGGCTCGGGGCAGGTGCGGGATTTCCTGTTTCAAGTTCCGAGTAGGGGAGTGGAGTACACAGACTCCCCGGCATCTGCCAGGCACCCCTCACTCTCACAGTCCTGACTTCATGGAGTTTTCAGCCACGACCTTTCCCGCATGCTGGAGCGGAGAGTCATGGCTATTTAGACTGATCCTTCGTGCGGGCATGTTTCTCCCCAATACGTGATTTTTCACCTAACCAGCTTCTGGGGACTGTGTTCATTCACACACACGACGCTTGAGAGGAAGACGTGCAAGCTGTGCATCTGCTGGTCTTGCTAAAGGGGGGCAGTGATGCCCCGGCATGTTCTCCCAGGAAGTGTATGCGGTCGGCCAGGAGGCCCGGCGAGTGGAGGGGTGGTGGTGGAGGAACTCAGGCTGCGTCTCAGGGCTGCCTGGTCCCTGCTCTGGCGCAGAGCAAGACACACGCTCAGCCCCCCCCCCCCCACCTCCTGTCTGTTGCTCGGGGCGCGGGAGCCTGTGCCTCTGACCGGGAGACCCTATGCCCCCCAGGCAGCCTCCCAGGATGACGGACTCTCCTGACTCGATGGGGAAGGCCACGAATGTGACACTCGAGCAATGTTTCCAGGCCCAGAACACCGTCCTGCAGGGCCAGCCTTTCGGCGGTATCCCCACCGTGCTGCTCATCAACGTGCTCAGTTGGCTGGTATGTCGTGGGCTGGTATGTGTGGGAGGTGGGGTGGTGGGGTGGAGCTGAGCCCGATGGTTGGACTTGTATGAAGGATGAGGCAGGAGGTGCTTTGTCCAGACAGATGCCAGCCACTGTAGTGGCACAAGAGGAGTCACATCTGCTGGAGGACAGCCTGGAGGGGGCTTCAGGGCAGCGAGGGGCTGTAGGGACAGGCAAGAATCCTAGGAGCCAGGGTCCCAGGGCCTGCCGGTAGTTCTTGGGGTTCCTTCTGTCTCCCCTTGCTAATTTCTCCTGTGTGTGTCCTTATCCTGGGCTGGAGTGATAGCACAGAGGTAGGGCATTTGCCTTGCAAGTGGCCAACATGGCCAACCCGAGTTTGATTCCTCTGCCCCACTCAGAGAGCCCGGCAAGCTACCGAGAGTATCTCGCTCGCGCGGCAAAGCCTGGAAAGCAGCCGTGACGTATTCGATATGCCAAACTCAGTAGCAATTGTCACAATGGAGACATTACTGGGCCCACTCGAGCAAATCGATGAACAACAGGGGGACAGTGACAGTGACAGTGTCCTTATCCCATAGATGCTCGGTTACCAGTGTCCCCCTCCAGCCCAGAGCCTCCATTGAGGGTCACCAGGCTTTCCAGCACCGGAAATCTGCTGGAAAAAGACACAAACTCCGCTGAACTCAGTCACACTGACCACCCCAGGGAACCCCGGGGGGACATAGGGGCGACTCAGGGAAAGCCACCCTCAACCTCTCTGACCCTGTCTTGTTTCTCCTGGCCTGTAGCTCATCATTCTGGTTTACTCCTTCCTCCGAAAAGCTGCATGGGACTACGGGCGCCTGGGACTGCTGATACACAATGACAGGTGAGGAGGGCGGAGTGCGCTGTTACGATGGGCACCTGCACAGCACAAATGGCTCCTCTCTGGCCCCGTCCCAGGCTGCGGGTGGTAAGGGGGAGGGAGCCTCTCCAGGCCCCGGTTTGCTCACACCTCAGGCTCTCTGCGTCCCCCGACCCCTCGAAGTGCGTGCCTCCATCCCCGGAAGTGGAGGGGGATGAGCATCTGTGCCCAGAGCTTGGATGCATCCCCGAGTAGACGTGGCCCCCACGCCCACCCCTGCCCCGTGTGGGTCAGAGAATGAGGTACAGCCCTGAGGCTCGTCTCTTCCTGTCTCCACAGCCTGACGTCCCTGGTCTTCGGGGATCAGAGCGAGAAGTCGTCTCCAGACATCTCTCTGGAGATGGAGCAGAAGGACAAGGTGAGTGGAGGCTGGTGGGCTGGCGGGGGGAGCTGCGATGTGGGAAGGGAGGGGGGAGATAATCTTTTTTTAAATTTTAATTAGTGAAACACCATGAGGTACAGTTGTAGACTTACAAATTTTTGTGCTTGGGTTTCAATTATACAACGATGAAATACCCATCCCTTCACCAGCGCCCATCCTCTACCACCATGGGTCCCAGTATCCCTCCCACCCCCCATTCCCCCATCCCACCCTGCCTCTGTGGCAGGGCATTCCCTTTTGTTCTCTCTCTCCTTTTGGGTATTGTGGGAGAAACATGCTGAAAGTAGACTATAGACCAAACATGATTGCCACTCAATGCCTCTTTTGCAAACGATAATCTTTTTTTAATGATATTTTTTTTGGCATTTTGGGTCACACCCAGCGATGCTCAGGGGTTACTCCTGGCTCATGCACTCAGGAATGACTCCTGGTGGTGCTTAGGGGACCATATGGGATGCCAGGGATCGAACCCCAGGTTGGCTGCATGCATGGCAAATGCCCTCTCCACTGTGCTATCATTCTGGCCCCGGGAGATCATCTTTAAGGGACCTGGGGGTTGACCAGCAGACCCAACCCCATGAGCACATTCTTCGCCAAGCCTTGGTCTCCCCACCAGAGAGATGGAGCGACAGTCTGGGGTGCCTGCCGCTGTGTTTCCAAGGGGCTCTCCTCGCCTCGGAAGAGCCTCCGTGTTGTGTTTGAGATGCCTGGAGCTCCGCAGTCTGAGAAACAGACTGAGGTTTCTCCTGCCATCTCCTGCCCCGGAGTGGTGTTTGGTGGGATTCTCATTCTTTGGTCACTGGGGAGATTTCGATTTCCTGAGGTTGACACGGCAAAGGTCTATGTGGTTGCTGCAGGGCGCTGGTGGAGAATTTATGTTCCCCCGACATCACCCTGGAGGTCGGGCAGCATGTCCAGGAGATGAGCTTTTTTAAAAAAAATTTATTTTAATTAATCAACATAAGATATAGTTACAGAGTTATAAACTTTCGTGATTATGTTTCAATCAAATAATGTTCAAGTACCCATCCTTCCACCAGTGCCCATTCTCCACCACCAATGTTCTCAGTATCCCTCCCACCACCCCCACCCCTTTCCACCCCCTGCCTCTGTGGCAGACACAATCCCTCTTACTCTCTTTCGCTCTCCTTTTGGGTGTTATGGTTTGCAACTAAGCAATCATTATGTTTGATCTATAGTCTACTTTCAGCATGCATCACCCATCCCAAGCAATCCCTCCAACCATCATTTACTTAGTGGTCTCTTCTCCATCCCACCTGCCTTTTTGTCTTGTCCCGCAGGACTAGTCAACATGGGTAACAGGGAGAGGATGCGAGGGTGAAAGAAAGAGACAGACAGCTGGATTATAGTATAGTGAGTCGAAGCTGCTTTATTGAAAATTCAACAGCACTTATATACGTTGAGCTTAAACTTTTTTTCCTCAAAGCTTTGGGACAAAGGCAGATCTTTTTTTCCCCCAGCCCTCACCTTGAGGCTTTAAATTAATAATTTTCTTTTTTCTGTGTGTGGGGGGTCACACCCAGCAATGCACAGGGGTTACTCCTGGCTCTGCACTCAGAAATTACTCCTGGTGGTGCTCGGGGGACCATATGGGATGTTGGGAATCAAACCCTGATAGGCTGCGTGTAAGGCAAACACCCTACCCACTGTACGGTTGCTCCAGCCCCTAATTGAATTATTCTCTGTTAAGTCACCTTCTCACAGCCCCAGTCCTACCCCAAGACCTTTTTCCAGACATCAGACAGGACCCCCTCAACCTCTTGTCCATCACTTGCTCTGCCCTTGGAACTGGAGTTCCTCCTTCCCTTCCCTGTTGCACCCCTCTCTTCACCCCCAGATTGTTTCCTGGCCTGCTGCTCTGGAGCACGTGCAGAGGGCCGGTCACTGGGCTGGGCACTGGGCACTGAGCACAGGCAGCTGGCATGGAGGCCTTGAGGAGGGGGGCGCTCAGCAGTGGTGGGAGGAGCCTGGCAGCGGGCAGGGCAGTCTTGGGCCTAAGGTGACTCCTGACTGGGCTGGGGAGGTAGGGGACAAAGGCAGATAAGGGTAGTCATGGGACAGATGGGGGAAGATAACAGACTATCAGGGGCTCTTCAGAAGGCTACTCATTAAATCACAGGCTGACATCAAGAATATCACATACTGTTTTATAGTTCCTGTTGGCCAACCATCCTTGCCTTATAAGGCAAGAAGGCACTTGCCTGGCACATCTCCAGCCCGTATTTGCTGTCCAGCACCCCAGAGGGTCCCCCCGAGTCTGACCAGGGGTGATCCCTGAGTGCAGAGCCAGGAGGACGCCCTGAGTGTGGCCCCAAAGCCACAGGAAAATAAGATACTCCAGGGAACCTGAGTGTAACTGAGGGAAGCGTCCTAGACGTCCCCCCTCACACCCCCATACTTTTATGCCCCCCTCACCCCATCCCAGCAAAACTCTCAAGAGACTGCCTCACTTCCCCTTCCTCAGCCCCTCAGATGTAGGCACCTCCCGGTCACCTTGTCACCTCACCCAGGACCTCCCCCAGGTCACCCCAGAGCCCTGCTGTGACAGGCACTCTCTTCAGTGTCCACCTTCTTCAGACACATCTGCCCTGGGGGGCCCCAACAGGCACTTCTGCCCGTCCCTTCCGGTCTCTTCTACCTCTGCTCCACCTGCGTCTCCTCCCTGCACCTGCAGTTGCCTGCGGCTGACCCCAGCCTCTCGAACCCCGCTCTCTACTCCTCTGGTATCCCTGTCCCCCACCCTTACATACCCACGGGCTCCTGGGTGGATTCTGGGACCCACTGCCCAGTGCATCATTCTCAGACCCCAGCGGGCAGGCAGGGCTGCTGAGGACTCAACTGAGGGGCCCTTGGCGTCTCCAGCCTTCCACAGCTCAGGACCAGCTTCTGTCCTGGCGGCATCCGTGCCCACCACTGGGAGCAGCAGAGGCTCCACCCTGAGGCTGTCTCCACATCCGCCTGGCCAGCTGCCTCCTTGGGTCCCTCCTGAGCCTCACTACAGATGTCAGGCGCCGCCTGAAGCCTGCTGGTTCCAGGGCCGCTGAGGCCGCAGTGCCCCGGCGCATGGGTTTGCTTCCATGGTTAGCTTGGGGCGCTCCCAAAGGCTCACTCAGGAGCTCAGATTGGAAAGTCGAGGTGTGGGTGGGCTGCCGTGCCCTCTGGGGGGCATCACCGCCAGCACCTCTACTGCTCACCAGCCTGGAAACTCTCCCATGGGGTGTTAGAGAGGCTTCGCCCTGCTTGGGGCACCACAGACAAGCTCCTATCTTGGTGGCGTCCTCCCTGGAATGAGGACCGCAATCCCTACCTTGCAAGGGAATCTCTCTGTCTGTCTGTCTGTCTGTCTGTCTGCTTGGCCGTCTGTCTCTGTCTCTGTCTCTGTCTCTGTCTCTGTCTTCCTCCCTGTCTCTCTCTGTCTGTCTGTCTTACACTCTCTGTCTCTGTCTCTCTCTGTCTCCTTCTCTCTGTCTCTTACTTCGTTCTTTTGGTTGGGAGAGTGGGGAGGGGGCGCACCCAGCAGTGCTCAGGGCTTACTCCTGGCTCTGTGCTCAGGGATCACTCTTGGCAGTGCTTGGGAGACCATATGGGGTGCCAGGGATGGGGATAGCCCAGTGCAAGGCAAGTGTCTTACCCGCTGTACTATTTCTCTGGCCTATGACTTTGATTTTAGATTCATCGCTTTGGTTGTTTACTTGGAATAATAATTTTTTTTAATGGTCACAAAAAGATACTTCTGTCTTTTAAAAAAATTAAGAAGGTAAATTATTTTGGCACAGGTGGGATATTCAAAGGGAAAGGGGTAGAATGTAGAAAAAGGTGGAGAGAGGAGGGTACAGCCAGGATTCGGGGCTCTGTCTGGAGAATCGTACAGGTGAAGCCAGGGTCTTTCCAGCATGCCCTCAGCAGGCCAAGGCTGGCCTGAGCCCCCGGGGCAGGGCGAGAGGGTGGCCCCACTCTGTAGGCTGCAGCAAAAGCACAGGACAACCGAATTGAAAAGGGACTTTATTGCCATGTAAACAGCTGCCCATCAGCGTGGGCTGGAGGAAAAGCTTCCAAGAGAGGGGGTAGGGGGTCTGGCTTTCTGCCCAGCAGAGAGGGTGATGTAACACAGCTCATCCATATTCTGGTTGTTTTACAGGAAACTCAGGCACACTCCGGAGGGGAGGAGGGAGCATGTGCAGTGGAGGAGCGTGCCGTGAGCACACTCCACAGGGACCGAGCACGGTGGAAATGTCACTGTGGGGGTGTTGGGGGTTAGAACAGTGATGGAGAGAGGGGGTGAGTGGAGGGCACTGAGCAGTCCCCACTGGCTGGGATCCCCGCCTCCCAAGACTGCACAAAAGCTTCTTGGAACAGTCAGAGCCAAGAGAATGCAAAGGAAGCTTCCCCCAGAGAGAGGTGGTCGCGCCTTCCACTCTACAGTGGGCAGCAGGTTGCGGCTTTCCCCCCCCCCTTTTTTTTTTATTGATTCACCATGAGATGTGGTTACAAAGCTTTCATGTTTGAGCTTCGATCATACAATCGTCAACACCCATCCCTTCACCAGTGCATATCTTACACCAGCAAACCCCCCCCCCCCCCGTATCCCCTTCTCTCCAATTCCACCCCTTTCCCTGCCTGTGTGGCAGACGATTTGCACAATCCTCTCCTCTCTCTCTACTTTGGTCACATTCAATATTTCGACACCAGTCCCACCACCACTCAAACCTGCTGAAGTCAGTGCTAGACAATTTGTTTGTATTGCTTATTATGGATAAGATATAATCTCTAGGAATTCTAGAATTTTAATAATTAGCGTCTGGAGGCATCTCTGCAGCAAACTGCTCAGTTCCGAGATTTGTGTGTGTGTGTCTCTGGATCATGGCTGTGTGGGAGCTTAAGTAGCCAGTGGCTGTATGTGGGCGTCATCTCAGAGTCCCATTGGGGTGGAAGACGGGGAGGGGGGAGGAGAAGGGCCAACCCCACCCCTGTCCTGTGAGACCTGGAGTTTCCCGCCACTGCCACCACATACCTGGAGCTTTTGTTGAGTTCTAGAAGATGGCAGCCGCTGGGATTCCTAGGGGGCAGGTAGGCTCCAGATGGGAGCACCTGCTCCCATTTGGAGTGGCCCAGCAAAAGGGGTCTATTGCAAAATCTGGAGGCATCTCTGCAGCAAGCCGCTTGGTTTCGAGATTTGTGTGTGTGTCTCGTTTCAGCTTTTTTTCTAACCCAGAGGCACCCACGTTTCCCAGGGAGAGAAGGGAAGAGAAAGGCAGTGTCACAAAAAGCTTTGACACTGGATCTCATGAATTGTCCACTGGCACTTGGGCAGTTGAGCTGATTCATGGGATCTTGGGGTCATTTCCTGCAGGGGTCAGGGGAGTAGGAGGTAACAGCTGCCTCTCGGGTCTGCTCCTTAGTGGTGAAGCTTTGCTGGTTTATGTGTGTCAGAGTTACAATGAATATGCCAGGGATGAAGGAGGGGAATGAATGAGTGTGTGTGAGAGTGAATGTGAGTGAGTGTATGTGAGTGAGCATGTGTGAGAGTGCAAATGAGTGTGTGTGAGTGAGCAGGTGTGAGAGTATATGAGTGTGTGTGAGTTATGTGAGTGTGAATGTGTGAATATGTTTGTGAGTGAGGGTCTGTATGAGTATGAGTTAGCATTGTGAGAGTGTGTTACTGAGTTTGTAACTGGGTATGTGAATATGTTAGTGATAGTGAGTGTGTGAGCACGTGTGAATGAGTGTGTATGAGTGCATGAGTGAGCATGTGTGTGAGTGTAACTATGAGCTGGTGTGAGTAAGAGTGTGTCAGTGAGAGTGAGTGTGTGAATGTTAGGGTAAGAGTGTGTGTGTGAGCATGTGTGAGTGAGTGTGTGAGAGGCTGGGCGAGTGTGTCAGAGAGAGAGGGGAAAGCAGGAGCTCTCTCACATGCTCTGTGCCTGGCCCATGACATTTCACGGATGGTCCCAGCGGGTGTGAACTCTCTGGAAGGGTGACCCTGTGCAGTGCCTGAACAAGCTGGGAGTGACTCCCAGGAGGTGTGTCTATGCAGTGCACCACGCTCCATCACAAATCTATTTACAAGCCTAGTGACTGTCACCCCACTGCCCAAAGGAGGGCGGGGGACAAGGGAGGGATGACCGGCCTCTTTTCTGGCTATCCAGTTCCCTGGGGACTTTCCCAGTCACTGTCACTACCATCATCTCACTGTCCCCTCCATCACTGACTCCTCCCGAAAAACTGATCTTCTTTCAGTCCTCAGGACACACTTGGGGACAGACCCCCTTGGTGGACATTGCCCAAGTGGGCATTCCCACTGCCAGTCAGCCCAATACAGGACGGGCCTTATGCGGAAGGGTGCTCGGGACTCGCTTCTGATGCTCCTGGCTCTCCTGAAAATCCCCCTTTCCCGCTGTGTATGGACATCAGTCAGGGGTGCGCCCTCATGCCTTGGGTGAGTGTGGGAGTGAGTTGCAGGACCTGCAACATTCCCCAAGGCTTTGCTCAGGCCCCTGAACAAAGCACGACCACAGTGATGCCACGGGAACTTCCACCGCGGCTGGGAGTGCTCACTGGCAGCCCCGGGCCCACCCTCACTCACAACCTTCCCAAGACGGTTTCCTCTCTGGCACCCAGTCCCGTGTGGCCCAGGCCACCTTTTCCCATGATCTAGAACTTCCACACTGCTATCCCCTTCCCCCAAGACCCCCCTCTCCAGATGCAAGAGAAGAAAACTAGTGAGTGAGTGTGAATGTGTGAGTGTGACTGAGCATGTGAATGTGAGTGTGAAACATTCCAACCAAAGGGGGAAAGGAGTGTGGGGCAGTCCACAAGAAGCGCTTGCCACCATGGCTAGGAGCAGGACCCCCATCAGTGCCACCAGGACCCTTGCCCTTTCTCCGCGAAACGCTCTTTTCACTCAGACAGGCACTTAGCAGGTGGCATCCGAAAGGACACTGAGGCTGGCATGTGGCTCACGTGGTTGAGCACATGGCTAGCAGGAGTGAGGCTCTGCCTTGGGGTCTATGGCACTCTGGCCCATGGAACATAGCCGGAATAGCCCAGTGGTCCCTGAGCACCACCAGCACCCATGTTGGTGTAGCCCACATAAAAACAAAACAAAACAAAAAGAAAACCAGTGGCCCCAGTCTCTTCCTGGCCTTTACCATGCGGAGAGATGTGCTCTCCCTTCCCCACAGAGAACGGTGGTTTGTTGCATGTGCTCCTGCTCCTGTTGGCCAACTGACCATGGAAGGGGCGAGGGGAGATGCCTGTTTGAGGGACAGTCCACTGGGCCACGTGCACAGGGGAGAGACAATTCCCCAAAGGAAGCAACAGATGCCCGTTACAGAAAGAGAACTCTTCCCTGCTGCCGTTCACGCCCCCCACCCCCCAGCCCCACCTCCTAGGGCAGGAAGGTGGCAGTTCACTTCCGGTGCAGGCTGAGCTGTAGCAGGGGACATGTCTTCCAGCCCTCCTCCTCCTTCAAGGTGCTCTCACCTTCTTTTGCCTGGAAGGAGCCCCTGTGGACACTGCCCTGTGGGGCCACTGGCGTCTCTGCACTGGGGAGGACAAGTGGTCCCAAGAGGCTGAGCTTTCTCACGCTTTCTTTCCTTTCCCCCTTTCCAGGGCTTCTGTACCTGGTTCTTCAACTCCCTCAGCATGAGGTAAGTGCCTGAGCTTTTTCAGCGGAACTCGGGGAGGTGGTTATGGTGGGGGATGGCAGAGGCTCTCGTCACGCCCACACAGAACCATGGTCATGTGGGATGCAGCACACACGTGCACGCAGGACCATGGGCACATGGAGTGCTGCACACATGCACACAGAAGCCCATGGGCATGCTGAGTGCTACCCGCATGCAGACACTGGACCTTGGGCACATGGGGTTCTGCATACACATACACACAGGACCATGGCACACGGGGTGCTGCACACATGTACACAAGACCATGGGTGCACGGGGTGCTGACACACATGCACTTGGGATCATGGGCACACGGGGTACTACACACATGCGGACACAGGACCACAGGCACATGGGGTGCTAAACACACACAGGAGTACGGGCACTTTGGGTGCTGCTCATACATGCAGACATTGGACCTCAGGCACACGGGGTGCTGCACACACGCACACAGAAGCCCATGGGCATGTTGAGTGCTGCACGCATGCGTACACGGGACCTTGGGCACATGGGGTTCTGCATACACATGCACACAGGACCATGGGCACACTGGGTGCTGCACACATGTACACAGGACCATGGGCACATGGGATACTGACACACATGCACACAGGACCATGGGCACACAGGGTGCTACACACATGCAGACACGGGACCATAGGCGCACGGGGTGCTGTACACACACACAGGACTACGGGCACATGGGTTGCTGCTCATATATTCAGACACTGGACCTTGGGCACACAGGGTGCTACACATATACACAGGATTGTGGGCACCCTGGGTGCTGCACACACACACACACACACACACACACACACACACACACACACACACACACCCCTGACCCTCCATGCAGAGCGCTGTACTCCTGGGCTCTCCCTGGAAGTCCCCTCCCTCCAGGCTGTGCAGGAACCTGATGGGGCCTGCTGAGCCCCCAGGGTTCTTCCTGCTCTCCCGGGCCCCTCCCTGCCCTCCTTTCAGGGGCCTTGCTGGAACATTCATGTTTTGCAAGATTCCAGCCCCTCCCTCTGCACACCCCACCAGGGATCTTTTGCTCTAGACCCGCCAAAGGATCTGAGACCCCAATGGGGCACCCGGGGTACAGGGGACCCAGCTGGATGGAAGAGCAGCCATGCCTGCTGTGTGAGCCCCATGGATAGAGGCAGCCTCCAGACAGAAACGGGGTGCAGCCAGCTTGTTGGGGTCCAGCCCTTGGAGAGGAGCATTCACTGCAGGCATTTTTATTTCCTAGCTCCTTCTCTGGTTTTGCTTGATTTGTTTTGAAAACACATATGAGGAGCCAGCACAAGGCCATTTTCATGAAAAGAAACTAAAATCCCCCTGCAGTCCCTGGTGCCTCTGTTCATGACCCGCAAGACAGGACCCTTTCCAGGGACATCCGGGGTTTCATTCTCACATGCAGTTTCTATTGTTTCTCTCCTTTGAAAAATCACCAGTGATGTGCGTGAACATTAGGAACTCATTTCCCAGGGAGGCTTTGAGCTCCCAGCCTTACAGATGGGTCGAGCCAGCTCATGAATCATGCCCAGGGTGAGGTGGCAACGTGCCAGCCCTGTCTGTGCCTGTGGACGGAGGAAAAGGAACTGGCATGGCAGTCCCCATGCGGGCCACAGCCTCCGGCTTATTTAATTTGAGGTCAGCTTCCTGGACTCTTACCCACATGCTCATGGGCACTTTGCAGGACTGGAGAGATAGTACAGTGAAGGAGGCCTTTCCTTGCAGGCAGTTAACCCAGGTTTGATCCCTGGCACCACATGTGGTCCCTCGAGTGCTGCCAGAGAGATCCTGGAGTGCAGAGCCAGGAGTAAAACCTGAGCACCACAGGGCGTGGCCCAAAAACAAAATAATAAAGACGCAGCTCATGGCTACAGCCCGTCCGTTCTGGGGCCTGGGCCTGGGTCCACGGTCCTGTGTGTGTGTGTGTGTGTGTGTACAGTGTGTGTGTGTGTGTGTGTGTGTGTGTGTGTCCATAGAGGCTGTCCTCTTCCCTTACCCTTGCACTCCATCAAGGAGGGCCCCTCTGTGGGGATGTGTCACCCGGTGAGGACTGTCCACTGTGCCCCTTCAAGAGCAGAATTTAGACGAGAGCTTTGTCATTGCTCAGCAGGAACAAGGAATGGCATGGCACAGACCCCAAGCCTGAGCTGGAAAAGGTGAACAGGACTCACCACCAATAGCTCCAGTTGTCTGAGAGGAGATGTTAATCCCATCTGCAGGACTCAGGAGAAGCAGAATTCGTGTGTGTGTGTGTGTGTGTGTGTGTGTGTGTGTGTGTGTGTGACACCCGGCGATGTTCGGAGGTTACTCCTGGCTCATGCACTCAGGAATTACTCCTGGCGTTGCTCGGGGGACTGTATGGGATGCTGGGAATCGAACCCGGGTTGGCCGTGTGCAAGGCAAACGCCCTACCCGCTGTGCAATTGCTCCAGCCCCGAGAAGCTGAGTTTTGAGTTAGGCCTTGAAGGAGGGCAGAATTAGGACAGTTGTAATTGGAAGAAGCTCCGAAGTAAAAGACGGTGTGAGCCAAGGTTTGGGGCAGAGACAGACGGGAGTGTCTAGAAACATCTTCAGGTGTGGCTTGGCACGGGCAGCCGGAGGAGGTGCCAAGATCAGGCCTGAAGGACGAGCATGGATCTTGGCCACCCCATTGAGAGCCTAGGCCTTGGATGCAGACAGTTGAGAGCAAGTTGCTATTTCTGAGCTGCAAATTCAGGGCAAGGATTTATTTCTAGGCAGGAGAATGAGAATGGGTGTGGCAGTTGAGAGGAGTGCAAAGGCCAGTTGGTGGCCAGGCAGGCTATTCCAGGCCTGGGTAGTGACCCTGGGGACAGTGGGGAGGGGAGAATGGGAGGGAGAGGATGGGGGGACAGCCATATGTGTCCTAATTTCCATTTGACTCCCACCTGGAGAAGAAGGACAGGGCTCAAGGCCTGGTGTGTGGCGAGGAAATACCACACCGGTCGGGAGCTGCTGAGTGGTGAGTTAGGGATACACGTGGTGTGGTATGGCCAGGGCAAACCTGCTCGTTGCCTGGCAGGCTCTTGAAGGAGCTATGACATGAGAGTTAGAGCTAAATCCCTGGGGGTAAATGTGCAGGCATGGGAGCTGGTGACAGGGACAGACAGGTCACCCACTGCGGGGAGATCAGAACGGTGCAGAGAATTGGTTGGTTGGCGGAAGGAGAGGCCCAGAGCTAGGGAAGCCGGGTGAGCGCTTGGCTCTACCTGGAGCACAGAGCCTGTGTGTACAGAGAGAGCAGCGGCCGCTGATGTCATTGTGGGAATCTCTGATGCTGAGGAGCCCCAGGAGGAGAGGCCTCGGAAATGAGGTTAGAGCAAGGGCATCCTGTTTGATGAGAGGCCCTGCAGAAGGAAACAACTTTTTTAAAAATAAGATGCATCCTGGTATCACCAGTGATGGTCAGGTACCTGCATAACACCCAGGATGTTTGAAGCAGGAGTGAAGACCTCACGCAGGCTTAATTTCAGCAGCACTTAAAGTATTTTTAAAATTTTATTTATTAAATTTTTTTAAATTATTTTTTATTGGATCACAGTGAGATACACAGTTACAAGGTGTTCATGATTAGATTTCAGTTATATAATGTTCGAACACCCATCCCTTCACCAGTGTACATTTCCCACCACCAGTGTCCCCAGTTTCCGTCCTACCTCCACACCTGCCAACCCATCTCTATGGCAGGCACTCCTCCTCCTCCTCCTCCTCCTCCTCCTCCTCCTCCTCCTCCTTCTCCTCTTCTTCCTCCTCTTTCTCTTCCTCTTCTTCTTCTTCTTCTTCTTCTTCCTCTTCTTCCTCTTCTTCCTCTTCCTCTACCTCTTCCTCCTCCTCCTCCTCCTCCTCTTCCTCCTCCTCCTCCTCCTCTTCTTCTTCTTCTTCTTCTTCTTCTTCTTCTTCTTCTTCTTCTTCTTCTTCCTCTTCCTCCTCTTCCTCTTCCTCTTCTTCTTCTTCCTCTTCCTTTAACTCTTCCTCCTCTTCCTCTTCTTCTTCTTTCTCTTCCTCTTCCTCTACCTCTTCCTCCTCCTCCTCCTCCTCCTCCTCCTCTTTCTCTTCCTCCCCCCCTCTTTTGGGCATTCTAGTTTGCAATGCAGATACTAAAAGGTTGTCATGCCTATCCCTTTACCTACTCTTAACACTCAGTTCTTGTTCAGAGTGAGCATTTCCAACTATTACTGTCACACTGGTCCCTTCTCTATCCTATTTCCCTTTGTCCCCCACACACTTGTGTGGGAAGTTTCTATCCACTGACCATCCTCCTGGCCCCTGTTTCCCCTGGCCTTGGATAATAGTCTCATACTGATTTTTTAAAATACATATCCCACAAAAGAGTGCAGTCACTCTGTCTGTCCCTCTCCTTATGACTCATTTCACTCAGCATGACACTTTCCATGCCCATATTTTTATAAGCAAATGTCAGGCTTCATTTTCCCTAACAGCTCAGTAGCACTTTTGCAACCTGCCTTTGAACCCCAGAGAAATGTGGCAAATCAGGCATTGCGTGCTCTTTGGGGTATTTCAGAAGAAAAGGAGTGATATGGGGGCAGCTTGGTCCTCCCCTTTGCCTTCCTTCCACCCCTGACTCTTGTCCCTTAAGTGCTGCCTCCCCTCCCCAGTCCCTAGGGAGGTACTTACATGCGTGTCTCTTGCAGGAACCAGGATCTGATCAACAGGTGTGGTGACGATGCCCGAATCTACATGACATTCCAGTATCATCTCATTTTCTTTGTGCTCCTCCTCTGCATCCCCTCCTTGGGTGTCATTTTGCCCATCAACTACTTGGGAACCACTCTGGGTAAGGCAGAGCTCAGCAGGGCCCTGGGCCTGGGTGGTCTGATGTGGAGGAGAAAGCTTTGGGTCTTAGGTTTCTAGAAACCTGCATTTGAATCCAACTCCTCTGAGTCAGGTGTCCTGTGATGCAAGGCAACTTATACCTACTCTCATATGGTACCTGGAGATGGTCCTGCCCCTGTCCCTGCCCACGCCTGGCACACAGCAATCCCCTAGTTAGACTTCAGCCCAGAGTGTGTAGCTATGACTCAAACTGTCCCTGGATGGGTTTATTGGGAGCTTGTTTTCACTGGAACCCACTATGGTGTTCCCTGCACCTGATTTCCCAGCCCTGAACCTGCAGATATGTCTGCTGGCATAACTCTGCTCCCTCGTTAGAACAGAGCATGTTCTGCTGGCCAAGGAAGACTATAGGCATGGCCAAAACCAGGCTGGAAAGAAAAAACCTGTGGCTTTTAACCTTGGTCCATGTCTGCTCCCTGGAAACTACAGTGGCCCTATCTAGGCAATGCTTACATCCCATAGTCAGCAAACCAATCTCCCCAGGCCAGGGGGCTGTGGACCCAGGGAAGGAAGGCCTGGCGGGCACAGAGGAGCTCGTGGCCCACCAGCCAGCATTTCCGTGAGCCCTCGGAGCAGTCTCAGCTGTTTGATGCTGGACCTCCTACACACGGGGTGGCCGCCAGCTTTTCTTTGATTCCTCCACTCTGTGTCTCGTTGGCTGGGTAAAGATGTCACAACATCCAGTGTAATGCAAGGGACGTCTGTGCCTAGCCCCAACCTCCCTCCTCCGAGCAGATAGATCCTGAGTCCTGTCTTTCCATACTCTCACCTGGGGGGGGTGGGGGAGTGACAGCAGTGACATCTACCACAGGGATTTTCGGCTTCGTTGATAAAACATGAGGAGGTGACCACTGGCCGATAAAGGCATTAGCCAGAAGAGCTTACCCTGCCCTCAGGAGGGTTCCGGGCTCCGGTGATGGTTACCAGCGGTAATGACATCGCTGATCTCACCATGGCACCTTGACGTGCAGCCCGGGTCCTTGAAGCACTGGCCAGGGTTTCCCTTAGAGCACTTGGGGAGGCCAAGATTGTCCTGAGAACAAGGTTCACCCAATGAGCACGACCTGGAAGAGGGTTCGTGCGGTTGTTGAAAGCTGCGCACGAGTGCTGGGGCCCCGGAAGGTGGGGCAGGGTGCAGGCAAGCACCCACAGAGCCCAGGCCTTCTCCAGCACCCGGAGGGCTGCCATTGTCCGACTGTCCAGCTGAGGACGTGGGCTGGACCTGCGAAGGGAAAAGAAAGCCAAGGGACCTGGTGCCGGCAGACTGCAGCGGTAGTTAGGAGGTGGCCTGCTGGGATGCCACCCCATGGGCAAAGACCTCTGGGGACACCTTACACCCCTAGAGGGGACCCGACCTGAGTGTCTGGGACAAAGACAGCATCCATCTGTGTCACCGGATAAGTTTGAGATCGACCACTTCTCTTTCAGACAGGAAGAGTCACTTCAGCCGGACCACCATCGTCAATGTCTCCACAGAGTAGGTGCCTGTTCCCCGGGTGTGGTGGGGAGGAGCCTCCCCCTGTGGGGTGCTCTCATGAGCACTGCTCGACTGATACGTTTCCAGAGGGTAGAGGGGATGGGGCGAGGAGGGGGGAGGGGGCAGGACTATTGGCGTGTTGTCTCAGGGAGGAGGCACCGAGATTTGGAAAGATGGGGAGATTTGTCAGTCAGTCCCATGTCCAAGGGGCAAAGCCACGTAGCCGTTTCCTTGCCCACCCGATAGTTGTGGTAACACTCCCGCCACCAGCAAAGGCCAGCCCCAATTCTTGGGATGCTGAGAGCAGGCACCATACTGCCCTCTGAGCCGCTCCAGAGTCTGTGATGGGAGAGAGGCTGATGGGCGTCTGGTTCCCAAGTATGAACCCTGCCCACAGGCGTCCTGACGGGGCAGCAGCCATTCCCGTTCTCCTGCCCACACATCTCCTGTATGCCCTGCCCACCCCTGGAGTCCATCACGCCTCCCCATGCTCCCTTCATGCCCTCATACCCCACTCACCCCATCACATCCTCTCATGCCCCCCATATGCCCTCTCACACCCCCCTCAGATTCCCCTCATGGCCCCCCTTATGCCTCGTCTGACACTCCTCTCATGCCCTCCCTCAGGACCTTCTGGTGACCGGCCCCCATGATCCCTCATAGCCCCCTCAAGCCCCCTCTCACGCCCCCGTCAGTGGCTGGACAACTTTCCCTCCTCAGTCCATGATGACTTAGGTGGGCCCTGTGGTGGTCAGTCACTGGCTGCTGGCCAGGACCTCCCAAGCAAAAGGGCATCCCTGGTCACTGCCCCCGAAGGTGCTGCCAACCCTTTCATAGAATGGGGCCACCCCTCCCGTGCCCGCTGAGCTGCAGCCTGAGCAGAGGGTCTGGAGGCCTCTTGTGGGGCATCCCATCGCCTATCTGGGCCTGTCTCTGTCCCGGAGTGTCAGGCACAAAGCACTGAATCAGAGCCTCCCCAACCCACCCCTCCCGGGGCCCAAGTGCGCAGTGGTACTCAGGGTGGGGAGCCCGGACCAGGGTGCTGGGGGTGGGGCTTGTCTGGATACAGGGGTGAGGTGTGGGGGTGCAAGGGTGGGGTGTTGGGATGCAGGGGTGGGGGTGTCGGAGTGCAGGGGTGGGTAGGTGCCCAGGTGTAAGGGTGAGGGTTGTTGGGATGCAGGGGTGGGAGCTGTCAGGGTACAGGGGTGAGATGTGGGGGTGCAAGGGTGGGGTGTTGGGGTGCAGGGGTGTGTATGTCAGGGTGCAGGGGTGGCAGTTGTCGGGGTGCAGGGGTGGGGGCGCCTGGGTGCAGGGGTGAGGGGGCAGGGGGTCACCCTGCTGTGTCTCTCAGGAGCAAGTACCTGTGGCTGCACTGTTTATTCTCCTTCTTCTACTTCATCTGCAACCTCCTCTTCATGGCCCACCACTGCTTGGGGTTCGTGCCCAAGAAGAGCCACAAGGTGAGCAGGGCACCTGCTGCCAGCACCGCCCGGCCCTTGGTTCCCCTGTCATGGTGTCCCTCAGCTCCACCCTGCCCCTCAGTCCTCCTGGCACCATGCTCTGCCCCTGCGCCACCCAGCTGTCCCCCATGAGTCTTCACCTGGTACCCACCCCCAGGGCCAGCTGCCCCAGCAGCCACCACCCTAGGACCCCCCATTCTCCCACTCAGCACTCCTGCCACCCCGGACCCTCTCACTCAGGACCCCCCCCCCCACACACACACACTGCCGGCTGTACCACTACCTCAGTGGTCAGTGCCCTGACAGCCCCCCGGGAGAGCTTCTGTGCTGCTCTGCCCTCCCTCTTCCAGAGGCCAGGGGGCACCGTGTCCCACCCCCACTCCTGCCACCCAAGTGTCCCCATGATCAGGATCTGAGTAACATTTGCTTATTTAGGGACTGGAGTGATAACACAGCAGGTAGGGCGTTTGCCTTGCATGTGGCTGACCCGGGTTGGATTCCCAGCATCCCATATGGTTCCCCCGAGCACCGCCAAGAGTAATTCCTGAGTGCAGAGCCAGGAGTAACCCCTGAGCATCGCTGGGTGTGACCCAAAAAGCAAACAAACAAAAATTGCTTATTTGGTTTGCTTGGTTTGGGAGCCTAAATGAGGTGCTCAGGAAGCCCTGGGGCCCTGGCAGGTGGCACTGCCTGTCCCCTGGGGTGCCTAGGAGCCCCTGGGCCTCCAGCCGCAGCAATGCTCCGGGACCCTGCAGTGCCGTGAACCAAACCAGGGTCGGCCACATGCAGAGCCAGCGCCTTGAGTCCTGTGCTCTCGCCAGCCTGACGCTCGCCTGTTTGGGCAGGGATCTCAGGAAAGACCGCGTGAGAGGCAGAGGTTGGTGGTGGAGGGTGCAGGCTCTGGGGTGGCTGTGGGAATGAGGCAGGAGAGCCCGCCCAGAGCAGGGGCCGCTTCTTGCTGTGTGAGGGTGGCTGGCCCAGGTTTGCAGGGGTCCTGAGCAGCCGGAAGTCAGGGGAACTGCCAGGCTGAGTCCCAGGTTCCCAGTGGGGGCTTAGGATGAGTGTTGGAGGGGCGAGCTCTAGACAGAGCCCTGAGCCAGGGGAGGTCGCAGCATTTCAGGCTCTGGGTGGGGGGGCAGGATCCCGGAGATGGGCATCCGGGGACCCACAGCTCCATCTTTGTGAGGTTCAGGGCTGGGGAACTGGCCCTGTGCCGGCTGTCCCTCTGAAGAGGCTTGCTTAGCCACACCTTGGAATGCCCAGGAGACTCGGGCACCCTGGCCAAGCCACTTCTGTTCTGCACCCTGACTCCCCACCCCAAGTCACTGCGGTCCGGAGGTGACTCCCCACTTCCAGAGTGGAAGGGAAGTTCGAGGAGCTTCACCACCCACACCTAGCGCCGTTCCTTCTCCGCTTCAGAGACCTTTGGGTGGTGGTGGGGTGGTTTCAGGGGGTCAGGGTCATCAGTAGGAGAGCAGGGCGGCCCTCTCAGGCCCCTGTGTTGGCCTCGGCCTCTGTCTTTCTTGGCCACATGTGGGGGGCACTGTGGGGGCTGGCGGGAAGGAGGAAAGGGGGGCTGCAGCTGAGCTGCTCCAGCGACCCCTGCTGCTGGCTGCAGGGACCCCACCAGGCATCCACAACCATCTGGCCTGTCCCCTCCCTGTGTAGATAACCAGGACATTGATGATCACCTACGTTCCCAATACCATCCAGGACCCCGACACCATCATGAGGCATTTTCAGTAAGCGGCCTCCCAGGTTGGGGTGGGGGGGCTGGTGGCCCACCAAACACTTCTGTGAGGTTGGGGGAACCCGGCTTCTGCCCCTCACTCCCCTCTGGAGCTCAGGGACACAGTCCTGGGCACAGCTGTGTGGAACGGGCCCTCTGCCTTTGTGGTTTGGGTTTTTATTTTGGGGGTGGGTGTGCTCAGGGCCGACTCCACCTCTGCACCCCACATCAACCAGGTCATCACACAATGCCAGGGGTTGAACCCGGGTTGCCTGCACGTAGGGCTCCCTGTGCTATCTCCTGGCCCCTGGAACAGGCCTTCTCTGGCCCAGACTCCATGTCCAGGGGCAGAGGACTGAGGCCTCCCGTGTGTCCAGCCCTGCCTTGGGTGAGGGGGTGGGGGGTCTGGATTGGAGAAGGCAGACCTCAGGTGACCGCTGTGGGCACTCAGATTTGGCTGGAGGAGTAAGAGATGATTCTCTGTGCTGGGATCTGGGAGCCACGGGTCAGCCCCATGAGCTGTACTGGGGATGGGGGGGCTCAGGGGGCAGCTGCCTGGACCCCTCGCAGGCGGGCTCAGAATCCTTGTCTGTGGCGGCAGTGAGGCCTATCCAGGCTGCATCGTGACCAAAGTCCACTTCTGCTATGACGTCAGGAACCTGATCGAATTGGACGATCAGAGGTGAGCTGCCCGTGCTGGGAGCTGGGGGGCGTGGGGGAGTTGTGGGGAGAGAGGTCGGGGATCAGCGGGTCCCACCCAGCCAGGTGCTGACCCCCCGCCCGCCCCACAGGCGCCACGCCATGCGGGGCCGGCTCTACTACACCGCCAAGGCCAAGAAGAGCGGGAAGCAGATGATCAGGGTGCACCCCTGCTCCCGCCTGTGCTTCTGCAGCTGCTGGAAGTGTTTCAAAAGGGTAAAGCAGCTCTGGGTGTGTGTTTGGGTGGGGGGTGGTCGTACCCCAAGGAGAGGGGCGGGCTCTTGGCTCTGTCCCTAGCTCTGCGCAGCCAGCCAGTGCGTGTCCACACCCCCACCCGGGTTCCATCCGCTCATGTTCTGGGGCTGCAGGACCCAGTTCCTCCCTCCCCTTCCCCCACATGTCCCTGCATGTAGAGAGACTCAGGCCTTCTGGGGCCACCTCCAGAGTGACCCGCAGAGGCCGGACAGGACACTGCTGGCTGCTGCCAACTGCCAGGCCAGGGGCGCCCGCTTGTCCTCCCCATCCAAGGGGCTGAAGGAGGCGTCCAGGTGTGCCCACCAGTCCCTGGGCACCGTGGGGACATGGTGCCAGGCAACGCACATCAGCCTTGAATGAAAAAATACTGCCACGGCGGGGGGCGGGGGCAGATAGTACAGTGGGCAGGGCGTTTGCCGTGCACATGGCCTTGCCTGGGTTGGCTCCCCCACATCCCAAATGGTCCCCTGAGCACAGTCAGGCGTAATCCCTGAGCGGAGCCAGGAGTAAGCCCTGAGACCCCAAAAGTAAAAAAAAATGCTGCCAGGGGCTGGAATGATAGCATAGCTGGTAGGGCATTTGCCTTGCACGTGGCTGACCCCGGTTCAATCCCCAGCATCCCATATGGTCCCCCGAGCACCGCCAGGAGTAATTCCTGAGTGAATGAGCCAGGAGTAACCCCTGTGCATCGCCGGGTGTGACCAAAAAAAAAAAATAATTAAAACTGCTGGGACTTTCTGCCCTCCCACTCTCCCACTGCATCACCCCACTGGTCTGCTGGGGGCCTCCTCTCCCCCCAGAGCACAAGCCTGGCAGTGCTCGGCCTCCTCCTTCCCCAGAGCCCACTCGGGGCTCAGGCTGTTCACCAGGTATCCCGGGCATGGGGCGGACACCGCAGGGCCCTTGCTGCCGGGCCCCCCTGAGGCTCTGGGTCTCCTTCCCCACCTCTGAGGGCCACTGCTCACCCCAGGTCGATGCAGAGCAATATTACAGTGAGCTGGAGGAGCAGCTGACCGATGAGTTCAACGCCGAGTTCAACCGCGTCCGGCTCAAGCGACTGGACCTGATGTTTGTGACCTTCCAGAATGTCAATATGGCACAGCGGTGAGTGCCCAGGCCCAGGTGCGGCCTCTGCTTCTCGGCGCCCATGTGCAGGAGTGGGGAGGGATGGGGCCTTGCTCCCACCTTTCTTTCTTTTTTTTTTTGACTTTTGGGGTCACACCCAGCGATGCTCCTGGCTCATGCACTTAGGAATTACTCTTGGCGGTGCTCGGGGGACCATATGGGATGCCGGGAATTGAACCTAGGTCGGCCACGTGCAAGGCAAACGCCCTACCCGCTGTGCTATCGCTCCGGCCCCCCACCTTGTTTCCAAGGGCACAGCGTGATCTGTTTCCCCACGCCTAACCCAGGGCTTCTCGTTCCCTCATGTCCTGGCTTCGGCGCAGAGCTGGGCCATCTCGCCTCTGAGCTCGTGGCCTTTCTTCTGAGTCGTTTCCTCTCTCCCTCCCATCCCTCTGAGAGAGAGCGAGGGGGCAGAGGGCCTGCGTATTGCAACCCCCTCTCAGCCTCCTCTTTCGTCCGTCCTGCTCCCATGGTGACAGCCAGTGGATCAAGATTTATTCTGGGATGTTCTGGAAGGATCCTGGGCACTGGATTCAGGATATTCAAGCCCCAGAATCCTCTCCTGAGGAGTAGGAGGGAGGGCCCTTCTCTCCTGGGACACAGTGCTTTGTCCTCACCCACCCAACCTTATAAAGGATTGAGGAGCCAACTCCGTCCGTAGGAGCCACCGAGCCTGAGAGAGGCTGGCGTTAGGGACACCCCTTCTTCTCACCTCCTCATCCGAGAAAGGGCTCGTCTTTGTGTCGTCCCGTTCAGAGGGAAGATGGTAACTGGGAACTGTAGACCCCTCCACACCACCCGCCCCCCCCAGGTTCCACCCTTGTGGCCCACTCTGGGTATCATCCGAGGTCCCCTCCCCCCAGCAACAAGGGCCTTCAGAACTGTCCCCCTCTGAGGTCCTGGGGACCAGATTCTGAATTCCCAGGAAGTGCATGAGTCCCTGCGTAGGGACAGCCACGGCGGCCCCGGGACCTGGCGTGAAACAGTTTCCCAAGCCTGCAGTCCTCACTCCCAGATCTGTGTCCCCTCCCCTGTCTCTTGCAGGGTCTTGCGCGATTACAAGTGGACCACCTGCTTTAGATCCCCCCAGCAGTCCTCTTTGTCGAATAGCATCAAATCTTACCAGTGGCGAGTCACCTATGCATCCCACCCCAAAGACATCATCTGGTGAGCCCCTCCTGCCTCCTGGGCCTAGAGAGGGGGCCAGGCCCTGGTCTTGCCGCTGCCCCCACGTCATTGTCCACGTGCAGCCTCTTCTTCCAGACGCGCCCCAAACCCATCTCCTGGCCCAGGCTTGGGAGGCCGCTTTTCTCTGCAGAATGGGCCCCTCCGTTGCCGCCCACCCATGGGATCTGGGACTCCCGGTGGGCTGAAGGGTCTGGCGGGGCTGTGCGTGTCTCAGCCTGGGGTCAGTGAGATCCATGCTGTGCGGGGCCATGCCAGCATGTGGGAAACTTGGGGCTCACTCTCGGGGCTGTCCCGGTGCTGAGCGTGCCTCCCTCTGCGACCTCCCTAGGAAACACCTGGCTGTCCGCTGCTTTGAGTGGTGGGCCCGGTTTATCACCATCAACACCTTCCTGTTCCTGCTCCTCTTCTTCCTCACCACGCCGGCCATCATCATCAACACCATCGACAAGTACAACGTCACCCGCCCCATCGAGAAGCTGAAGGTGTGGTGAGGCATGGGGGGTCTGGGAGGTGAAGGGGGCCGGGGACAAGGGGGCATGGCTTTGGGGATGTGAGACCCCAGAACCCCTGCACTACCACCATGGGGTGGGAGCAGGCACACGGGATCTTCTTTGTTCTAAAGGCGTGATACGGGTTGCTGCCATCTTAGCGTGTGGGGCTGGAGAGAAAGGGAGAGGGGGTCCTGGCACGCAGCCTCAGCACGGAATTTGTGGGGAACAGGTGGATTGGACAGGCATGGGCCTCAAAGGCTTGTTGATGCTCTGTGTGCCTGTGTGTGCACGTGTGTGTGAGACTGTGTGAGTGTGTGTACAGCTGTATATGTGAAAGTGTATTTATGAGTGTGTGTGTGTATATGTGTGTGAATGTGTGTATCAGTGTATGTATATGTGATGATGTGTACAGATGTATATGTGAAAGTGTATTTATGTGAGTATGTGTGTATGTGTGTGTGAATGTGTATGTCAGTGTATGTGTATGTGACTGTGTATATGTGAGTGTATATGCATACGAATGTGTATGTATGTGTGTGAGTGTGTGTGATTGTGAATACATGTGTATGTGTGTATGTGTGTGTGAGTGTGTATGAGTGTGTGTGTGTGTGTGTGTGTGTGTGTGGTGCTGGGTCAAACCCGAGGCATCACACCTGCTAGGCGTGTGCTCTGCCTTTGAGCCACAGACCCTCCCTCTGCAGGCTTCTTTGGGCCAATCGGGTTCAAAGGCTGCCCAGCGAAGGTGATGCAGCTGGATCCTGGGCTAAGAGAGATAGAACTGGGACCTCTTGGCCTGTCTGAGGGTGCAGGACCCCACAACAGCTCTGGGTCCTGCACCCATCATCAGGAGCATCTCATCCCACTGGGGGTGGGGGGGACCTGAACTGGCTCCTTCTCAGACTCTGCAGCCTCAGAACTTGTTGGCAGCCCTTTGTACCCCTCCCCCACATTCTGGCAACACACACCCACATGGAGACACACACATGCTTACAATACACAACACTACTCACAGACACTCATGTGCACGCACCACGTGGAGGCCCATGGAGACACATGCACACACATTCTTACACATGAATATCCACCAATATCACCTACAGACCTCATGCACATACCCATGTATACACACACACACACACAAACACACGCATACCTGCGTACACCTTTTCCTGCAAACGTGCATTGCGTGCCTACACCCCTACACTGCTGCACAGACATGCACGCCTCCACACACACACACATGTGGCTTCCACCTCCTTGGAGGCTGAGTTGAGAAGCTCCCCTCTCCCGTCCCCTTCTCTCAACTTGTAGAGGGCACAGCAAAGGCCTTGTCCTCTCCATGAGGTTTGTGATGGGAGTGACAGCAGCAGACTGGCCTGCAGAGGAAGCCGCTGCCGAAACACTGGGCTGGCCCTCTAGTGGCCTCAGTATAGAAGATTTATGCCTCTTGGGGACATCTCTCGACCTCAGAGTGCCTGCCTCTGCCAGCCCGATGGCCGGGAAGGCTAAGGAGACTGGCCAGGCAGGGGTTCTGGGCAGCATCTGAGAGCCAGCAGGTGGCCTGCCAGGGCTGCGCATTCACAGTCTCTGCCCTCTTATGCTTGGCCTTACAGAGCCCGGTGCTGACCCAGTTCTTCCCCTCCGTCTTGCTCTGGATCTTCACAGTGACCTTGCCACTGATGGTCTACTACTCCGCCTTCCTCGAGGCCCACTGGACCAGGTGAGCCATGTGGCCAGGGAGTCCTCTCTCCTAGCGCAGCACCTCTCAGCCCCAGTACCTCTCTGCCCCAGCACCTCTCTGCCCCGGCGTCTCTCAGCCCCTGCGTCTCTCTGCCCTGGTGTCTCTCTGCCCCGACATCTCTCTGCCCCGGCATCTCTCGGCCCGTGTCTTCCTGCCCTGGCATCTCTCTGCCCTGGCATTTCTCTGCCCCTTTATCTCTCTGCCCCGGCATCTCTCATCCCCAGTGTCTCTCTGCCCTGGCATTTCTCTGCCCCGGCATCTCTCAGCCCCTGCGTCTCTCTGCCCCAGCATCTCTCTTCCCCAGCGTCTCTCAGCTCCCATGTCTTCCTGCCCCGGTGTCTCTTCTCTGGCGTCTCTCTGCCCCCAGCTCTAGCCTGGTGCTCCCATGTTGCATTTGGCCCAAGAAGTGAAACTGACCTGGCATGACTTTGCTACCCAAAACCAATCCTAAAGACTCCCAGTAGTTTTCCCTTGACACAAAGGCCCTGGAGGTGCCAGCTCTAGCCACAGGGAGGCTGACATGGGGTATCTCCACCTGCCTGGGATTTGGAGCCAGTGCCCAAACCCACCTCAGACTGCCCCCGTCTCCAGCCATGCATTGAGGAGGCTGGAGACGGGGGCAGAGAGGGCCTTGCCGAGGGCCTCAGGGGAAGGGATGAGTGTGACACCCTTATTTGAGGATACCAAGAGGGCCACTGTGGCTGTGGCACTCACGGGGCCGGGAAACTCTGGAGCCCACCCAGGGCCCATGTGTGAAGCCCCCGGGTCCTTCTTCTTCTGAGTTCCATGATGGTGACAGAGCGGATGAAAGTGCTTATTGTGGGGCTGGAGTGATAGCACAGCGGGTAGGGCATTTGCCTTTCATGCGGCCAATCTGGGTTCGATTCCCAGCATCCCATATGGTCCCCCAAGCACCTCCAGGAGTAATTCCTTAGTGAATGAGCCAGGAGTAACCCCTGTGCATTGCCAGGTGTGACCCCCCTCCCCCCCCCCCCCAAAAAAAAAGTGCTTCCCGTATCTCTGGGCAGGTCACAGAACACTGTGGTGGGGCTCAAAAGATCACTTCCTGCATCCAAGGTTCCTTTCAGGCAGTAAGACAGGAGGCTGGTTGTAACAGAAATCCTTGCTGGCTGGCTGTGACCAAAAATGGCACTTTGTGCTACTTGTTGAGGCTTGGCAAGGATTCTGTGTCTCTTTGCCTCGATACCACAGAGCTGTCCAGCCAGAGAGATGGCACAGGGCTTAAGGCACTTGCTGTGCACACAACTAACCCCAGTTGGATCTCCAGAGCCTCATATGGTCCCCTGAGCACTGCCTGGAGTGATCCCTGAGCATAGATCCAGGAGTAAGCCCTGAACACTGCCAGGTGCGTTCTCAAAACTAACCAAACCAACCCACTGAGCTCTCTTCCCGCCCTGCCCTTCCGGGGCCCAGGGCAGACATTGCTAATTGCTCAGGCTATCCTCACAGCTGCCCAGTGAAGCACAGCGCCCCCCTCCCCCCAAGCTCCCTGGACACAGTCCCTGGCACACACAATGAAACCAGTGCCCCAGGCCCGCTGTCTGCTCCTCTGGCTTTGAATTCTGTCTCGGGTTCCCGTCCTGCCTCTCACTCGTGGCCGTGTCTCTCTGTTGCCTTCCAGATCGAGTGAGAATCTGATTGTGATGCACAAGTGCTACATCTTCCTGGTGTTCATGGTCCTTATTCTGCCCTCCATGGGGCTGACCAGGTATGCCTCCTCTCGTCAGCCAGGCTCCCCCTAGAGCAGAAACCTCCTCTCCCAGACACGGCAGTCCTTCCTGCGGGGTTGCAAGTCCATTCCTCACGTGGGTCTCTGTCGGGCATGACCCTGGCCCCAAGCCAGACTCCACATGAACCCCGGCGGCAGCTCTGCTCTCAGAGAGCTCATCCTCTGGCTGGAGAGCCTGCCAGGCCTACTTGGCTGCCTCCCAGCCCGGGCAAGGGAAACGCAGCCAGCAGGGGGGTTGAAGAGCAAAGGGGACCCTGGAGGAGAGATGACGGGCAAAGGTTGGCCTGCTGGAGCAGAAAGAACCACCAGCAGGATGGCCCAGGACGGAAAAGAAAGAGGCTGGGGGCCTGGCGAGGTGGAAGTGTCTTTGGACACAAGGGACAGAGGCAAGGACGGAAACTCCATCTTAGAGGGACGGGGCCCTTCACCTGAGCTCCTGGACTCACCGGCTAAGAGGCCTGTCTTGTCACTTCCAGTTTGCATGTCTTTCTACGCTGGCTCTTCGACATCTACTATCTAGGGCGTGCAACCATCAAGTTCCAGTGAGTATCCCCCAACCACATGGGGGTCCCTAGGTTCACAGTGGTCGGAGGGACTGCATCATGCTCTCCCCTCAGGCAACTTCACTATCCCTTGGACACCTCCCCCCCACACACACACAAACACACACACTCTGATGATTTCTAACCTGGTTGTAGAGTCTTAAGAAATCGTCTCCTGGGACTGGGGTGGCAGCACAACAGGTCAAGTGTTTTCCTTGCATGTGGCCGACCCCGGTTCGATTCCCAGCATCCCATATGGTCCCCCCACACTGCCAGAGGCAATTCCTGAGAGTTGAAAAGTCAGGAGTGACCCCTGGGCATCGCTGGGTGTGATCCAAAAAAGCAAAAAGAAAAAGAAAAAACAGAAATCATCTCCCCAAAGTCCTAGGTACTCTTCATCCAGTGTACCCCCATGGAAGCACTGTGTCTAATTATAATACAATAACAGCCGGGAAATAAGACACTGATGTAACCTACGGAACTTTTTCATATTTTTAGGAGTCTTCATCTGGAAATGCTTACGGTTTACTCCTGACTTTGTGCTCAGGGATCTCTCTTAATTTTGTTTTATTTTTATAAAGTTGTTCACAATAATTGATTACATTTAATATTTGAACACCAATCCCACCACTATTACACTTTCCCACCACCATATTTCTTTTTTTTTTTAATTTTTATTAGTGAAAAACCATGAGGTACAGTTGTAGACTTACAAATTTTTGTGCTTGGGTTTCAGTTATACAATGATCAAATACCCATCCCTCCACCAGTGCCCATTTTCCATCACCACGGGTCCCAGTATCCCTCCCACCCCCCATCCCCCCATCCCACCTTGCCTCTGTGGCAGTGCATTCCCTTTTGTTCTCTCTCTCCTTTTGCCCACCACCATATTTCGACTGCTTCCATCCCAAACCCCAAACCCTGACCACAAAGCAGAACCGAAGTAATTTATTTTGTATTGCTCGTTATTGGCTGCATGCAAGGCAAACACCCTACCCACTGTGCTATCACTCCAGCCCCACTTAACGGGAAGTTAAGTGATTAAGTGATTAAGTGATTGCTCGTTATGGGGCTGGAGTGATAGCACAGTGGGTAGGGTGTTTGCCTTGCATGCAGCCAATCTGGGTTCTATTCTTTCATCCCTCTTGGAGAGTCCGGCAAGCTACCGAGAGTATCCCGCCCGCATGGCAGAGCCTGGCAAGTTCCCCGTGGCGTATTTGATATGCCAAAAACAGTAACAACAAGTCTCACAATGGAGACATTACTGGTGCCCACTTGAGCAAATCGATGAACAACAGGAGGACAGTGCTACAGTGCTACAGTGCTCGTTATGAATAATCCGCTAAAAATGATCCAAAAATTTGTCCTTAGAGGAAAGTGTGTGAAGATTGCTGTATTTCACCAGGAAGCCAGGAAGCCCGTCTATAAAAGCGCAGTAATATGTTGTTAAAGGTTGAGTCTTATGTGCTTATATATATATGTATAGATTTATTTTCCCCTAAGATTGGTTGCCTTCTACTTGAATATGGTGTGCTACTCTTGGTATAACAGTGGTGTAAAGTTTGTGGTCGTGCAGTCCAGGAATAGATTCACTCATGGTTGAGGCTCTTCCGAGTGTGTGGAGAGCGGCCATGAGCATGGCAGCAATTGAGTTTTGGAGGTTTTTGGCTGACGGGGCTGGCTCTGTTGGGATGGGGAGGGGAACTCACCCTCCTCCCTCTGGGATGTCCCAAATGAAACAGCCTGGCGTAGGGTCTGGTGGCATGTCTGTGGCATATCATTTGGGCTCTCTTCCTAGAGATTTATTGTTGAGTCTCTGGATCATGGCCATTAAGATTACATGGTGCCAGAGGCTGTTTGTGGGCGTGACTGCCAAGCTTCCAGAGACCGAGGGACATGGTGGGAGGTTCGCTTATTCCTGGCTCCATTGAGCCTGGAGTTTTCAGTCACAAGTCACAGGGATCACTCTTGGTGGTGCTCAGGGAATCAGATGGTGCTAAGGGTCAAACTGGATCAACTGCATACAAGGCATACAAACCTTACATCCTGTCCTATCTCTCCAGCCCCCTTATTTAGATTTAGCCAGTTTTGCATTGACTTCAAATAATGAACAACATCACATTTCAAGAAAATCAGTTTTACAAAGCACTTTTAAAATTTTGTGGATGTCTTCGGGAATGCATTTAAAAAACAAAATAACGCATTTTAAATCCCACCAGCCAATCTCCCATTGCGTTGTCTTAAGGCCCTGAGTGTCAGCCCGTTTGAGACACAGCTAGAAGAACTTAAGTGGAGAAAGGGTTGATCTTAGCATCTGCTTATATTTGACATTTAGATTTTTTTCTTTTTAGGGTTAAACATGTTGAAATCCCAGTTTTCAAAGATACAGTGTTGCAGATGACACAAGAAGCGTCCCTTAACTTGCTCTATGGAGCAAGAACTAGCATTTTTCAAGATTTCTGCAGTGAGACTACATTTATAATAAATTGGATTCCCCGCCCCCCCCCCAAAAAAAAAACCTGAGTCCATTTTTGGCTGGGTCATTGTCTTTAGTACAATTTATATATGGAAAGGAAAGTCTAAGTTCATGATTCAGTTTTGGTATCATTGAGAAAGAAAGAGACGCTCTCTGTTTGTTTGTTTTGGGTGTCTCACCCTGAAATGCTCAGGACTTCCTCCTAGCTTTGCACTCAGGAATTACTCCTAGTGGTGCTCAGGGGACCATATGGGATGCCGGTGATCAAACCTGGCTGATTGACTGCATGCAAGGCAAGAGCCTTACCGGCTTTAGATTCCCAAGAGGCTTTTTTTTTTTAAATAATAATTGTTTTCACTGTGGTTTACATTTTAAGACACTTCCTACCCATTTTCCACAATTACCACACCATATTTAATGGGGTTCAGGCAGTAGGCAACAGATAATAGAGAGAAATATATAAATATATGCCTCTCGGAGAGTCCGGCAAGTTATTGAGAGTATCCCGCCCGCATGGGCAGAGCCTGGCAAGCTCCCTGTGGCATATTCGATATGCCAAAAACAGTAATGACAACAGGTCTCATTCCCCTGACCCTGAAAGAGCCTCCAGTTGTTGGGAAAAGACGAATAAGAAGAGGCTGCTGAAATCTCAGGGCCGGGAGGAATAGAGACGTTACTAGCACCCGCCTTAGTAAATCGTTGAACAACGGGATGACAGTGATGCAGTCATACAGTGGTTTACAGTCTGCTGCTAAGAGGATTTTATCCTTAGCACTTCCCCACCTTTTTTTGGCGGGGGGGCTTTTTCGGTTACACCCAGCAATGCTCAGGGGTTACTCCTGGTGGTGCTCAGGGGCCCATATGGGATGCCAGGGATTGAACCTGGGTTGGCCGTGCACAAGGCAAACGCCCCACCCGCTGTACTATCACTCCGGTCCCCTCACTTCCCCACCTTTCAGCACCTCCCGGGGGAACGCTTCCCTCCACCAGCGTCATTGCCAACACCCCAATCTTCCAACCCCCTGAGAGCCTGTCTGTCCTGACACACACCCTCTGGGCACCAGCATCACCTGCCATCCACCCTGTCTCTCTTTTTCTCCTTCTGCCCCCCTCGGCGCCCCCCAACTCCCGTCTCCCCCAATTCCACCCCGTGCCCAGGTGTGTGTTCCTGCCTGACAACGGCGCCTTCTTCGTCAACTACGTCATCACCGCAGCCCTGCTGGGCACAGGCATGGAGCTGCTGCGTCTGGGCTCGCTCTTCTGCTACTCCCTCCGCCTCTTCTTCTCCACGTCCGAGCCGGAGCGAGTCCACATCAGGAAGGTGAGCGGGGCCCAGGGAGGTGCTGCGGGCGAGTGGGGAGGGTTCCTGGGGGTCTGCAGGTCAAATGCTGGGGGCTGTGGCATGGTGGAGCTCCCAGGGTCCCAGGCCCCGCACGGCAGGCTGCCTCCACCTCCTTGTCCCAGGGAGATGGACAAGGGGCCACAGCTCAGCCACGCCGAGAGGACCGGGCCCTGGTAGGGTGACCCCACCTTCTACCCCAGGACCAGGCCATGGATTTCCAGTACGGGCGCGAGTACGCGTGGATGATGAATGTCTACACCGTGGTGATCACTTACAGTGTCACGTGCCCCATCATTGTCCCGTTCGGTGAGTTCCCCACCCCCAAAGCCCCCATCCTGGGGCACCTGGAATCTGGGAACACCCCCTCCTCTCCACCCCCCGGTGAGCAAAGGGGCACATCTGGGGCCGAGGCTGGTGACTGATGGTCAGGTGAATGCAGGAGCGAATGATTCCAGCCAAATGGCAATGTGAAGTTGAGCCCTTGGGGCCTGGGGTATGGGGGGATGCCCCAAGTCCCCCACAACCAGTCCTTGGCCCTGGGTTGCTTTGGGCCCTGGGGGCACCTAGGGCTGTGCTAGTCCTGGGCGTGGAAGCCGGCCCTGAGGGTGCTTCCATGTTCGGGGCGCAGGGCTGCTGTACCTGTTTATGAAGCACGCCACGGACCGCTACAACATGTATTACACGTATGTCCCCACCAAGCTCAACGAGCAGATCCACAAGGCGGCCGTCAAACAGGCCATTGTCGCGCCCATCCTGGGGCTCTTCTGGATGCTCTTCTTCTCCATCCTGCGGCTAGGTAGGTCCGGGCCAGCTCGGCCCCCACCCCCACGCCCACCCCCACGTCTTGACAGCTCCTCACCCCGACTCTGGGGTGAGTAGGACTCAGTCAGGACAGCCTGGGGCCTCCGCTCAGGCGGCTTCCTGTGTCTGTTTACAGCACAGAGGGCCTGGGACATCCCGTTCCTTCCTTCTCGCTCAAGCTGGGCGGGACTTGTTCGCTTCTGGGGCTCACCCCACCCCCTGCCATGGGATTCCCTCTGGAATGCCCTAAGGAGTCCAGTTTGGGGTCAGAGAGACAGTCCAGGGCTTAAGGCACTTACCTTGCATGTGGCTAACCTGGCTTTAATTCCCTGCCACCCCATGTGGTTCCCCTGAGCCCCCACCAGGAGTGATTCCTGAGCACAGAGCCAGGAGTAAACCCTGGGCACAGCTGGGTATGGCCCCAAAACTAAAAGGAAATTAAAAAAAAAAAGTCTGGTGGGGCGGGAGCAATAGCACAGTGGGTAGGACATTTGCCTTGCATGTGGCTGACATGGATTCGATTCCCAGCATCCCATATGGTCCCCTAGCACCGTGAGGAGTAATTCCTGAGTGCACGAGCCAGGAGTAAACCTCTGTGCATCGCCAGGTGTGACCCCAAAAGCAAAAAATATCTAAATAAAGTCTGGGTTCACGGGGTGCCTGAAGCCCACAGGAAGATTTGAAGTGGACCTCAGCTCCTCTCCTGGCCTCACAGAACTGCTGCCCTGGCATGCAGGGCCACCCCCACAGGGCAAGTGCCAGTGGGCCACCAGTCCGATGGGAGCTGCCCTCTGGGCCAGGAGGTCACAGTGGCCTTTTCTTTCCGTGCCTTGCACCCCACTGTTTCCTGCTGCCCTCCGCTTGCTTGCCGTGGAGAAGGAAGGCGCCTTTGCTGCCTCTCTCCACATCTGCAAGCAGCTACTTCTTGGTTCGATGCCTGCACTCACATTTGTCTCACTGCTACCTTGGGGGGGGGGGGCTTCTTTCCCCCTTCCCGCCTCCCCGTGCATTGCTTCCTTCCTTCCACTCATGCTTTTCTGTTTTGTGAGTGTGTGTGACTATTCTATTGTTTTTTTTTGTTGTTGTTGGAAACTTTATTTTTTTTTTTTACATCCAAGTTTATTTTATTTATTTTTAGATCGCGCCCGGCAATGCTGAAGGGTTACTCCTGTCTCTGCAGTCAGGAATTAACTCCTGGTGGTGCATGGGTGGACCATATGGGATGCCGGGGATCAAAACCGGGTCAGCCGTGTGCAAAGCAAACCCCAATTTTTGGGGGGAAACTTTAAAAGACTGTTTTTGACGTACAAAGAGCTTTTTATAGCACAGAACTTCTTATACAGTAAAACTTTAAAAAATTATGTGTGCCTATGCATAAGAATTATGCAGGGTATATTCTATATATTAACATTATTGATCAAGTTAATTTTCCAAAACTTTATTCTTTAATTCTATTATAGTCTTCATTGTATGAATTAAAAAAAAATTTTATTGAATCACTTTGAGATTCCTTATGCCAAACATAGTAACAATAAGTCTCACAATGGAGAAGTTAAAAAAAATTTTTTTTTTATTAAATCGCCTTGAGGTTCAATATGCCAAACACCGTAACAAGTCTCACGGTGGAGACATTACTGGGCCCACTGGAGCAAATCAGTGAACAAGGGGGGGGGGGGGGGGGACAGTGCTACAGTGTAGCTTGAGATACACAGTTACACAGTTGATCATGATTGGGTTTCAGTGATACAATGTTCCTGCACCCATCCCTTTACCAGTGCACATTTTTCGGTACCAGTATCTCCAGTTTCCCTCCCTCCCCCAAGCAGGGTCTCAGTCTCTCTCTCTCTGTGTCTCTCTCTCCCCCCCCCGCCCCCGCCCTTCCCTTGTTTGAGCATTATGGTTTGCAAATCAGGTACTGAAAGACAGCATATATATTAGTTTACCACTTCTCAGCACTCAGTTCTTGTCCAGAGTGATCATGTCCAACTATCATTGCTATAGTGGTCCCTTCTGTGTCCTAACGGCCCTCCCCGCAAGCTTCCAACCATGGACCAGTCCTCCTGGCCCTCACTACTACTGTCCTTCGATATTAGTCTCATGCTTTTATTTCTTTAATATCCCATAGAGGAGTTCATGCTTTTCGTTGAGCATAATGCCTGCACCCTTCTTAACAAACCCAGAGCCACGCAGATGGGCACTGCCAGGCAGAGCAGAAGTTTCTGGGTTCACCATTGAGTGGCTTCGGGGGGACTTGCACTTGTGGACACTGCCACTTCTCTCCAGCTGCCTGGCTGAGCACTGTGCGGTGATGATGAGGAAAAGGTGCCCTCCCTCCTGTGTGTTCTCAGTTCTCTCGTCTGGGGGTGGGATTTTCCTGGTAACAAAGTCCAGCGAGCAACCTGTGCCTGTACAAGCTAGGTTTGGTTTCTTTCCTTTTGTTTGGGGTGGGGTTTGGGCCTCATCCTCTGATGCTCCCAACTCTCTGCTGTGGCACCATCTGGTACCCAGAACAAACCTGCACGCTCCCCTGCCGGCCTGTCTCCCTGACCTCTGAGGTTGGGTTTTAATAGTTACCTCACGCCGCTCCATTCCAAGGTTACCAACTTTTTTTAATATATCATGATCATGATCACAATCATCCCGTTTTTCATCGATTTCCTTGAGCAGGCACCAGTAACGTCTCCTTCATCCTAGCCCTTGAGATTTTAGAAAGTGCCATATTCGAGGCTCTTTCAGGACCAGGAGAATGAGACCCATCATTGTTACTGGTTTTTGGCATATTGAGTACGCCACGGGGAGTTTGCCAGACTGCTGTGCGGGCAGGATAGCTTCGGTAACCTGCTGGGTTCTCCAGAGTAAGAACTAGATAATAAGCTTGCTTCCGGGAGCTGGGTTTTATAGTCTCTGGGTCTTGGCTTGGTTGATGGGATTACCTGGTTCCGGGGGCAATTGGTGGGTGTGATACCTACCTACCGGAAGATGGGGGATCTGGGTGGAGGAGGCCCAGTCCTGATCCGAATAGGCTTGGAGATCTCAACCCCAGGACCCGCATGCCTGTATTCCTCTACCAGTTCCTTCATGCATGTGGAGAGTGGTCTCAGCATGGCTGTGGCTGATTCTGGAGGTCTTCAGCTGCCAATGCTCTGCTCGGGGTGGGGAGAAAAACTCAACCTGCCCCCCTTCAAGTGGTCCCGGTGACAACAGCCAGGCGCTGTTTTTTTTTTTAATTTTTATTTATTTTTATTGAATCACTGTGAGCTGCAGTTACAAAACTTTCATATTTGAGTTTCAGTCATACAATGATCGAACACCCATCTCTCCACCAGTGTATATTTTCCACCACCAATGTCCCCAGTATCCCTCTCCGCTCCGTCCCACCCTTCCCCCTGCCACTATGGTGGACAATTTCCCTCTTACTCTTTCTCTACTTATGGTCATTATGGTGAGGCCATCATGTTTGGTCCACTATCTACTTTCAGCACACATCTCCCATCCCGAGCGATCCCTTCAGCCATCATTGTCTTAGTGATTCCTTCTCTATCCCAGTTGTCCTCTCCTTCAGTTCATAAGGCAGGCTTCCAGCAATGGAGCAATATTCCTGGCCCTTGTCTCTCCTGTCCTTGGGTGTCAGTCTCATATTATGGTATTTTATATAAAGGAGAAATTCTCAATCCCTGTCTTATCTATCTGCTAGTTTTAAATGAGTTAAAGCTGTGTCAAAGTTACCAAGTTTAGAGCTACCGTAGAGGTAGAACAACAGTTTGGGTGCTTGCCATGTACACAGCCAACCTAGGTTTGGTCCTCAGCACCCCATATGGCCTGGGGTCCTGCCAGGAATGACCCTTAAGTGCAGAGCTAGAAACAAGCCCTGAGTACAGCCGATAAAGGTAAAGGTAAAGGCCCTCCCGTTGTTCATCGATTTGCTTGAGCGGGCCCAGTAACGTCTCCATTGGAGATTTTGTTGTTACTGTGTTTGGCATATCGAATACATCACGGGTGGCTTGCGAGGCTCTGCCGTGTGGGCGAGATACTCTCAGTAGCTTGCTGGACTCTCTGAGAGGGGCGGAGGAATCGAACTTGGGTCGGCCATGTTGGCTGCGTGCAAGGCAAACGCCCTACCGCTGTGCTATCGCTCCAGCTCAAGTACGATGTGGCCTCCAAATGAAACAAAAGATCCACTCTCCCTCTGGTTTTGTTCAGGTCCCAGATGGCAGGAAGTGCATGTTTGGTGGGTCCCTAAACATTTATGTAAAGTCTCTTCATTTTACTTCATGGTCAATGTTAAAACTTGTCCAGTGACACAGAGGAATGCTGTCTTTGTCCCAGACACCTGGGTCAGATGTCTGAGGTATCCCCAGATGTCTACCCATGGGGTGGCATCCTGACAGGCCTTCTCCTGACTCCCACTGTAGCCTGCTTGCACCAGGCCCCCCAACTCCCTTTTCTCTTCGCAGGTACATCCCACGTCCTCACCTTCATATCCATCGCCCTCCTCGTCCTGTCCATGATGATTGCCTTCACTAGCACCTTCATGGGGAAGATTCACTACTCATCGGTTTCTCGGAGGGTAAGTTGTCTACCTGCCTCTCCCCTACCTGGGGGGTGTGGACAGCCACTGCACTGTGAGACCCAAGTGGCTCTGGCCTTGCGCTCTGGTTTTGGGGTGTGACGACCCCCTGCCTGCCTGTTCATGCCTCAGTGGGTCCTTGCACCAGCACTGACTGGACCCCCGCTCCCTGAGTCATATCTCTGGATGAGAAACACACCTGTCCTCTCCTCTTGCCCCCACAGACAGCTTCCTACCTGGCCTTCCTCCCGGGGAGCCCAGCCAGCCAGGGATGCTGTGAGCTGATCTTCCCCAGAGTAGAGAATTGAGTTTGGGGTGAGCATGGGAAAGGCTCAGAGGAGGAGAGGCTGTCTTCCCGTGGCTAACACTCCTTCACTCTTGGGGCCCGATCAATAGTGCAGCAGGCAGGGCACTTGCCTTGTATGTAGCTGGTCCCAGTTCCATCCCTGGCACCCCCATATGGTTTGTCTGTACATACCCAGGAGTCAGCTCTGAGCACCACCAGGTGTGACCCAAACACAAAACAAAAGAATCCTTCACTCTGGAGCCAGTAGTCCTCGGACCCAGTGCTGGGGTAGACAGCTTGGGAACCTCTACTGCCTTGGTTATAGCTGCTGGTCTGTGGACTGATACACAGGCCTGGCCACAAGTGTAGACAGGTTGAAGGACCAGCTCTAGCTAAAGAAGGAAGCTGGCAGGAGACCCTGGGCCCCTCCAGGGGACTCACTCCATACCACGACAGGAAACCGGAATACCAAGACCGCTGAAGGCCAGGCTGTCCCAGAAGTCAAAGCAGTTTGATGCTTTGGTGCTGCTTCCGCCTCCCAGCTAGCCCTTCGTCCCAGCCTCTTCCAGCCTCTGTCCCCTTGGACTACAGCAGACCTGGCAAAATGGAGGGCAGACTGCATTCTAGACCCTGCATGCTTGGTCCCAGCGCCTCCGTGTGGGGGACAGTCAGAGGAACCCCCACCTCCTCAACACAGTGTCCCTCCACATCTCTCCCTGCAGCAGTTGCCGGAGGAGATGGAGACCGTGTTCGACATGGAGCCAAGCAGCACCGCCTCCACGCCCACGTCTCTTGTGAGTCAGAGGGCCTGTGCCCTCCCACCCCCTTGGGAAGGGTGGCCCCCCGCTCAGGTGGGGGTACCACAGGGAGGGGCTACTCCTGCTTTTAGTGCCCACCCTGGGGGGGACAGGGAGGAGACCGGGAGACCCTGGCACCCTCCTCTGATGCAGCAGGACTTGGCCCAGGTCACCTTGCTGCCATGGCCCTGGCTGAAGAGCCAGGAAGATGGAAGATCCAGGATGTGGCGGAGATTCTCTAAAAGGAACTCAGAGAGGAAGAGAAAGGTCAGGGCACGTGTGGCCAGATAGTGGTGGCGAGGCCGGGGCGTGCTGGGCCCAGGCCATGTGGCAGGGAGCTCCTGGAGGTCGGGCGGCCCCCGAGGACAGCGCCCAGCAGCCAGCCAAGAAACCAGCCCAGGACCAGAGTGCACGGGCGGCGGACGGGCCTGGGCGCTCTCACCAGGGCTTAGACCAGCGCAGGGCACCCATGTGGAGGTGGGGTCACTGGTGCAGTGAACTGGGCACTGGGCCAGTCTGTGCCCCATGCAGGGTGCCTAACAGGAGCACTGAAAAAGGGAACCAGCCACCCAGGCACTCAGGAGACTTCCAGATGGAGGGGGTGTCTAATCCAACTCTAGGAATAGAAGTAGTTTTGCCAGAGGCCGGCCAGAGTGATAGAACAGTAGGTCGGGTGCTTGGTTGGCATGCAGTGAACCTGGGCTTGATCCCCGTATGGTCTCCCGAGCACCATGTGGGGATCCCTGAATGCAAAGCCTATAGTAACACCTGAGCATCGCCAGGTGTGGCCTCTGAAACAAATAAACAGACAGACAAAAAACCCCCACAAAAACAAAAGTGCATTTGCCAGGTGTGGGAAAGAGCAGTCAAGGAAGAGGCATGGTCTCTGCCCAAGGCTGGAGGAAAGACCCTAGAAGGTCTGGGGAACAAAAGACAGTTTCAATGCAGAGGACATGCAGAGGTTGGCCGGGCTTGGCAGAAGTGTTGGAGGAAAGTGCATAGATACATAGTGGGTACACAGACACATAGTAGGTACACAGACACGCAGTAGGTATACATACACACAGTGGGTACACAGACACACAATAGGTACACAGACACACAGTTGGGTACACAGACATGCAATAGATACACAGACACACAGTGGGTGCATAGACACATAGTGGGCACACGCACAGTAGGTATACATAGTGGGTGCATAAACACAAAGTGGGTGCATAGTCACATAGCAGGTGTGCCTGGGTGGCTGGTTTCCTTCCTCAGTGCTCCTGCAAGGCGCCTTGCAGGCCGACCCAGTGCCCAGTTCATTGCACCGTAGGTACATAGACAAACAGCAGTGCAGAGACACACAGTGGGTGCATGGACACACGGTGGGTGCATATAGGCACACAGTAGGTCCCAGACACACAGTAAGTGCATTCTCGCCCCTACACAGAGTCATCACACTGCTACACTTTGAGTAAATGGTCTCTGCAAGGTGTCAGGGGAGAAAGCTTCAATCCTTAAGAGGCGGAAAGGTTTCAGGTGGAAACTCCACATAGCATCTCCTGGGGCACTTCTGAGAAGCCCCTGGTAGAACACTTAGCAGCTGGGCATTGAAAGCTTCTTTCAAACCCGACATACTTCCCTGCTTGCCATTCATCTCTCTGATAAGTCTACTCAGAGGCAGTTTTCATCTCATCTTACCATGGGAAGCTGGAGGCTCCGAAAGGTCAGTTAATGTGGACCTCAGGGCTCTGAGCAGGGAAGTGACAGAGCAAAGTATGAACTAGTCCATCCACCCTGGAGCCTGAGATTTAAAAAAAAAAAAATCCCTGGAACTGACTTCTCTGTTTTCTGTATTACAGTGGCACATGAACATTGTAGATAAGTACAGGAGAGCAAAAATAAGGCGGGGTGGGGGGGGGGGGGAGGAAGGTTGCCATTCCCACCAGCCAGAGATGACTGCTGATACCCTAGCGAATGTTCTCCCTGAGAGAAACAGAGACCTCTGGATCAGTCTTGCTAACATGAAACATTGTATTGTGTCTAGTTTTGTAGCCTGCAGTCTTCAACTCACAATCATCTACCTATTTTCCCCCTCTTCAAATACTTAGTTACTATTCAGATCGCCATAGGTGTTCCAGAAATACCTATCACAGCTTGTCCAAAGCAATAGCCAGTCCAGCTCTGTGCATGTTCCTTTCATATTAGCACCTGCTTTTTTCATTTTCTGTTTTAAAATTTTGGTTTGGGGGACACATCCTGTGATTCTCCTGGCTTACTCCTGACTCTTCTTTTCTTTTTCTTTTTGGGTTACACCCAGCGATGCTTAAAGGGGTTACTCCTGGCTCTGCACTCAGGAATTATTCCTGACGGTGCTTGGGGGACCAGAGGGGATGCTGGGGATCAAACTCGGGCCGGCCGCGTGCAAGGCAAACGCCTACCTGCTGTACTATCGCTCTGGTCCCTTACTCCTGACTCTTCACTCAGTGGTCACTCCTGGCTGGGCTCAGAGAACCATGTCGGGTGGTGAGGGTTGAACCTGAACCAGTCATGTGCAAGGCAAGTGCCCCTCCTTCTCGTGCCCTCATGATGAGTTTTGATTTGAACTTCCCTAATCATTGTTTTCACATGCGTGAAAGCCATCTGTTCTGTCATCTCTGAAGAAGAGCCTGTTCAGATCTTCTGCCCAAATTCTGATTGAGTTGTGTTGTTACTGAATCGTATAAATTCTCTCTCTCTCTGATCTTGACCCACTGTCAGGTGTAGCAATAACTTCGCCCTGTCAGTAGGCTGTTTTTTTTTTTTTTCATTTTTGTGCTGGTTCCTTTCGCTGCATGCACATGTTTTTTTAGTTTGATGTGCTCTCTCTCTCTCTCTCTCTTGCTCTCACTCTCGCTCTCTCTTAACATTTGATTTTTGCTTCCTTTGGTTTGGGCTGTTTTTCAGGGCTGTTTTGACAGCAGGTCCCACTGTCTCTTGTTGTTCTTGGAAACTAGACCAAAGTCAGGATCAGCCTGGGGCTGAGACAGATACCACACACAGGCAACACACACACTCACTTTCCTGATTAGGACCACAAATGACAAGCAAGTGGCTTCCTAGTGAGGGGCCCAGTCAGCCATTGTCCAGTTGCCCTATTTTGCGGACCAAGAGGTCATACATGGAATTTCCTCAGGCCTTATGCAGACTTCTAGATTCTTCCGTAGGAATGATTTTTCCCTCACCTGCTAGGGCTTTTCTGCTTCATCTGAAATGAGCTCCTGCAGGGACATCTTGGTTCTGTCCTGATCTCGATTTGAGGAAGAAGGTGTTGAAGGAAGAGTCACTTCTCAGGAGGACAGTCGCTCTGGGGCCGAAGCTCCTGATTCACCCTCTCTCTGCTCAGCCTGTCTCTGTTCTCTCCTCCCGGAGTCAGATTTCAACCCTGAGATTCGGGATGGTTCTTCCCACGCCAGATGAGACACTTGTCATTGTGCCTCTGGAGCACTCCCTCAGAAGCAGGGTCCCTCTGACCCTGTTGCAGTTACCCGCTATAACCTTTCCCCCAACCCTGTTGCAGTTACCCGCTAGGACCTTTCCCCCAACCCTGTTGCAGTTACCCGCTAGGACCTTTCTCTCTGACCCTGTTGCAGTTACTCGCTAGGTAGGACCTTTCCCCCCGACCCTGTTGCAGTTACCCGCTAGGACCTTTCTCTCTGACCCTGTTGCAGTTACCCGCTAGGTAGGACCTTTCCCCCTGACCCTGTTGCAGTTACCCACTAAGACCTTTCCCTGGCTCAACCTGCAATGGAACTGACACACTGGACCACACAGCAAGCATGCTGAGCTGTTGGGACAGACCCAGAGCCCCCCAAGGCGGGTGGACCCAGAGCCCCCCAAGGCCTCAGACTGCTGGAGCAGTGGGAAGGCTCCCAGCTTGGAGGGGGCAGAGGCTCCGGGGCCCAGGCTGCGCCTAGGGCCTAGCCCTCGCTGTGGCCTCACCCCCATCCCCCCTCTCTGTCCCGAGCAGCTGTATGAAGCCAGTGTGATGCACGAATCTTCGATGACCCCCGCCTCCTCTCCCGGCCGCCACAGCTACGGCAGCATGAGCAGACCAGCTTATGCAGAGGAGCTGGGCACGTTCCAGCAGGACCTGGAACTGGAGAACCAGAAGCAGTGACCGGGACCTGGGCCTCCACCTGGCGGTTCCCGCCAGGAGTGGCGGCCAGGAGAGAGCCTGGCAGGGGAGTTAGAGGGCCCCGACCCTCCCCGCTTCTTCCAGCAGACTTTGGGCAGGCCCAGCAGAGACATCTGCCGGCCCCGCGTGGACACCCCGGCCTGCCAAACAGCTAGAACGGGAGCAGCAAAGCAGTACTCCGGGCCCCTGGCAAGGACGGGAGGAGACAGGATGGCACCACATCTCGGAAGAAGTGGCTGAAGCCCCTAGTGCAGATTGAAGCCCGAGGTCGCTTCGCAGGGTAGAGACGGGATGGAGGGAGGGCAGGGAGGCTGTGCAAGAGGAAGGAGGCAGAAGGGAGCCCCGGGACTGTCCAGGACCTGCCACCCTCCCACCTGTGGTCCTGCCCTACGCACCCCTGCAGCCTGAGGAAGAGCAGCCTGAGTGCAGCCTCGTGGATGAGACCATCCCCTTGCCCAGCCCAGAGGTCCCTGAGATAAACCGCTGCAGCCATGCCAACGCCCGCCGAGATCCCCATCACGTGTCCCCGGGAGCTGGGGGGTGGGCACTGTCTCTTTTCTAGTCTTGTGAGGGCACCAAGCGCCCGTCCACCCAAGGGCTCATTAAACCAGACCTGGTGTATTTTGGTGAGGCCACCTTGGTGGGTCATATCTAGCGGGGAGGGGCTGAGAATTCAAGGAGTGTGGGTGGGTGGGGGAGGGCGGGGGGATCTCCCAAGATTTGGGGAAGGGGGAAACAACCTGCCTCCCCAAGGCCCAGGCCTGCCCCCCGAGAGCTCTGCTGGGCTCAGGGGAGCCCTGCCCACACTGGTCACGGGTGGCCCCCAGGCCCGGAGAAAGAAATTGCCTCTGACCTAGCGCCACCTGGACCGTGGTACAGGCCTGCACAGCTGTCCTTCATGGTTGGGCTGCAAGCTGCGTCCTCCGCGTGGCAGATCTGGGGGACCCTGACACCTGGGCCACAGGCGGGTTTCTCTGTCCTTCCGGTCTGCCCAGCAGGGAGGATGTGGAGAAGGGCCAGCTGGGGCCTTGGGTTGATGGGTCGGTGAGCTCGCCAGTGCTCCCAAGCGGTCCCCAGGGGCCCCAGACTCACCCCCGGGCTCCTAACAAGCCAGGCCCATGGGGGCTTGTCCTTGAGGGGGCCCCCACTCCAGGCTTCACCCCAAGCAAGAACTAGCCCCGGGGGGCAGGCATTGCCATACCTTACCCCTAAGTTTGGTCCAGCTTCTTGGCATGAGGGATGCCAAGAGGCACCTGGGGTCTTACCCACATGTCCCCGGCTTGGAGGAAGGAGATGTTGCCCAAAGCCCTTCACAAGCAGGCCCTGCCCAACATTTCACCGCCCGCCCACCAGGGGAGGCACCTTTGCTGTTAGGACCCCTGCAGGGGAGCTGACTCAGGCCCCAGGTCCCAGAGTGTAAGTAAGGGGTCCTGCTGGAAGCTGGCCGCTCCTGCCAGGCTGTCCCTGCCCCCTCCTACCCCTGTCCCTGTGGCCTGTGGGTCCCCACAGATGACCGTGGGACCTCCCTCATGAACAGATGACCGTGGGATCTCCCCCGTGAAACTCGGGCGAGCCTGGTTCTGAGGGGAGCTGATGTGAGTACTGGGGTGCTGCTACGGCCCACTTGCATCCCCACTCTTCCCAGAGAGCCAGGGGGTTCTCCCAGAGGCCCGCGTGGAAAGGGGGTGGGGAGGGGGAGGCGCTTGAGCCCCGACATCTGCCTCTGCTGCTCTTAGCCCCAACTCCCACCGCCATCGCCCCCTGCCCACCCCGTCTGCCCGCCGAGCACCCTCTCAGATGCCACCCTTCCTGGAGGAGGCTGCTTAGGATGGATGGTGACACTCAGCCCCTCCCGGGAGGGCCTCCCCCGGGTCTCACACAGCTCCATGCCTGCCTGCCTCTTCCTCAGAAGCTTCTGGAAGCAAAGTGCCTATCAGCAGCATTGCCTCCTCTGGGGACCCTGGTGGGGGACGTGGACTTCCCTTAGCACCACCGTGGAAGAATGTGCCAGAATGCCTGACCTTGTTACTAATGCTATGACTGTGCCTTGAATAAACACATCCTCCCAACGTCTACAGGCGCACACCTCTGTCTGCCACCCGTGGGTCCCCGGGGGCCAGGGCGGCCTGGGGTGGGCTGAGCCCGGCGCTGCAGTGATGCTCTGTACCAGAGACTGAAACTGCCCCTTCTGGATGCCCTGACCCCTGATGTCCTTCCTAGCCGCCACCTGGTGGGGGCCTCTGGGACCCTGGGAGAGATCAGAAGGGAGTGCGCCTTTGCTGGGGGTATTCCCGGGCCCCGGTCACCAGGGAGAGCTGTCCGGTCCCCAAGATGCCCAGGGAGCCACCAATGCAGCCCGGCCCAGACAGTAGAGACTCAGGGACGAGTGCTGGCCCCGAGCGTGGGCAGTTGACTGGGGGGCCAAGGTCTGGGTCAGTGGCAGGCCGCAAAACTGGGGCTGTAGCCCTACTGCCTTGGGCCCTGAGGAGATTGTCCTGCTTGGGGTGGCCCTGACCTTTCTCTGGTCAGTTCAGCCAGTCCAGGCTGGCGCCGCCTCTGGAAAGTCTAGATCTGCCAGCTCTGCCTTCTTATTCACCAGGCAGGCCCTGGTGGTGGCGCACAGCAAGACTGTCTTCCCACTGCTCCCCCTGATGTCGGAGGCTGGCTGCCCTCAGGCTGCTCCCCGGGCCCCTGGCTGAGCCATCATGCTTTTGTGGTCCATCTGTCACAATTCAAAGCCCTTTTGCTGAAGCAAGTTTTCCCCCACCCTTGGTTTTTGAGCCATGTCCAGAAGTGCTCAGGGTTTGGTCCTGGCTCTGCTCTCAGGGATCACTCTTGGTGTGCTCAGGGGTCACTCCTGGCTCTGCACTCAGGAAACACTGCTGGCTGTGCTCGGGGACCATACGGGATGCCGGAGATCCAACCTGGGCCAGTTGTGTGCAAGGCAAACGCCAGACCCGCTGTATTGTCTCTCCATCCCTCTGTGGCACTGTAGCACTGTTCTCCCATTGTTCATGGGTTTGCTCGAGCGGGCACCAGTAACATCTCACAGCAAATTGTGAGACTTGTTACTGTTTTTGGCATATTGAATACGTCACAGGTAACTTGCCAGGCTTTGCCATGTGGGCGGAATACTCTCGGTAGCTTGCCAAGCTCTCCGAGAGGGGCAGAGAGGAGAATGACCCTACACAAATAAAAAGTGGGCACAAGACTTGGGGAGCCCATAGGGGAGCCCTGGTCTGACCTCCAAACCTCCCGGCATCGGAAGTAGCAGCTCATCCAAAGTGCCAGGCAAGCCTCCAGTACCATGAAACGGAGCCCCTGGGCCGCAGGCAGCTTCAGCAAAAGGCACCAAAGTCTGAGTTTCTCTACACGGATCCAGGACAACGCGGCCCTGCTGAGAGCAGCAGCGTGTGGGAACATCACAGGTCCGTCCTCCCTGGACAGTGAGCCATGACAGTCACACGGGAAGCTTCACACATGCGGTGGTGTGTGGGCAACGAGACACCGTCCCAGAGGAAGGGCGAGATGCCAAAAGAGCCTTGAGGTCAGGGACATGCCACAGCCACAGGACCTGGCTCACCACACACACACACACACACACACACACACACACACACACACACACACACACACCAGCCCCCTTAAGAAACACCTAAGTGCTCCACCCCTCTAAGTAATTAATTATTTTTCAAACCAAATCAGATGAAACCCATAAGGGCTGCTTGGAGGAGGAAAGGCCTGAAGTTTCCCACTGCCTGGGCCCTGCAGGGTGGCCTGCTGCCATGGCGAAAGGAGCTGCCACAGAACCCTCTGCTGCAAGGGACCCTTCCAAGCCTCCAGGAAACCCCCCAGACTGCAGCCCCCAGGCCCTTCAGTAGACACTCCCAGGACAGGACGCAGGCACAAATAAAGAAGAACAGGAGTGGAGGCCGTGGGGTGCCCGCAGAGAGGTGGGGCTGGACAGTGCCAGCTAGAAATTCACATGGAACATGAAGTCTTGGGTTTCAAACTTTCTGGCAAGATTTTAAGTGCTGGGGACTGGAGCGTCCCGAGTGTACAGCAGGTAGGGCGTTTGCTTTGCACACAGCCGATCTGGGTCCGATTCCCAGCATCCCATATGGTCCCCTCAGCACCGCCAGGAGTGATTCCTCAGTGCAAAGCCAGGAGTAACCCTTGTGCATCGCCGGGTGTGACCCAAAAATAAAAATGAAAAAAAAAAAAGATTTTAAGTGCTGGGGGCAGACCTTTGTACACAGAAATTCCTCAAGCTCCGTGTTTTCCAGAAAAAAAAATATTTACAAATCAAGACAGCAGGTACTGAGTCTTTTCAAGGACTGAGCACAAGAGCAGAATGAAGACAGAGGGGTGAGCCTTGGAACCGAGGAGACAGACAGTTTCATGACCTGCAGAGATGGGCGGCGGAGGCCTCGCTGAGCTGGATCCCTGATGATCTCCAATAGAAGAGAGGAGGTGATGGGGGGGTGGGGGGAAGAGCAAGGAAAGGCCATTCTGCAAGGAAGTGCCAGAGTGCATGGGGAGGCAGAACTGGGGGGAGGGCATTGTATAGGATGAAGGATAGGTGATGGATGAAGAGGAAGACACGAGAGAGCACTGTAGGACTGAGAACTGGAATAGAGGGAAAAGGAGCCTTAGTCCCCAAACACACACACTGCACCTGCTCAGGGGAACCTCCTTCCTCTTTCCTTTAAAAGCTCATCCTGGAAAGCTGCAGAGCTCATTTGCATACACAAGTACCTGAATCCCATCACTGCCAGGTGTGGGCTTGGACCCCCACCCCCAACCCTCATTACTCCTGGAGCTTCAACTGTCAGCCCAGCTGGTCCAGTGTTACCCAAACCACTGCAGCACTGGCCGGGAGGCCCCTTCCCAAAAGGAAGGTCAGTCCCACCCGGGGATCAGCTCTGCCCCTCCAAACAGGAGCGAGACGCTTTCCGTGGAGACCCAAGTCATCTTTCTTGCTGTCTGTGCCCCCGACTCATCCCTAACTCCCAAGCATCCCTTTGTCTCCGAGCACATGACCTCCCTTGGGGGCGTTCCAGCCAGGATCTGTGGGTGGGCACTGTTGGGTGCCCAGTGGCCAGACGGATGAGGAGTCACATGTTTCTCCTGCAAACTTCTCCAGGAAGAGGCTGTGTGGAGACGCACAGTGACATCTGCTGCCAGGGCACCCTCCAGGAGACAATGGGACACAGACTCCTTTCACTGTATAGAAGAGGCCATGATTCACATGCGCCTGTGTCCCCCTCCCCCTCCCCGGGCACTGTGAGGTCTGTCTGCATGGAGAAGCATGAAGGAGTTGTGAGGGGCTAAGCATTAGTACAGCGGGTAGAGTGTTTGCCTTGCATGTGGTCGACCCAGGTTCAATTCCCAACATCCCCTGAGCACCGCCAGGAGTAATTCCTGAGTGCAGAGCCAGAAGTAACCCCTGCCTGATCGTTGGGTGTGACCCCAAAAGAAAAAAAAAAGAGTTGTGGGCCGGGCCAGGTCTGAACGGGGCACATTCCACTGGCCAGAATCAATCACGTGTTCCCCAGTTGCAAGAGATGCTGGGAAATGTAGTCTGGCCATGTACCCGGAGGAAGAGGAACTGCTTTGGGTGTTTTCAGAACAGACCCTCATTCCAGCTCCCCCTCGGGATACCCCTAGGCCTCTCCCTTCTTTTTCCCTCCTCTGGCCTTGACCCTCCTCACCCTACCCGCCCCCCCCCCCCCCGTCCCTGCCTTAGAGCTAGAAACTTTGGTTCCTCTGGCACAAGCCAACACCCAGTAAAACCCAGTTCCAAGGGTCAGAGGCAGAGGCCGTCCAGGCCAGCAGTTTCTCCATGCTCTTTTTCTCTTCCATGCACCAGCCTCAGGGCAGGCTCTGCCCCAAGTACGAGGAGCAGTCGGAGCAGGCAGAGGCAGAGAGGAGTCAGGGAGCTGGGACTCAGGCCCCACTGGGCCAGGCATGGGGGCCAGCGGGGCTTGGTAGTGAGGAAAAGCCACAGGAACTGGAATCTCCCAGAGGACTGGCTATCCCACTCCTACAATGATGCTAATGCAGTGAATTATTCTCAGTGGCCTCCTGGGGGCACCAGCGAGCCCCAGGGCAGATCCTGCTTCAGCCTCTGAGCCTTCCAGAAGCTGCCACTGTGATGCTGGGGACAAATAGAGGTCGCTGGCAAGGGGTCAACTAGCTCACACTCAACCTCACCCATCGTGGGAGGAAGGATACAGGAGAGTGTTGGACCTTCCGGATCCCACACCACCATGACCACTGAAAGGAGAGTCTCAGGGTGTAAAATAAGGTTCCCGCAGGAAGGCAGGGAGGGAGGGAGCCCCTGGGGATTCTGGGAACCCAGAAGCACCTTCCAGAAATCAAAGCCAGCCCTGTCTGCAGCCGACCTGGGGTGGATCTGAATTCCCAGTCTGGGCCCACCCTTTCTCTGAGATGGGACAAGGACAAGAGGCCGTGGGGCCGAGGGGAGCCTGGACAAACAGATCAACACAGAGACCAACAGGATCTGTGTCCAGGCACCTCTCAGTCACGGCCCCCACCACAAGTCATGGCCCGCACCGTGGCCCCATAGACCTGCTCCAGGCCGATGTGATAGCAGGGCCGTGGCACTTGCCCGGCACATAGAGCAGAGACTCACCCACTGTCGGTGGAGGAAATGGCACCTGGTTATTTTGGCAGCGGGAAGGCATTGGCTACTTCCTCGAGCGAGCACAGACCTGAGGCCGGTGAGGGCTCCCGGCCTCCCCCTCTTCCCGGGAGGCTTCGTGATGAACTGACTGTTTCTCTGCCTCCAATCTTGCCACCACCCCCTGGTCAAGACCCCCCCACTCCCACCCTCCCCCACTCCCAGCTCAGAGCGAGCATGCCCCACCTCCAACCCAGCCGCAGCTCCAGCACCTGCCTCTGCAAGGCAGCCATGATGGGGGGTTCACAGGACCAGGGAGACCTGAGTCTACTCCCAGAGCTGCCTCCTTCTCTGAGTGGTGTGAGCTGGGACAGGACGTGTGACCTCTCTGAGCCTCTGGACTCCGGGTGAGGCAGTGAGCACACAGTTCCAGGGCTCCAGGTCGGACGTGATGCAGTAAGATCAGAAGCCCTCGGCACTCAGCACCTGGCATGCTACTATTCAGCATAGAAAAAGAGTTGCTGGAGCGAAAGCACAGCCTTGCACACGACTGACCCGGGTTCGATTCCCAGCGTCCCAGATGGTCCCCTGAGCACTGCCAGAAGTAATTCCTGAGTGTAGAGTCAGGAGTAACCCCTGTGCAACACCAGGTGTGACCCCACCCCTCCCCCCCAAAAAAAAGGAAAAAGAAAAGAAAGAAAAAGAGGTGCATTTCTTCCATAAATGTTTGTTCCCCGGGTGCAAAGTTGGGACAGAGCAGAAATAGACACATTCCCTCCCCATCTGGCAGAGTGACAGCAAGGTGGGGAACTGTCATGTCGGTGACCCCCAAGACCACTAGGGCTCTCCCGCTGTGACACTGGGTTCCATCTGAGGCACCTGCTCCGCGGCCCCAGTGAGGCAAGCAGAGGCTGTGAGAGCCTTTGCAGGCTGGACTGGATTGCGACTGCGCCCCCTGCTGGACACACTCGTCACTCTGAAGAAGCTTGACTGGACTGACGGACAAGATGAGGCACCAGGGTTCCCGTGGACCACACGCCCTCTTGGACCGTCCAGCCCTGGATGAGCTCTCAGCTAGAAGCAGTGAATGAGAGACTCCAGACACACATGCACACATGTCAGAGGAGCCGCCCCACGGAGCCCAGAGAAACCGGGAACCACTGGGAAGGTTGATACTCAGCCATCTAAAACTCCATGGACTGGAGAGATAATCCAGCGCGTACAGTTCTGGCCTTTCAAGTAGCCAGTCTGGGTTCGAGCCCAGCACCACATAGGGTCTCCCGAGCACAGAGCCAGGAGTCAGCTCTGAGCATAGGCAGATGTGGCCCCCAAACCCAACCGACCAAAAAGCCGAGATTAGCCCAACTCACCTCAAAAGAGAGAGCTGGAGGCACACCTCTGGCAACCGCTGCAGACCCCCAACTGGGTCCCCCGAGGGGCTGGGAATGGGAGTGCGAGCAGAGGGTCCCAGAAAGGAGTAGGCGAGAGAGGAAGAGCCCCTGACCCACCGAGAAGTTGCTGAGCTTTGTGTCGACAGTCCGGTGCTTCCTGTCCAGGGGGCCGGGTGCTCCTCCAGAGAAGACAAGGTCTCCACGTTGGTCACTGCAGTGTCTATGACCAGCATCACCTGCCAGGCAGAGAGGCCAGGGGAACCCACCTGCTCAAAAATGCAGGGGGGCAAGGGGAGGGGAGAAGCGGGGCTACCGGAAGTCAGGAAGTCAGGTCATCAGGATCAGAAGTGAAAGGTGACCGATGTTTGCATGCAGAAGGTGTCCACGGGTGGGAGCCAGCCTCTGCTGCTCCCCAGGGGAGGGGGCTGACCCTTTTCCTCTACGGGTCTCCAGGTCCTCCCCTGCCCTCTGGACAGTGCCCTCTGCCTGGCGCACGGGGAAACTGAGACCCTGTGGGAATGGCCAGCCTCGTAGAAGTCCCCACCTCAGTTTTCGGAGGCTGTCCCTGTCATGGTTCAGCACCAGCACCAGCTGTAGGAGTCCAGGGCTAAGGGCACGGCCAGAGAAGGGGACCAGCTGGCCGAGCACAGAGTAGGGGAGGAGGCTGGTCCTGGTAGCCCACTGCCGGCCCTCGCAGCACGGAGGGGCAGGGGCATGGTCCCCGAAGAGGGGGACAGAGGCAGAAACAAGCCACTTGCCCTGCTCTGCTTCCCCGGGCTCTGCCCAGATACCCGCCTGCCAGAACCGCCCCCCCGCCCCCCTCCCCCCAGGCCCTCACTTTCCTGATGTGGCCCAGGAACTCCGGATTGGAGAGGCAGTCCTTGGCGCTGGCCAGCTAGTCACAGCCGTACTAGAAAAGGGGCAGCAGGCCCGGCTCCAGCTCAAAGGGCCTGTGTAGAGGCATGTGAGCCCAGGCCATGCCCACCCCGAGGCCAGACTATCACACCCTCTTCCACTGAAGCTGGTCTGTCTTTTTCGTCTTCTTTTTTTTGTTTGTTTGTTCGTGTTTTCTTTTCTTTTTGGCTACATCCAACAGTGCTCAGGGCTTACCCCTGGCTCTGTGCTCAGAAATCACTCCTGGCATGTACCATATGTGGTGCCAGGTATGGAACCTGGATGTGCCTGCAAGCACCTTAAGACCTTGTATTATCTCTGACCCAGGACACTGATTCTTAGCCAACTTTGCAGGGACCTCCCCTCTCCCCTCTCTCACGGGTTCGGGGGTCCATCCTGGGAGGAGCAGTGCCTCCTCAGCCTTCACTGCACAGTAGGGTTGGTTTGGACTGGACCAGGAAGGGGCCCTCTAAAGGAAGCCCCCCTCCCTCTCTTCCTTTCACTCTCTCTCCCTCACCCTCTCCTACTCTCAGGTCAGAATCTTCTAGCCCCACTCCTGTCCATGGTAACAATAGTATTTGGAGCAATTCATATACTTCCTGGGCATTGAATACTTTCCGCGTGCCTAATCTGTACATTTCTCACAATCCTCAATGGGGCTTGTTTAGGATTTGATAAGGACGGAAATAGAAGCCCAAAGAGTTGAAGCATCTTGCCTAAGGGCACACAGCATGGGAACTGGACACCCACAACAAGTACCTGAGAGGCACAAGGATCTTGAGAATGGGCGAGGGCATGAGGGCAAATATCTCCAGGGCCTCTGGGAGGGTCCTGGGGTTTCGCTTCATTCCTTTTTTTGAGGGGGAGGTTTACAAAACACACAGAACTTCTGGGCTGCCTTAGGGAGCAAAGGTTTAGGAAAGCCCACTGTGGAGGCGGTGTGGTGATGGCAGAGAGTCTGCAGCCCCTGACACAGATGGGAACCCCACTCCATGCCCAGCGTGCCAGCCGCCTCGGGCACACCCTCCGCGCGCGGGCCCACGGGGAACCCGGGTCTCCGCGCCCGCCGTGGCGGTGCTTGGCACTAAGCCCGACAAATGGGAAGCGTCAGCGTCAGCGGGAGGGTAAGGTCCGCCCGAGTCGCATTCCCCCACGGGGGTCCTGGAGCGGGGAGCTAGGCTCTGCTTCACCTGACTAGCAGGATCACGCCGCGCTCCGGTGGGCTGCGGCTTGGGCGCGGGGTCAGGGGGACGCAGGGCGAGAGGCTGCTGCCGGGGCGCGTGGGCAGCCTCACGGCATGTGCTGAGCCCTGTTTGCACCCACCCCGCGGGCGGCCAGCGCAGGTGGAAGCCCAGCTGGGGACCCTCGCCCAGTGCCCCGCAACGTCCCGCAACACCCCGCAACGCCCTGCAGCGCCCCAAGCGGACCACGGGCAGAGTCACGGATTCTGGAGCCTCTCAGAACCTCAGTGTCGCATCCGGAAGCTGGAAACTGGGGTCACTTGCTCGGTGGGGTTCAGAGGGGTTTATGATCGCCCCCCTCCTTCCCCATGCCTCTCAAATGCTGCCTGGAGGTGTCGCTTGGCCACCCTCTCAGCACCCAGTCTCTTCTTCCACTGAGGTGGGACTGGGGGCTGCCGGGTGCCTGCACGTGCGCAGGCTCTGCCTCGACTCTTGGGGGAGGCACCCAGTCATGATGGGGAGCGTGGGCTGCTGGCAACCCCAGCGCCTCCCTGGGTCATGCTCTCGCACTAGTTGCACAGTGGGGAAGACACACAGAAACATCCTGCCCCATTTTGGATAGACTTTTAAAAAAGATTAAGCACAAGTTCTGTTTTGTTTGTTTTTTTTTTGGGGGGGGGGCGAGGTGTGTCATACCCAGTGGTGCTCCAGAACTACTCCTAGTTTGGTGCTCCCAGTAGTGCCCTGGAAACCGTATGAGGTGTGGGGGGTGGTGGTTGAATCTGGGCTTCTGCATGCAAATTGGCATGTGCTCCAGCTCACTGAGTGCACTCCCTGGCCCCCAGAAATATTATTTATGTACTGGGTTGGTGGGGTGGGTAGCACCATGGCAGTGCTCACGGGCCCTGGGCTGGTCCTGGTGGTCCAACAGTTTGGTGCTACGATTCAGGGGGTCAGTAGGGCCATACCTGGTGGTTACTCAGGGACTACGTAGAACCATGGGGGTAATAATGGGTCCTTGAGTGTGCAAGACATATGCCCCTACCCCTTAGCTATCCTTCCTCAACCCTTGATCACTTGACTTCCCGTTAATCATCGATTTGCTCGAGCGGGCACCAGTAACGTCTCCATTCGTCCCTGTCGCGTGCTAGTGAAGCCTGAAGGCATCTGTTTGTTCTAGGAACACGAAGAGCCTCAAACCAATCATTCAGGATCTCGAGGAAGAAGTCTGACCATCTCGTAGGTGGGTGGCCACACGATCTTTTGACGTCCCGTGGAATCCAGTCGGTAATGGCTCTAGTCCAGTGGTCGTCTCTAAATCTCATTACATGTCCAGCCCATCTGATTTTTGATGCGTTGGCAAATGAGACAGCGTCCCTGATTCTTGAGCGTTGACGGAGCTCGGAACTCTGGATTCTTTCTTTCATTTGAGTGAAGCATGATACTCCAAGTATAGCTCTTTCGATTTCTCTTTGAGAGACCCGAATAGTGTTCTCATTCTGTTTCCATAGGGCCCAGGTCTCTGAAGCATATGTTAATGCAGGAAGAACAGTGGAATTGAAGAGATGTGCTCGAAGCTGGAGGTTCTTCGTCCTCTTAGGTGTTTCTTTGATGTTCTTAGTTATTTCCAAACCGCTCTCTTCCTCCTGCGCAACTCAGGTGCCAGGTCATTCGTCATATTGACTTCTCGACCTAGGTATACATAACTGTTGCATTCGGAAATGGTTGTTTCGTTGAGAGTGAATGGAATGTCAGGAACAACACTGTTTCTCATTGTCTGTGAGATTCAGCTGTAATCCGACCTTTCCACACTCACGGTCGAAGTCGGCCAGCATTTGTGCCACTTGGCTAATGTTTGTGTTATTAAAACAATGTCATCAGCAAAGCGGAGGTGGTGTAGTTGCCGACCATCTATCTTCACTCCCATTCCTTCCCATTCCAGTCATCGCATGATGTTCTCGAGGGTGGCACTGAAGAGTTTCGTATGGGTTTTTTGTTTTTTGTTTTTTTTTTGCTTTTTGGGTCACACCTGGCAATGCTCAGGGGTCACTCCTGGCTTTGCACTCAGAAATTCCTCCTGGCGGTGCTCGGGGGACCATATGGGATGCTGGGAATTGAACCCGGGTCGGCCACGTGCAAGGCAAACGCCCTACCTGCTTTGATATTGCTCCAGCTCCCCTACGTGTTTTAAAATAGAAGTTCAGATGCCAGGAAGCATACTTGCCACTGGGACGGGCAATTGCTCACCTGTCAATGACCCCTAACCGCCCCCCCCCAGCCTAACAGTTACCTGTCCTGTTTAGAGGTGCAGCTTTCATTTACTTTGCACTCCTTTGGCTTCTCTGGGCCTACCCCCTCAGCCCATTAAGTCTTTTCTCTCTAGTTTCCTTGGTATATAAAAGGTGGTGGTGGGGGGGTGGGGGATGGGGGTGTTAGGTGGTGTGGTCTTTAGGCAACTCAGAACCCCCCACCTTTGGTTCCAAGGATACAAGGTGGATGGGTGTTGCTGATCCATCTGTCATCTTCGTTTTTGGAGCCACATGTAAACAGAGTTTAGGGGGCTACTTCTGGTCTGCACTTGGGGGTAATTCCCAGCAGTGCCAGGGGACCAAGCACTTGAATATGGGGCTCCTGCATGCAGAGTCTGTGTTCCAGTCTGTTGAGCCATTGCCAAGGCTCAAGAGCTTATTTATACTTTCAGAGTTTTTGGGACACACACAGTGACTCCTGTCAGTGCTCAGCAGGGATCAGGAACATGTGGTTCATGATCCGGCCCTTCGAGCCATCCCCCTGGGCCCAGGCCATCAGCAATGAACAGGCCTCCTGCCCAGCCCAGTGGAAGGTTGAACCCTTGCCTTTTAGAATGTCTAGCTCTGAATCAAGCCCACGGTCCCAGCAGAACTCTTCTTTCCTCTCCCATGGAGCCCAGTGAGTTGCCCCAGCCAGATTCTCTCTTCCAAGGACTCAGGAGTTCAGTGTATTCAATTTCTCTTTTGGGAGCTCTGGGCTGAAGCAGGAGGCAGCCTGGCACGTGTCTGAGAGATCTGCAATCCAGAGCACGGATAGATGCGGGCACCTACTGGCACCTACCTATCCAACATGTAAAGCCGGCTCTTACCTCCTGCAGACCCTCACACCTTCCTGATGCTGACCCCCATTGAGAGCCTCAAGCTGCACAGAGACTACAGTGTATGGGCCACTAAGAGAAGAAGAAAGAGAGTCCAGAGTCTGCCTACTGTAGGATGTTTAAGTAAATCCGATCAGGAACTGACCTAAACATTCACCTTGCCCATGGGGCAGTCCAAAGGATGGAGCTCCCCCTCCCTGCCCAGGGTCTCTGCGGGACTTACACCAGCCTTAGACAGGTGCTCTCCAGCACCCCTCTCCAGCACCCCTCTGCTCCTCCAGCCAGAGTGTCAGATTCAATGAACTACAGCAACAACATGGCATTCAAAAGAAGAGTTATTTATTACAAAAGTAAACGGCTTCTGATTGTGTCTGGAAAAAAAAATTTAATAGAAAATTTTAATGAATTTTAAATTTTAATAGAAAACATGGCTCAAGAAGTTGGTTGAAAGTTGGGCTAACTAGAAAATGTCTTCTTTCTCCACAGGCTGGTGTCTGGGGCATGTGACATTCGCCCCTCTGCCCTCCCCAGCATCTTCCCACTCCAGGGCCTGACGCTGCATTATCCCACGTGGGCGCTTCTCTGCCCAAGACAAGTGTCTGCCAGTCTGGTCGAGGAGGAGGAGGTGGGAGCGGGCAGATTCTCCGCCCACTGTTGGACAGCAGTGGGGAGATGGAGGAATCTTGGGCCTGTTGTGACCAAAGCCGGGTGGGGAACGAGCAGGAAGCTGCCTGCACTTTCGCCTTCACTCCTCTGCTCCTTCCCTGTGCCTCCTTTTTAGCAGGTTCCTATTGGGGGACACCTGCTCCCCTTGCATCTTTGGGGACTCTGCTGAGATTGCAGCACAGAATTCTGCCTGTCACCTCCTGGACAGCTCACCCAGATGGCTGCCCTGCAGCCAGGAGAAAACACTGCACTTGTGGGGAGGAGGCAAGTGCTCCACCTTGCACCCCCTGTTCTTCCTAAATGCAATTAAGCCCAGCACCCAGATTGGGCTTCCTGGGGGAAACCCCCGGGGCTGTAGCCTGGGAGAAGGGAGGTCATTGGCCCCAGACCTAATTAGCAAACTTGTCGCTGCATTTCCTCTATTAGCATTAATGAAAGTGGGTCTGATGGCCCAAGCAGGGCCAGAAGCTTCCTTCCCCACCACTCACTAGGTTTCACAGACTGTCCCTGGGACCAATTCCAGTCTCCATGGCAACAGCCTTCGAAGATGCTCTGAAGGGCGGGCGCTGACCCTGAGCTGGAGGGGGCTCAGAGGGCAGACCGTGTGACAGTTCCATCGGTACATGAGACAAAGGGGCTTGTCAGACACCAGAAGCAGGGGGCAGGCAGCAAGCTGGCCTTGGGCTACTTCCATTTTGACCCTTTTCATTTGGGGAAGAAGTGAGAGGAATTGCTCTGGGCCTCTTGCCTGGGCTTCAAGTGGGAAAGAGGAGTGGCGATGTGGTTCTAGGTGCTAGGGGTCCTTGGGGAAAGCCAGTTTCGTGAAATGTGAGACACAGGAGGGAAATGAAATGATTGGACTGACTGGGGAGGGGGGCTCAGCAGGAGGGAAGTAAAAATGGGGACCATCAGGAGGTGACAGAGTATCAGCCCCATCAGCACCCTGGGTCCAGCACCACGCGGCTCTGTGCTGTTTCGCACCCTCGGCTCTGCCAGTGATGGGGCATTCTCCTGGCCCTCCGGGTCAGGAGGGATGCACAGGGCAGAACTGGGCAGAGAAGCCGCCTCAGGCACAGGGCCTGGGGACCGTCAGGTGCCTCATTCTCCGAGACTGGGAACAGGGGCCCAAGAGGAAGGCTTGCGTGGTGCCTGCTCAGCACTCCAGGGCCTGCCCGCCAGAGGGTGCTGCTTGTGGAAGGAGCCCCGTGGCTCTGCCACTCTACTTGGCCCCTGCGAGGTGTCATCAGCAGTGTTCCATGCTCTCAGCCCTCTCGGAGGGGAGAGAATCTGTAACGGATCTTACAAATCCAGTGTGAAGGAATACCAGAAATTATCACTGCAGCCCAGAACTATTTCTTGGAGTTTATAAGATGCGGCTGACCTGAGGTGTGGCCGACATTACACACACACACACACACACACACACACACACATGCACTCATTCCAGGCCACCCTCTGGCACTCCCTCTGCATGTCACACAGGGGAACGTGCCTCCTCAGGGGTCCTCTGCTGAGCTGCCTGCAGCCGGGATCGGGCACAGAGCCTCATGCCCGCTGCCAACAGGCTGGCTGCCGGGGTACACCAGAGGGTCCTGGATGGCAGCAGGAATCCACAGGCTCGGGCAGCGTCCTCCAGAGCTGGGGTAGTCCAGGGACAGGCCCCACAGCTGGCCGCCCCGGGAAGTCCCGGCACTCAAGCTGGAATCCTCGCAGTGGTCTCAAAAGTCCCACGAATCCAGCCACCTGAGTCCTGCCATGGGACTTCGGGGGTCCTGGGCAGGGGGACCAATCATCCCGTAGGCCAAAGGGTGGAAGAGGTAGAAGCTGCGAGAGAGAGTCCAGGGTGGGCAGTTGGCATCCAGTGGGCACTTAGAAGGGATGCTCCAAACACCGCCTACAGACCCCCAAAACAGCCTCTCCTGCAGGAGCTCAGCACACCTGCACACCCAGGCAGCCCGAGGACTCAGAGGATGCCCACGAACCCGCTCTTGCCCAGAGGCCGGGAGAGAAATGTCCGGGGGTCTGGTCCGTGCTCTGGCCCCATGCCCACCTCTACCCCAGGCCTCAAAAGGCCAGTGATCCTTGGAGCAGCTGTGAGATAGGCAGGCAGGTAGGGGCAGAACGGCTAGTGAGTCTGGAAGAAAGACCACCCGTGTCCCCACACTCCACCCTCCCCCACACCCGTGCTATTCAGGTGGGAGACCCGGTGACTGAGGAAAGGACCCCTTCTGGGTGGGAACCAAGTCCTGGGCAGCTGCACATCGGGGTCGCCTGGGGAGTTCCAGGAACTCGGGCCCAGCCCACTTGAATAAGGATTCTGGGGCGGGGGCCCTCCATCCAGCATGTGGAAAGTACCCCAAGATGTTCACGCCTCCCGGACCAAGGCCTGGCTGACCCCCGCATGCACGCCGAGCAGGGGGAGCTCACCTGTAGGCGGTTCCCAGGAGTAGGCCTGTGAGGCCTGCCATGTGGACGGCCCGAGACGGGAGCCAAGAGGCCAGGGTCCAGGCACAGAGGCGCAGGAGAGTGTCCCACAGGAGGCCTGGGGAGAGAAGTGGCCCCTAGCACCCACCAGGCAGCCCTGGGCATGGGGCGAGGACAGCAGCAGGCCCTGTGTCCGTGCGCAGGCACTGACCTGTCAGCATGCTGGAGAAGAGCATGGCCGGGAAGTAGTGGTGGAAGTAGAGGATGCGGCCCATCAGGAAGAAGGGGAAGTAGTGCAGCCCCCAGCCGAGCAGGAGCTGGCCGCCGCCACGCAACAGCACCCGGGACAGCCCTGGGCAGGCACAGGGAGCCTCAGGTCGAGGCCACCGGGGCGACCCCTTCCCCAGCCCCCCTCCCTCCTCCGGGCCCAGCCTAGCAATCCCAGAGCAGCTGGGAAGGAGACAGAGTAACTGGGCACAGGAGCCCTGACCATTCCCTGCACACACCCCCGAGGAAGGCAGTCCGCCTCTGCGGAGACCAGGGTCCAGCGCCCCCGGCTGTGAGAGGACACAGACGGTACGTGACGGGGACACAGCTTCGCTGAGACCCTGCGCCAGGCTGCAAATCTGTGCTCCCTCCCCGGCGGCAGAGCAGAGGGTGGCCGGGCTGCCAGGCTGTACCCCAGCTCTGTGACTAGGGACCTTAGGCCCCATGATACATTCTTGACCCCTCTTGTACCATGGCTTCCTAATCTATAAAATGGGGGGGAAAGCCCTCCTGGCGGGCTGCGGTCACATCTGTGTCCAGCATGATCACCAGTGACTCAGAGCTTCTCAAAGCAAAGGCGAAGGGACTAGTGTGGGGCAGGAGGAGCCCCGGGGACCTGACCTTCCACCTCGGCAGGCAGCCGCGCCCCTCTTTGCACGGCCACCGCCAAGGTGCTCCCCGAGAGGACGTAGAGGCCGATGCTCAGCAGGTTCAGCCACCACACCACCTACGGGAGGAGATGGGCATGAGGCTGGCGCTTGGGGGGGGTGGGCGGGGGCATGCAGGAGCGGCCCAGCGGGGGGCACTCACCGGGTTGCCGAGCAGATAGACCCGGAAGTCTGTGTCATTGCTCCCCGAGAAGCGCAGGCCCTGAGAAGTAAAGCATGTGCCACTGACCCCGGGCGGGGGCTGAGGGCACCAACACCTCCCCTGGCCATGCAGGAGGCGCACAAGTGCCCTCCACACAGACCCTCTGCACGGCGGGGCTCAGCCAACAGCCTGTCTAGCCTCCTCCCTGGACAACCCGCTTCACCCAATCTCTGGGGGCTCTTCCTCGGTGCCGTGTTCTGGGGCGGGGCTCAGCCTTGCCCTACCTGATAGTTGATGGGCCAGTGCCAGGGTTTGGATGTGAACTCGTTATTCCTGGGTTTGAGGCCGTTGTTCCCCTGCAGGAGAGAAGAGGGGTGAACAAGGGCCCACAGACACTGGGGCACATGCATCTGACAGAGGCCAAGTGTCCTGCAGGGAACAACTTGGGCTCCGTCCTCAGTCTAACCATCTCCCAACCAGCAGCCGTGCATTTCCCCCCAGAGACCATCCAGTCTGCACCACCGAGAGGAAGAAGGAATTTATGTCCTTTGGGGGCGGGCTCTAGCCCCACCTTCCAGGCCCACAATACGGTGTCAACAGAGGAGCTTTTTGGGCAGGAGGGAAATGTTACATCAAGACAGACATTTTTTCACTGGAGAGTTTGACTTTGAACAGAAACCCAGAAATCCTGGTGAGTTCCTAAACTGAGAAATAACTTTAGGCCAATGTTTCTCGGCCTTTCTTCACGCTGCCCACCACCCACCCCTGAGTCTGTTCAGAGAAGAGCCCTGAATACTTCGGCAGCACGGCTGCTGTGAGTCGAGTGTGGACTCCTGTGGGTGCTGGGTTCCTTGGGAATAGTAGGCGTCACTTTGCTAGGAAAGGGGCGCTTCAGCCCTGCCTTCACACTCATCCCTTCTATCCGTTCACCAAGGATACCCAACAAGCTATCTCCATGTGGCACGCCTGACCTCTGCTCCAACGAGAAGGACAGGAACCGGGATTCCCAACACTAGCCATCAGCAATGGTGCCAGCTGCCCCTCGTGACACAGGGTACGAGTGTTTTCCTGGGAGGGAGCAGGGGTTGTGAGGCCAAGGTTTCCAGCCTTGCACAGCTGACACTAGGGAGTGGACCAGCCTCGGGGGTGAGGTGGAGAGTCGTTAGCATTCCTGACCTGCACTCACGAGATGCCAACAGTATCCCAGGCCTTCAGTTGGGCCAGCCAAAACATCTCCAGACACTGCCAAACAGTCCTGGGGGGCAAAATCACTCTGCTGAGAATCTACAGTCAAGCCAGACCAAAAGGATGCAGACAGTCTGGTAGGGTGAGCCAGCACTCAGCATCTCACTAATGCGACTCCCAGCGGGGCTCGGCTGTTTGTTGACACCCTCCCTGCCCCTCATGGCAGCCAAGTCTCTTACAGCTCCAAAGCTACAGTCCTCTGAAAGGCCTCCAAATGAAGGATGGAGTGTTCTAGAGTCCTGGTGCAATGGTGGAGAGGATCAGTTCCTTCAATGGAGCCAGAGTCATAGTGCGGTGGGTAGGGCGTTTGGAGGGGCAGTAGGGCATTTGCCATGTATGCAGCCAACCCAGGTTTGATCCCCAGCATGCCATATGGTCCCCAAAACATGCTCAGGAGTAAGTAATTCCTGAGCACAGAGCTGGGAATAATCCCTGAGCATCGCTGGGTGTGGCCCCCAAACAAAACAAAACAATTCCTTCAAACCAGCACAGCTCAGTCCCAACTTGGGCTCGATCCAGAGCTGAAACAAGGCACACTCTGCCCTGCATTCAACTCCGAGAGAAACAAGAAATAGAAGGAAGGAAGCAGGCACGGTGTGGTTGGTGTTCTCTGTGCTGCGACAGCACTACAACTCTAGCCTCTCGCACTGCAGAAGTGTCCTTGCCCTGAAGTTTCTGTCATCTGGACTTGCTGTTCTGCCCACTCTCCTCACCCTGACACCACAGCAGCTAAAGAAGAAAGGTCCCAATGTCCCTTGTCAACTATAACTCTGCCTCTCAGAAAAGGAAAGGGAAAAAAAAGGAAATATTTAGACTCCGTCTTTCAGTCCTACCCAGATCTAGAACGCTATTTTGAATGACAGGCACCTAACTTGCAAGAGCTCTGCCATCAAATCACGGTGACAGCTACATGCAGAGAGGCAGAGAAGAAGTGACCCAGAGACTGCTGAACGTCAACTCATTGCCTCCTGAGGCGGAGAAATGACACATCTGGACTTTTTAAATGGAATCTGGTGAAGGAAGTCAACCCTGTTTACTGAGAACTGCCTACAAAATCACTTCCCAAAAAGGTCACTTTGACAACAGCAGCCCGCCGAAGGGACAAGTGACAACTGGCACCCCTCTCTGCAAGCCCCTGAGGGAGCAAGTGCCGCAGAACTCGTGTGAGCACGCGGGATTCTCACACAGTGACCCCGCAGCATGCCGGCTTTCCACAAGCCACAGCCGCCTCCTCAGCCCCGGCTCTGCGGGGGAGCGATTTCCTTCGACTCAAGGGGGCAATTTTAAGTGACAACTGGGTCAAATTTTCTCAATGTGAACATTTTGTCTGTCAGTTGTCTTAAACCTCTGACACTACGACTGACGTCAGCTACCAACAAGGGATTACAAGTGGTGAGTCTTAGAAAATCTTAGAAGAATCTCCCACGGTGAAACACGGTGTTTCTGCCTGGGCATGTACGAGAGTGGGCTGGCGGCTGGGAACTCACGATGCCTTGAAGCAGCCGACTCGAGCGGCTGCTCCCAGAGCCACGCGGCGGATGAATGAGTGACTCCTGTTAGTTCTAGCCAGACACTTTAATTCCTAGGGATCGGGGAGGCCAAGAGGGCACTGGCCACAAGCACTGACTCTGAAGTTTGCCGGCAGCCCTGGATCCACTTTTCACATTTACCTGTGCGGCTCTGGGCCAGTTCCTCCCCTCCTTCATTTATAAACGGGGGCCAATCATGGCCACAGATCTGTACAGTAAGTTAGAATATGGTGTAGCTTAGCCCAGTGCCTGACACGTCAGGGGTATGTGAGTGCTCACTGGCCCCACCGTCACCACTGTTATCAACATCACCAAGCACTTCCACTGCCACTGTGGGTCGGAAGCACCACTGCAGAGTCAGCTAGTAAGTGAAGACACCTCCACCACCCTCCACAGGGGGGCAGTGGATCGACAGCCTGAGGACGGATTTCTGACCCAAAGTTGGGGACCTCTAAGAGCACTATGGGAAGCCACTTCCGGGCAGGGGGGGCTGCAGTACCCGGATCATCACCATGTGAGACTCCAGCAAGATCTCAGAAAAGCTTGGCTGCAGCACGTCCAGGCTGATGTTTGGCACTAGGAAGAGAAACGGCAGAGGAGAACATTGTTGTCAGTCTCCCCCCTGGGTCTGCGGGACCCAGACCCCTGCCCTCCGAAAAAGCTGGCTGTCAGTGGGCGGGAGTGGGGAGAAGGTGCGAAGCTTGGCAGGTGCTTGATCCTGCACCCAGCTGCTCTGAGCGCTCATCAGGCATTGAGAAATACTACGGCAGCAGACATGAGTCCTGCCTGCTGGGGTCCCACAGTTCCTGCACCATTGCCCTTTGCCGAGTTCCGGCTCAAAGCTGCTCCCCTGCTAGGCAGAAGGTGCGTGAGGACAGTGACCAGAGAAGCTCATTCGCCAACACAGCCCCTGGCCGCCCCCACCCCCCACCCCCCACCCCCCCCCACACACACACCTCTGGCATATGCAGCAAAGAGATGTTTAATTGTAAGTGGCTTGTTGGCTAAATGAGGAAGTAAAAGGAATGAAGTGGGAAGTTGCAGAGAGGAGAAGTCAAGCAGAGGCTTCCAGGGACAGAGGAGTCCACGGGCACACTGACTTGAGGTTGATGTCAAATGGAAATGTCTATACCAGCACTCTTCAGCTGTTTCACACTTGCAGATGGGCATTTACAGTCCGAGACAGTGACCCACGGACTGGCAGTTAGAACCAAGGTGGCAGACTGGTGACTTTCAACCTTTCTACATCCGTGGACTGGCAGTGGTCTGTGGCCTGACACTTGAAGACCACCTGTCTGTCCTACAGGGATCCGACCAGGGGCTGGGGAAGCACTGGCTGGGTGTGAGAAGGGCAGCCCCAGAGGAGCATCATGGGAAAGCCCCAGGCGGCTGTGAGCATGTGGGTGGGAGAGGCCTGTGGAACAGCAGACAGCACAACAGCCAGAGGGAGACAGGGACAGAGAGACCTATGCCCCGCCTATGTCGAACGCAGCAAAGGAGGGAGTCAGAGACAGGGAGAGGCAACGAGAGGGGGAAGAGGTGGCCAGCTGTGGCCCTGAGGCAGGTGGTGGGTCATCTCAGGGAAAGCAGCTTGAAAAGGGAATGGGTGGGAAGAAAAAGGAGTGACCCGTCTGACTGGACAAGGGATTCTTCCTGAAGAGAGAGGCGAGCGGCTAGACAGTAAGATAAAGTGGCAGCAGAGCCCACACGGGCGCGGTTCTCTGAGGCCGGAGCTACTGGGAACCATCCCCCTTCCCAGCCAGCTCGGGACGAAGCTTCACTCACACTTGGGGTTGATATGGTCCTCCACACTCCAGACGGAGTTGAGTGTTTCCTTTAGGTACGGACTGCAAGTCACTTCCAGCTGCTCCCAACCCCTGTGGAAAGGAGGCGCAGGGGTCACCTGGAGAACCTGAAACCCACCAGAGAGGAGCGTATCAACTGCCCCCGGAACGCATGGAACCTGTCTCTCCTCCACCCACTGGTCAGGCTGTTTTCCACCTCCCACTTTAATGTCCTCTGGTCTCCCAGGAGCATGCTAACACAGCATTCCCACTTCATTTATTGGGTTTTGGGCCACACCTGGCAGTGCTCAAGGCTTACTCCTAGCTCTGCACTCAGGGATCACTCATGCTGGGGATCAAACCAGGGTCAGCTGCATGCAAGGCAAGCATCCTAGCACCATACTATTGCTCAGGCCCAGAATTTCCATTTTAAAGAGCACAGATCCTGGCCAAAGAGATGGTACAGTGGGTAGGGTGCTTGCCTTGCAAACTGCAAAGTTCAATCCCCAGCACCCAAAAGGATCTTCTGAGAATCTCCAGGAGTGATCCCTGAGTGCAGAACCAGGAGTGAACACCACCAGGTGTTGCCCCAAAACAAAAGAGCAGATCCAGAGAGTGGTCACACATCAGAAGGTACAAACATTTAGCTAACAGAACACAGTGAATACCAGAGCTACCCCTGCTCAGTGATGCAGAAAACACCTGATGCTTCTTCCTCCATCTGCTATGAAGGAGAAGCATACATGAGGGAAAGGAAAACTCCCAGGACACCCCTGGGGTAGCAAGCCCTGGAGACTCACCACCTGGGCAGACTCTTTCCTGAAGAGCTCAGAACACAACCTGTGACCAGATGGATGAAGCGAATGCGACTTCTCAGCACTTTGATCCGGTTGCCAAATTTTCTGTTTACAACTTCAATTCGCCAAAAGTCATTTGAGTCTCCTGTCCCGTTCTGCCACAAAAATCAAGAAAAAAAAATAAGAAGCCTTTCGAGAAACACGCCAGAAAAGCAAAATAGGTACTCTTTCAGATAGCACCATGTCCTGAAAACTAAACTGGCCTCCAAGATGGGAACAAAAGGTGACAGAAACAGACCACCTAATGGACACTGCTCTAGCACTTCACAAAAAGAAGATTCACAAAAAGAAGAGCAACTCCTGAACTCTTAAGTCCCATCTACACTTCAGAGAACTAGAGTTTAGGTTCTACATAGATGCAGGTATAGATGTAGACAGCTGACTTTAAACCACACTAAAGTCCTGCACCTGAGCCAAGAGGGATGATCAGACCCATTTGCATCCACTACCTTGGACATTTGTACTTTCACTTCCAGAAGAAGAGGAAGAGGTTCAGAGGCTCAGCAGTGTTACAATGTGAAATAAACAACAGAAAGAGGGCTGTAAAAAATAGAGCATATTGCTTCTATGTTCAAGATGACATTAAGAGTCCCAACTAGTACTCATATTTGGCATTCATTAAGTGTCAGATATAAAAGTTTCAAGGTTACTATTGGTGGATAAAAACAGAGACGAACAGACTCCACAGGAGACTCTTCCCATGGGAATGCCTAGCTCCAAAGGTCCTAAATACGAATAGTTTCTCTATAGTTTACAATTCTTAGGAGCATTCCATTAGCCAGGAGTAAATATGTTCTGCCATGTGGTCCTGAACCAGGCCTTACAATTCTTAAGATTTTGCTTGCACTACAGTTGGTTACTTACTATGCCATAGCCAGTGACCTGATAGTGTTTCCGGGTTAAAGGTGCCTCATGACGGTGACTGTGCAAGTTCCGAGAGGTTCTGTAAGTTAAAAAGAGAAGGTTCATTATGTTGAGAGAGAGAGAGAGAAAGAGAGAGAGAGAGAGAGAGAGAGGTGATGGTTCTTCTTTTACTGAGAAAACAAAGAATGATAATCTGAATTATTAAATCTAACTCATCACAAACTTTAATTACCCAAAAGAAATGTGTGGAGAATTGAAGGACTACCCAGGATGAGAGCAGATGCAAGGGGACCTGCATCAGGTGGGGAGAGGCAGCACGCATGAGAGCTGTGGAGCACTTAGCCCACCTGCCTAACGAGGCAGGTGTGGGGAGAAGAGAATTTGAATTTGTAATTACGTACGTCCAAGAGAGGTAAACCTTCTCTCTCCCACTCTTTCTATTCTCATCACCAACTTTAAAATGAAGTAGGGATCATGAGGGACAAAGGATTTAATTTTGCTTGTATTTATTTTGTGCCTTTTAAAAATAATACTTTAGGAACTGGAGTGACAGTATAGCAAGATATGCCTACTGCTTATTTTCAGCTTAGAACAAGTCCTGCCTTGGTGCCCAAAACCATGTAACTAGGTGAAAGTGCAAATGCACTTACTCTTTGTGTTCCAGTCGAATGATGTCTCCGTGTCTTACAAACTCGACTGGGAAGGAGGGGTCTAGGGGATCTGCCAAGAAGAAACAAGACTTGATGTTTGAAATTACTCACGCTTAACGTTAGAATTAATGGGGCTACAGGTAAAGAATATGTGGGATATGGTATGTGTTCAGAGAAGTATCTGTGTGGTGGGATCAGAGGGGCCCGAGCTATCCCAGAGAGATAAATATTCCAGATATAATGCTTGAAAAGACTCTCAAAAGTGTGTGTGTGTGTGTGTGTGTGCGCGCGCGCGCGCAGTGGGTAGTGGGATCAGGAGGAAGAGTTGTCAGGTGAATAAATGGAGAAAAGGCACAGAAGCATGACAGAACTCATTTGGTCAATGGCAACTGGTTGCCAGTACTGAGAGTGGGTAGGCAGGAAGGAGAGTGGGAACGGCTTTATCCCACACACTGAAGCCCCAACTGGAGCATCTTTTAGTGAGGAAGCACTAAGCACTAAGCACTAAGCTTTTCCTTGTAGTAGAACCAAAAGTATTACTTCCTAAACTAACTCTATGCAAGTGACCGTTTTGCCCAGCTCTCCTCAAAAACAGTGCTAAAGCCGGCCAAGTTGCTGGTGATTTGTTGGTTTCTGGCAACAGACTTGTTACGTGTGAGGCAAAGAAAATGATGATGTCACGAAAGAAAGGGACTACTTTGACAGGATCATGACCAGAAAGGCAGTAACAATGAAAAAGGACATGGCAGAAAGCATCCTTGAAAATTTCTTTTTTTTTTTTTATCAAATCATTGTGAATTACAGAGACATTTATGACTGAGTTTCAGGTGTTCCAACACCAATCACCAATCCCTTCACCAACGCCCACTACCCCCTACCAATGTCCACATTTTCCCTCCTGCGCCCCCAGCACAGCCAGCTCTGAGGGAGGCACTTCCCTTTCCCCACTGTCCTAGGGTCCCTCCCCTAATTTGTCCCCCTCAACCCGGCCCCAGTGGCAAGCTGCCTGCTGAAGAACAGTTCTCCTGCCCTTTGTTTCTATCATCATTGGGCAGCTGATGTTCCCCTACAAGGTTTTTCTTACATCCTACATATGAGAGAGATCATTCTGAGTGTGTTCCTCACCCTGGGACCAATTTCACTCCACATAATCCTCCCCAGCTCCATCATGCTACAGCAAATTACATGTCTTTATCTTTCCTTACGGCTGAGTAGTATTCCACTCTGTATACATACCACAGTTTCTTTATCCAGTCATTTTTTTGGTGGGTCTTTGGGTTGTTTCCATATTTTGGTTATTGTACATAGTGCCCCAATGAACATAGATTGAAATGCAGATGTCTTTTCTGCTTTGTGCTTTTGGGTTCTTGGGGTATATTCCTAGGAGTGGAATTGCTGGGTTATACGGAAGATCAATTCTTAGTTTTTTGAGGCATGTCCATATCATTTCTCAAAAAGGCTAGACCAGCTGACACTCCCACCAGCAGTGAATGAGTCTCCCTTTTCCCCCACATTCTCACAAACACTGGATGTTGTTCTTTCAGATGAGTGCCAGTGTCAGTGGTAGGAGGTGATATCTCATTACTGTTTTGGTTTACCTTTCCCTGATGGTTAGTGATATAAAGATTTTCATGTTTCTTGGACACTGAATTTTTTTCTCTGAAGAAGTTCCTGTTCATCTCTTCTTCCCATGTTTTTGATAGGGATTAATTTTTTTTTTAAATACATATGGGCATTAACCCTCTGTTGGATGAGTGGTGGGCAAATAATTTCTCTCAGTGTGTGGGCTGTCTTTGTATTCTGGTCATTGTTTTCCTTGAGGGGCAGAGATACTTAATTTAATGTAGTTTCACTTGTTTATCTTTGCTTCTACTTGCTTAATCAGCGACATCTCATCCTTATACATGTCTCGAGCTTAAATGTCACGCAGAGTTCTGCTTCTATTTTCCTCTATGTAACTTATGGATTCAGATCTGATATCTATCTTTAATCCATTTTGATTTTGGCTTTTGTGCATGGCATTAGAAAGAGCTCTAAGTTCATTTTTTTGGCATGGGGCCGGCCAATCTTCCCAATACCACTTGCTGAAGAGATTCTTGCTCCACTTAATACTTTTTGCTCTTTTATCAAAGATTAACTGATCATTTACCTGAGGGTCTGTCTCTGAATTTTCTACACTATTCCACTGAGCGATAGCACAGCAGGTAGGGCGTCTGCCTTGCACACAGCCAACATGGTCGACCCGAGTTCGATTCCTCCGCCCCTCTCGGAGAGCCCGGCAAGCTACCGAGAGTATTCGATATGTCAGACACAGTAACAACAAAGTCTCCAATGGAGACGTTACTGGGCCCGCTTGAGCAAATCGATGATCAACGGGAGGGCCTTACTTTTACTTTTATTCCACTGATCTGAGGGTCTGTACTTATTCCAGTATCATGCTTCTGAGGGTCTGTGCTTATTCCAGTATCATGCTGTTTTAATTACTACCATATAACAGAATAGCTTGAAGTTGGGAAAAAGTGACGCCTCCCATCTTCTTTTTGAGGAATGCTTTAGCTATTCGAGGGGTGGGGGTGGGGTATTTTTTCATATAAATTTCAGGAGGTTGATCTGTTTGACTGAAAAATGTCATGTCCTTGCAAATTCCTATCCCAAATAGTGATACACTAGCACTCAAGATCAAGAAAGGCAATTTTCTGAACAAAGCTCTAGGTCTTGTAAGAATGAGGAAACTCAACTGTAGACAGCCTTTTCAGCCCTGCCTCTGACTATCTCTTAAAGAGATTAATCAGCAGCAAGATGACAAATTAAACATCACAATGGGGAGGGAAGTTTTATGTTACATAGAATTGGGGGATGGATTTATAGTCATCAAAAAACACAGAGATCTTATGCTATACAAATCCCAATCCCTAAGTGCTTGCAATATCTGCCTTCATGCAAATAAATCCTTTGTTGCTTGGGTGAAATGCAATGACTTCAACAGAAGCCACAACAGATGAGCTGACCAGAAGTGGTCATAGGAATGTCCTGTAAGGTAAAGCTGGTCTTCCCTCAGAGTCCCTGTTGTGGGCTGCTGGCTGAAAACTCAACAAAGTACTATATAGATATTGAAACAGACTGCCCAGTGGTGCCAGTGGTGATCTAATTTACTTTACACAGGAACCAAATTTCTCGTCTAAAACTGTGGCACTCAGAGGGAAAAAAAAAAAACCGTGGAAAGAACAAAGGCAGCAAATGAACAACCTTCCCCTGTTCCCCTGCCTCCAAACTCTCAGGCACAGCTGACTCGCATATGGAGAGATAGGCTAAGGAGATTCAGAGGATACCTGTGGCTCAAGATATCAGTGAGCAGAAAACCCTCTACTTTCTATTGCTACAGTCCACTCGCTCACCAAAGAAGGGAAAATCCAAACCTAGCCCTTGTCCCGAAGCCCTGAGAGCCTGGCAGGTGCTCTTAACAACTGGGTCAGCCTGTCTGGGCAGATTCCAGGTCCCAGCCTACACAAATCCCACCGACTGCCCTCACTTCCCAAGTGACTGGGGTAGCCCAGGCACCAGCACCCCAGCACACTAAGGAAGCCTGAGGTGACTCAAGCGCTGGGGTTGGAAACTCTATGGATTCTGAACAAGGACCACAAGCAGCTACCCTGTGCTCTCTGTTGGGGCTACTCAGGAGGTATTTTCCAGGTAGCTCTGGACCTGGCTCTCTGCTCTGGGAGCAGACTGGATGTGCTGCTCACTGCTGATCCCCTGTACTGATCACAATGCTCGGAACACTGTAGGTGCTCGAGAGACAGATGTTTGCTGAAAGAGACCACCTTACAGATCCCAGAGATCAGTAAAGAAGTTGTCAAAGAGTATGCAGGAAATCTGTCTTGGTTCCATTCTTCTACAGGTAAAAGGATGTTAAGGAGGACTCCGAGTCCGTAATATCACGAGAACCACCTTCCCAAACATATTACCTGAGTTTGTGTTATGTTTCTTGATAATCCACAGGTTGTTGAGGTCCTTGTGCAAGTAAGTGGTGACCTAGGGGGATGCAGGGGAGGAAAGTGGGTTGGGAGGGAGAATGTCATCACTATTATCACAGTGGGCCACAGGACAACCAACTATAAACCAACATGGCCTGTTGCAAGCTCTTCCAGAATTTCCAACCCCCCACCCAAGAGGACCACATTTTTGGAGCGGTCATGTCTCCCAAGGGGGCACAGAAGTAGCAAATCCAGATAATCTAGTCTAGTTCTGATAACCACTACATTTTACCCACCATCCACTGTGCCAGGAACTACATCGGAGTCTTTGGAGCTAGCAATCTGGGAGCAAGGAAACAGGAGGAAGGCAGCGTGCACAACCCAGCAAGACAGGACTCCCACTGAACTTGCTAAGGGCTGAGAAAACCTCTCCTAGGAGACACCTAATTCAGTACCAGGCCGAGGTGGGACCTGGTGTTCAGAGCCCAGAGAAGCTGGGATCAGCTAGAGGAGGAGAGGGGTAGGAGAAGAGCATTTCAGGCGAGGGAAGCAGCATGTGCCAGCATGTGAGGAAGGAAAGAGTATGGTGGCTCAGTCCTGGCCACGGTTTGGGGCTGTAGCAACATGAGGGCATCAAAGTTCACTGACCTGCTGCTGGCAGTTCACTGACCTGCTGCTGGCGGGCACCGATGCCCTCAGGGTAGAGGTGCACGTGCGAGTGGAGATAGCCGATGGCCATTCGCAGGTTCTTCACCGTAATCACAGAGCCATAGGCCAGGTCTAGGAGCAAGGAAGACAGGGAGGGGTGAGCAGGCACAGGGTAAGACGCTACCCCTGATACACTAAGCCCCTCCCTGGGCCCACACAGCTGCCTGCTCATCCCAGGGGAGCCAACTCAAGAGGGAGCTCACTACGAGTCTCAGAGATCCTCCCTTCTGCCTTCCCTCGGCGGTTAGAGAAGCAGCTGGGGCTTCGTGCTATTATCAAAGCACTGTACTATTAGGAACAATTTCTCCTTTGAAACAGTTCCTCCTCCATGTAATAAAGCAGCACAACTTTGTCTTCATCTGGAAGGTGCCCCAACACATGTTAGACTGATAGACTAATAAGGCAGCTTTTTCCTTATGCCCCTTTCTCAACCCTAGTCACCCACCCATGGTGCTGAACTTACTCCCAGATCTGCAGACAGGGAAATGTGCAGTTGGGGACCAAAGCGGGTCGGCTGTACACAAGGCATATTATGCATCACCCCTGTGCTCGCTCTCAGACTCCTCTCGCTGGGTCTCTTCCCTACCCCATCACCCACAGACTGAAGTAACATCTTCTGTCAGACCTGCCTTCCAATTTATCTCTCAGATGACCTTCTGCCCTACCACCTGTGAAAAAGATGGGCAGCACTCACGTTCAGGGATGGAAGCGTTGTAAAGGTTGTTTCCGGAAAGGCGGGCCTGGAAGGCAGAACTGAAGAAGCCGTCTCCAGGACCACTGTGGAAGAAGCAGCGCAGAGAGTCAAGTTAGCGTGATGAAAACTGATTTCCCAGGAGCCCGAGAAGAGCTCTGCTTCTTTACAAGAAGTACCAGTAAGACAACTTGAGTGTCCAAGAACAGATAACCAGAGAAAAAAACTATGGGATATATACACAACAGAATATTTCTGGGCTGTAAGAGAAGATGAAATTGTACAATTTGCAGCTATGTGGATAGAACCAAAGTTAGCCAGAGGAGAGGGACAGACAGAGAGTGATCGCTCTCATATGTGGGGATAACCAATGGTCAAGGACAATGGAACCTGAGAACTGGTTTCCTGAACTGGGCTTACCAAGGAGCTAAGAGCCTGGGAGGGGTGCTGTGAGATGATAGAGGAGGGTGTGGGATTGGAATGCTGTAGGCATGAAACACTGTCATTAACAGTACTGTAAATCACAGCACTTTCACCATATTACCGCTTCGGCCCCATAAATTGCTTATTTTTTAAAAAAATTAAAACATGTTATGATTAAATGAAATCATACCATTGAACATAGTTCCTGACATAGGCACAACATTATTCATTGATGTACTCAGTACAATAGCTAAGAGGTGGAATCAACCTAGGTATTCAACAGCAGATGAATGAATTATGAAGAAGTGAAATATATACACAACAGAATACTATGTAGCTGCAAGGAACGATGAAATCATGCAATTTGCTGCAACATGATTGGAACAGGGCTGGAGCGATAGCACAGCAGGTCGGGCATCTGCCTTGCATGCAGCCAACATGGCCGACCCGGGTTTGATTCCTCCACTCCTCTCAGAGAGCCCGGCAAGCTACCGAGAGTATCTCGCCCGCACAGCAAAGCCGGGCAAGCTACCTATGACGTATTTGATATGCCAAACACAGTAACAACAAAGTCTCACAATGGAGACGTTACTGGACCCACTCGAGCAAATCGATGAACAACGGGAGGACAGTGACAGTGACAGTGATGGTTGGAACTGAAAGATAACATGTTGAGTAAGCAAGCCAGAAGAAGAAAGACAAGCATAGGATGTGTTTTTTTTTTTTCACTTATCTGTGGAATATAGAATGCTGGATGAGGAAATGTACTGTAGTAAAGGAGGGATGCTTAGATCATCCTTGACCACTGTGTTTAAAGAGGAGACAGACCGAGAAGGAAGAAAATCAAGGGGGAAAAAAGAGAAGTAATGGATTAACAGGCATCAGTGATAAGAGTGACAGATATAGCCAGATACTCAAAACACAGATTCAATAGGACTGAAAACATGAAATCGAAGTGGCAACCACTAAAACTCTGTAATGTACCTGTCAAATTGACAGGCAGGGATGGAGTGGGGGTTGGGGTGGGGAAGGAATCTGGGAACACTTGTTGAGGGAAGTTGACATTGGTGGAGGGATTATGTTGAATAACTGTATGCCTAAAACGCAACTATCAGTTGTATTTTAGGCAAACTTTTTCAATCATGGTTCGCTAATAAAATATTTTTTAAAAAATTGAATATAGCTCCTGAGAATTAGAAGTTACCCATTAAATGGAAGCTGCCAGGGGCAGGAGCAATAGTACAGTGGGTGGGGCACTTGCCCTGCAAGTAGGCAACGTGGGTTTAATTGCCAGCATACCCTATGTCTGGGCTCTGTCAGGAGTGATCCCTGAGCACAGAGCACTGAGTAAGCCTTGAGCACCACCCAATGTGGCCTCAAAAACAAAAACAGACTGAATCCAAGTTTCACACATAGTGGTTTGGCTGTAGTTCATAACTTTTTTAATTAGCATGACTTTTAAAATTAGCACCCTCACTCCAGCTGGGGTTTAGCATGACTTTTAAAATTAGCACCCTCACTCCAGCTGGGGTGACCATCAGTCCCACAAGGCCACGACTTGGTCCATGTTTAGGACAAGGCACTTTACTTAGGGATAAAGAATGGTTTGGCTATTAGAATATCTATATTTTTCTTCAGGTCAAGCCTTTCAGAGTCCTTTGGGAGCACAAAATAGTTTAACAGGCTCATGTACCTGTTTTGCAAGCAGGAAACCCGGATTTGATCTCTGACAAAGCGATATCCAAGCAATAAGCCAGTAGTGGTGCCAAAGTAGTGCTGCATGTAGCCCCCAAACAAGCAAACAATGGGTGAGAGCGAGAGTACAGTGAGTAAGGTGTTTGCCTTGTACACAGCAGACCCAGGCTCGATTCCCAACATCCCAGAGGTTCTCCTGAGCACCACCAGGGGTGAGTCTGGTGCCCAGAGGCAGGAGTTTAACTATCTCTGAGCATCACTGGGTATGGCCCCCAAACAACCACCCCCCCTTAAAGAAAAACAAACAAACAAGCAAACAAAAAATATATAGGAAGAAACAAAGAAGTTAAAAATTAAAAACAAAAAAACCTGGATCCCTCTCTCCTATCCTCCAAACCCCAGAAAATCAGTGCCTGCATGGCTTAGAGGCAAGAGGAAGAGAAGTGCCGAGCTGCCAGGAAGACTGGCCATACCTTTTATTCAGCACCAGGAAGTGGACAGCGAAGGTGGCCGTGTAGAGCGCCAGGGGCAGGACTATAAGGCACAGGACGCGAGCTGTGAGGTGTTTCCCCATAGTCACCTGCAAAAAGAGCATGCAGGGTGCTGGGCAGGTAGGCCTCCACTTTCCTTACACCTTGTCTGGGCCTTAGAGATGCATTTCCACTTAGAAGACGTAATCATAAAAAAATGAAAAAGCTCATGGCTTCCAAGAAGGAACATGCTTTTTCTTCCCATGATCACCCGCCACCCAGCTCTGCAGGGGGCTAAACGGGTAAGCCCTGCTGTGCTCCTGTCACTGTACTGCAGACAAGTGCTGCCGGCACCCCCACCCCTGCCACACAGCCACTCAGAACTCCCTGCACGGGTCCCTGCTCCCTGGGCTCTGCAATCTCACCCTTCCAGAGGAACTGCTTCTTCCAATTTCAGGCCTCGGCCTCCCCCCAAGAGCCTTCCTGCAGCTCCTGGACTGGGCTGGCACCCCTCAGCTCTCCCCCAGCACCCGGTGGCCAGCCCCTGAGCTCATGCTCACTTAAGTTCTCCATCTCCACTTTCCCTCGAGGCCAGGAATCCTGTTTGCTCATCTGAATATTCTGAGTTTCAAACTTAGTGATTTGGCTATAGTCCATAAATGAATGAGTTTTCTGGAACTTTGGTTCTGAAGTGGTGGTGAAGCATCATGGTAGGGTTGTTGGGCCTGTATATTTCAAAATATACAGACTCACCGAAATCTGAAACCTAGATCTACCTCTTACCTTGGGAACATCATATCTTCGAGGTCTCCATTTTCTCACTGGGAAGAGAGGGTAACGACTACCTATCTCACAGGACGGTTCCAAGGAATAAGTGAGCTAATGCAGTTAAAGCCATGAGCATTATGTCTGGCACGTTTGTAATAAATAATATTGTAATAAACCCTACAGGGCTCTCATAAACCAAACCTGGGGACCCTGAGAGAGGAAAGGAAACCTGCTTGTTCAGACATTCCTCCGTATTACTTCGGGTTCCATTACAGTCATACATCTCCAGCCTGAGTCCTGGCTCTCTCCCTTGACCTCCAGAGGAGGGCAGCCAGATCCGGTATATCCGAGACCCAGAACATAGCACTCGGTTGCTCGCAGAGGCGAACGGCCACGGACTCTGCTGAGCAACAGCGGGGTGCAAAGACACTTTTAAAAGCTCTTGGGTTCTTACCAGTGAAAGACTGAGATCTCCAAACAGGTGCCAAAGGTCGGAAATGGTGTTCCACCCCACTTGCAGGATGATAAAGAGGCCAACAAACTTGACCCCTAGAGCACCAGCCAGATTGATGCCAGTAAGACTGAGCCAGAACCACCAGGGGGCAGAGAAGGGCCTGAAAACCAACAGGACACAGTGAACAGTTTGGTATCTGGAGCCACTCAAAATCACCAGCAGCAAAGGACAAGGCCAGAGATGGCACTGGGAGGCTTGCGGTCTGGAGGGGTCCTACCTCGGGGGCCATGGCATGGTTCCAGGAGAGGGTGCTGTGTGACATGTCTGAACGAGAGGAAGGAAGCACGGAGTGAGGCCAGGAGGGGATTTTGCAGGGGACAGGGGTCATATTTTCCTGGCTAACCGCAGGGCTTAAAGGAAGCAAGAGGTGATTCTTCAGTAGTGACTGGCCCAACGGGAGGGAAAGAATGCCAGGGAGGCCTGCTAGAGAGAGTGCTTTCCTGTGAGGAACACTGGAGGCCATGACAACACCAGCATTTATACGTGCTTACTGTAGGCCAGGCACTGTTGCAAGCATTGCAAGTATTGATGCTTTAATTTAATGAAAGCACAGCAAGCATCTCTCAGACAGACAAAAGAATCAATGTACAACTTGGTACGCAAGACAGCTAACCACGGTGGAGCATGGCTCTCACCTGGTAGCAGGCCCAGGCTTGCTATGTAGCAGGCCCCGTCCACCAGGGCTGCTTCTCCTGACAGAGTGGACGCTCTGCAGTGAGTCAGCGCCTCTGCACAACCAGCTCATTCACGGCGTACTTACAGAGCCCAGTGTACTGTGTGCACATAGCACACACCCAGACATGGCAGGTGGCAGGTGGCAAAGTAGACGATAACCCAAATCCAGGATGGGCTGGTGGTCACTGGGCCGGGCTGATTAATACAAATGGTTCAGGAAGCTTGGCTATGGGAGAAATCAAGCTAACTTTTGGGAGAGCCTAAGAGGTGCTAGCTCATTTGGCCTGTACAGAATGAATTACTACCCTACTTTCTCAGGGCTAAAAGGATGATGGCTATTCTCAAGGAAAAGCAGGTCCTCCTAAAAAGCTTGAGAACTGCCAAGGCATGCAGGGATCTTTCTGACTGGCAGGGACCACTCAAGCCAGCCTTTATATTCTATTTTTCTGACCCTGCCCCCTACCCCTGCCACCTCTATACTCTTCAGTAGGGCTGACTGCAACCAATGAGGGCAGGGAGACACAGTGGTCTCAAGCAGCCTCTACCCTGCTGTCCTTCCCAGTAAAATGGAGGAGAAAGGACAAAGTTCTCCAGAAGTTTCCATAACAGCATCAGCACGGAGGGGTGCTTCTAAGATGGTGTGCTGGGAGAAGAACTCCCCATAATATCCATGAGCATCTATCAAATCTAACCTAATTATAAAAATAACAGCGATACGGGCTGGGAAGACAGTACAGTGAGTACGACGTTGGCCTTTCATACAATCAATGTGGGTTCAATCCCTGGCACCCCATATGATCCCCCTGCCCCTACCAGGAGTGATCCCTCAGCACAAAGCCAGGAATAAAATCCATTAGCACTTCTGGGTATGGTCCAAAAGTCTAATAAATAAAGTAATAGTGAAGCTACATTAAAAAAAAAAAAACACGTTATTTTCATAGTGTCATAGCACAGCGGTAGGGCGTTTGCCTTGCACGCAGCCAACATGGCTGACCCGAGTTCGATTCTTCTGCCCCTCTCGGAGAGCCCGGCAAGCTACCGAGAGTATCTCGCCCGCACGGCAGAGCCTGGCAAGCCACCCGTGATGTATTCGATATGCCACACAGTAACAACAAAGTCTCCAATGGAGACGTTACTGGGCCTGCTCGAGCAAATCGATGAACAACGGGAGGGCCTTTACCTTTACCTTTAAAAAAACTTAAATTGATTTTGGTGGAGGGATGAGTGATAGCATAGTGGTTAATGTATATGCCTGGCAGGCACCTGGCCTGATCCTGAGTCCACTGAGGTGTTCCTGAAGGTCCCCAGTGGCCTGGCATCACTGGGCCTTGCAGTGGTGTATCCTTGGACCAGCAATGCATCCTTGGTCCTTGCATTGAATCGCTGCCCTGGTTGGCTAATAATTGCCAGTACTGTCCAGGGCCTCATGAGCACCACTTGGATGGTCCAATTAAAGACAGACTAAAAGATCTATCTTATCGTTGAAAACAGACAATCTAAGTTTAAAAAAAAATAAGTATTCTTGCTTTAAATTCAGCCTCACGACCAGTTCTCAGTGCAGCCTCCCAGTCCCTGAACTCATTTAATAAGTTCCGGAGCTGCCAGTTCCTAATTGTCTTCCCCACAGATAAATGTCTGACCTGTTGGTGCAGGAGTTGTACTTGACCATGCTCAGCATGGAGGCCATGATGAAGAACATCAAGATGGGGTCAAGGAGGATGTACTGGGACAGAGTGAGGCATCCTGTGTCTGCAAAATATGAAGGCAGAGGTCAAAAGTGCACTCAGAGAAGCGACCCACAGGGGAAGGCAGTAACAACTAGTCCCTTCATTGCATCTAAGTATTTGTGCCTTTTAGGCTGCTGAGTCATTGGGCGGGTAAAATGCTCTAGCTCTGCTGAGCTCCAAAGCCCAACAATAAGAAATAAGATCTTGGGGCCACAGATATGAGTACAGTTGGGAAAGGCACTCACCTTGCATACAGATAATCCGGCCTTGATCCTTGGCACCACATATGATCCCCTGAACACAGTACCAAGAGTAAACCCTGAGCACAGCTGGGTGTGCCCCCCAGCCCCAAGTCCAAATAAGAAAAGGAACAAGTTTTCACATTGTCTCTGGACCTTTGTTCCCAAAAGAACTGTGCATTTACTCTGTTAAAGCAGTGATTCTCATCCTTTTTCTAGATGGTACACACCCCCCATCCTAATTTCCTTTCTGTGTCCCCCCCACCATTTAGTGGTTGGCCTCTAGTCTTGTGTCATGGTCCCCTGTGTGCCCCCCTGCAATATCCACAAGAGCGCTGTCTCATAAGCACATCCCCCCCCACCCCCCAACAGACCAAGACACAAAGAAGACACTCAAAATTAAGAGTTGTTAAGGAGAGAGAGAACACAATGGGATAACCGTTGGCTTTGCATGTGGAGGCCTGGATTTGATCCCCTCATGAAATAAAGTGCTCTGAGCACTGCCAGGAGCAACTCCCAAATACTGCCTGCTTGATATGGCCCAAAAATAAACAAAAAAAGTTGCTGAGTAAAAATGAATAAATAACTCAAAAAAGTTACCAGTTTCCCATAGGGTCTCTAATCTTGTAACACATCTGTCAAAAATATCCAGGATCACTCCTAAAATACCCACCTAACTCACTAAAATTTAGATTTCTAAATTTAGAATTCTAGATTTCTTTCACTGATAAGTCTAATCATGTCATGAATATACTACAGAAGAACAAGGCTAGCAACAGAATCAGTTTATTTTAGGGCAGCAGGGGCCCGCAGGGCAAACCTAGCAGTACTCAGGGCCTACTCCTGGCTCTGTGCTCAGGGATGACCCCTGGCAGGCTTGGGGAAATGTGAACAACAAATATGAACAACTTTGAGCTAGTCTATGTTTTGGGATGATCCACACACTTTCCCCTTCAATAATAAAAAGACTTGCTACATACAGGAACACACACACATACACACATATGCTAGAGTTTTACATATACGTATATATAATATACATATGAAAATGACATACTGCTAGTGGATGAGGTTTATAATATTTTTACTAAATTCTAAAGTTACTTGAAAGGTGGGCCCATAGATAGAATTCCACAACCAATCACTGTGGCAATCTCCCCAGAAGTGTGTATAAAACAACTTACCAAAGATGAGGAGGGCAGCAGAGAGCACTGCTGCTGGGAGGGACTTGGACAGCTCCAATACAGTGAGGTAGGCGAAGGGGATCAGCAGGGAACCGAGGAATGCACAGAACTATGAAAGGAAAAGAGGAGCAGCCCAATAAACAACCAAGCCATGTAGCAGGGACCTACTTGGTAGATGAAGGATCCCAATGAAGACATGCCATGTAGCCTGAAATCACCTGGAATACATACAAGTGAAAATGGGGTATTCCTACTAAGCACCAGCTTGTCCTCTAACATGAACTCAGCGAAGTTCAGTCAGGTCACATGACATAGTGGTTTAAGTGGCACTCATGACTGGCTGCCCCATCACTTACTCAGGTACCCTGAGAAGGATAACACTCTGTGTTCCAGCTGTGCCATCAGTGCACTATGAAACTCAAAGTGTTCTCTTTGAATATTAAATGAGCTAAGGCTTTGTGTTTTTCTTAAAAAAAAAAAACAAAAAACTAAGTACTTGATAAACATATGCTTCTATTAAGAACTGGAGTGTTAGTTGAGAAAAATCTATTGAAGGCGTGTTACCATCTTAGAGAATCCTAATATTATTTCTTCCTTGGCTCTTTTCTTCAATCACAAGAGAAATCACTATTTATTTAGGTTTTGGGGTCACAGTGCTCAGGGCTTATCCCTGGTTCTATTTCACTGGCCCCTCAGAAATCACTCTTTAATCAACCCTTAAATCAATTTCTTCATTGAAATTTTGATTTTTGAAAAAAGGATTGCTTGACACCTCTGTATCTGGAGGATTGATTTTTGTTTTGTTTTATTTTGAACTACCAGCTTTCCCCCTGTGCTTAAGTAGCATGAGTAATTGGACGGAGGCTGGAGTCAGCTTGACCTTGCTATGGAAACCAGGAAGATCAAATTTATCAATCTATTTTTTGTGGTCCTTATCTAGACCACCAAAAATAGATTGGTCCTGGGGAATAACAATTCTCACATCTTAGTGTCTCATGTACTGAGTGACTGATTTTGGTTTTTGTGTCACACCCAGTGATGCTCAGGGTGTGCATCAATCATGGTGATGCTCAGGCATAACTCCTGGCTCTGCACTCAGGAACTGGGATTGAGCCCAGGTCAGCCATGTGCAAGGAAAGTGCCCTACCCTCCGTACTATCTCTCTGGCCCTGAGTTGTCTCTTTCAGATAACAAAATCCAATAGGCCTAATGTGAAAGAAAATGAGACTGATAGATTTGACCTGAGTTTCCACAGCAAGGTCACACTGAGTCTAGCCTCTATCCAATTACATACACTACATTGTGTTCATGCACAGCAGAGCCTGGCAAGCTACCCGTGACGTATTTGACATGCCAACAGGCCTCATTCCCCTGATCCTGAAAGAGCCTCCAATACAGCAGCGTCAGGAAGGACGAGTAAGGAGAGGCTACTAAAATCTCAGGACTGGGATGGATGGAGATGTTACTGGTGCCCGCTCGAGCAAATCGATGATCAACAGGATCACAGTGATACATGGTGTTCGCAGTCATTACAAGTCATAGGATAAATTCAGAGCACGGACTTGTTCAACATGGTAAAAAATGGCCATGCAGATCATACAGTCATCAGAACAACAAAGTATGCAGCGTCTGTCCAAAATACTTAGGACTCCTCAAGGAAAAGGATGTGTAAATTTGACCTGTTCTGAGTCTCCACATTGGACATCACTTTCACAGGTTTTTTTCCTATATAGGGCCCCCCAGTATTGCACTTTTAGGCACCACTGGGTTCCTTCAGTGCCAGCATTGGGTGTATCAGGGGAAAAGGGCGGCCCTTTAAAGATTGGAAAACTCTACGTGTTTATCTGAAATCCTCAAAGGGAGAGTTGGGGATCTGGGGAGTAGATGTGAGAAAGCTGCCAGCTTAAGAAAAAGGCATCAGAGGCAGGCAACCTCCCCCAATTACTGTTGCAGAGAGGAATGTGCTGCCTGCCAGTGTGCAAAGGTCAATGTTGGGGCACTGGGCAACTCCTGGGGCCGAGGCTACTCTCCACCCTGATGTCGGACGCCTCCTGTGAGGAGGGAACAGGGGACAGCTGGGCTTGCACCTCCTGTGTACTCTCTGCCCTGTCTGTGGCCTCCTCTTCCCTTCACCCCTGCCGCTCTGAATTCCACTCCAGGCTGTGTGTCAAGTATCTTCCATCCCCCGAAGTTCCTTTGTTTGGACCCGCCACCACTCCTGGTGTGACACTCTGAGTGGAGCCCAGGGCTTGGGCACTGATTAGTCAGGAAGCCTTACTGCTCGCATCCCCAGGTAGCTGTGATGCTCATAGTTGTCCCCCGGCTTCTGGAACAAAAAGGTGCCATCATATCCACTCAAGTAGCCGGCAAGACCTATCAGCATCTGAGGAGAGAAAGAGAGCAAACAAACAGGTGAGAGCTCGGAGGAAAGATTCCTCCGTGTCCTGCACTTCCTTCCAGCTGCACTCCGACTTGGCCTTCCCCAACAACTGTCTGAAGGAGCTGCCAGGGGGAGCTTTCTCCTGCAGCTGCCTCAGAGCAAAGGGGCTTTTGTCTACCGAATGCGCTGGCTGAAACAAACCCTCTCTTGTGTTAAGGCCAAGTTCGCAGGAAGAGCGCAGAGAGAACCTAAGGAAGGGAAAACTCCCACAAGCTGCAGGGCAGCACCAGTCCCGTCCTGCCTCCCCCACCCCCCAGGCTGCTCTCCTATCCTGCTGTGAAAGTGACAATGAGGTGGTGGCAAATGGGGGATGCCTGGGAGATGACCCCTACAGGGAAAAATCATATTCTAAGTCAGAATGGAGGAGGAAGATGGAAAAGGTAGGAGTTTTCTTTCTCCCTGGTGAGCAATCAGCACCCCTTAAGCTAGGTGTGCCTTGTGCAAGCTAATCCTTCTCCTGTTTTCTCATTTCAACTGAGAGAAAACTCACATGCCCTGAAATTCACTGTTTTAAAGGAATACAAATCGGTGTTTTTCAGTATATTCACAAATTTGTGCAACCATCACCACAACCTAATTCCAGAATATTTCATCATCTCAGAAAGAAAAACCATACCCATTTCTAGTCACTTCCCAATTCCTACCCCTCCTCACCTTGCCCAAGATCCCAGTAACCACTAATCTATGTTTCATCTCCATGGATCTGCCAATTCTGGAATTTCAAATAAAGGAAATCACACAAAATATTTATCTTTTGCGCCTGACTTCTTTCACTTAGCATGTTTTCAAGAATTGCCCAGGTTGGAGAATCTATCAGTACTTTGCTCTTTTTACAGCTCAGTAATATTCTACTGTAGTGATATACCCCACTTTATTTCTCCACTCATTGTTGGATGGACTCTCTCCAATTCTGAGAAAACACACACACACACACACACACACACATGCACACACACATACACACACTCTAAAAACACCAAAGTTTTTCACAAAAGCAGCTGATCTGGAATTACAGGGAACTTTTCCTATAAGCCTAAGGATAAAATCCCAAACCAAGATTTCCCAGCTCAGTTAGATACTCCGCTCATGCTCTACTCACCTTTCCCAGAGGTGGGTGCACATCAAAGAAAAAGGTACGGTTGATGTAGTAACTTCCCATTTTTCCAAAGTGAGTCTCATCCCAACTACAGGAAAACCGAAAAGAACAGTGATTTTCAAATTACTGTAAAATCTAAAGGGTTTTTTTTTTTTTTTTTGCTTTTTAGGTCACACCTGGTTACTCCTGGCTCTGCACTCAGGAGTTACTCCTGGTGGTGCTCAGGGGACCATATGGGATGCTGGGAATCGAACCTGGATCGGCTGTGTGCAAGGCAAATGCCCTACCTGCTGTGCTATCTCTCCAGCCCCATCTAGAGAGTTTTAACACAGCACTGTAGCACTGTAGTAATGTCCTCCTGTTGTTCATCGATTTGCTCGAGTGGGGCCAATAACATCTCCATTGTGAGACTTTGTTATTACTGTGTTTGGCATATTGAATACTTCGTGAGTAGCTTCCTAAGCTTTGCTTTGTGGGTGAGATACTCTTGGTAGCTTGCCGTGCTCTCCGAGAGGGGCAGAAGAATCGAACTCAGGTCGGTCAGGTTGGCTGCATGCAAGGCAAATGCTCTACCTGCTGTGCTATCGCTCCAGCTCTTTAACAGAGCAAGGTTAAAATTACTGTTAAAACGAAAGGCTCTGAGTCATTAATGAGAACATTTAGATTTTTTAAAAAGGCTGTGATACAAGTAACCTGAGGGAGCAAATATGCTGGTCAAAATACCCGTCACCGTCTTTCACAAAGTAGCACCACTAAATACTTACCAACCCAGTTACACCAATTAAAGTTAAATCTATACTTACTCTTTGTATAGAGTGTCTGCTTACAAAGAACAAAGAGTTTTTCTGTGAAACAGTTGAAGTACTAGTTTCCTCAAATCTGCTCATACCTGACGCTGCATCCACATTCCCTTGAAAGCACAGTGCTATTACTGTCACAGTGTACACTGAAGCAACTTTCCAGAGACCCTATAATCCAGGTCTTATCACAGCGATCTGATTTTGCTCATCCATCTATGATAAGTAGTCATTGTTGGCTACAATCTCACTGATTTTAGAAAAATAGAATCATCAGTGTATAAAAATTGAGGGTTTTCTATGTGAAGAATTTGACATCTACTTTCGCTGCACGAGTTCTTTTATGAGCAAACAAGTATTTGAAAACAGTTTTAAACAGCACATACTCCTGTTCTCCTCAACCACATAAATCTTCACATGCCCTCTGTGAGGATTTCAAAGAGTAGCCCAGTTACCCACAGAGCCTGGCCTTCCCTATCTGTCAGTTTCTCCCTGGAGCCCGGCAGAACAGTGACCTTTAGAGACCATTCATCCCCCCATCAGCATTCATGAGCAGTCATTACCAACCTAAAACAGAAATAACATAATAGCTTTTCCCAAATTGGTGTTGATTTTAATTCAGTGGGTCCAAGAAAGTAAATCTACTTCCATATTGCATCTGCCAAACAGTACTTGATGTGAAGGCAAAGAGAACTAACTTCCTGGCAGGGTGATAAAGATTTACAGCAAGAAGAGAAAAGTAGGGGCTGGAGTGATAGCACAGCGGGTAGGGCGTTTGCCTTGCACAAGGCCAACTTGGGTTCGATTCCCAGCATCCCATATAGTCCCCTGAGCACTGCCTGGAGTAATTCCTGAGTGCAGAGCCAGGAGTAACCCCTGTGCATTGCCAGGTGTGAACCCCCCCCAAAAAAAGAGAAGAGAAAAGTAGTCCCAGTTCAACCATGACCTATATAGGAGAGCCTGACAAAATTATTCCTCTCTTACGTATCTTTTCTCCACACCACAAGGACAAGAGCAGCTGCATGTCCGTCCCCAAACTGAGAGCCAATTCAGATAATGCATATGGGAGAACTCTGTAGTCTAGAATGTCCCACATGTGCCAGGTACTACTGAACTGTCCCAATATTCTTTTGTTTTGTTTTGGGGTCACGCTTCAGGGTCCTAGGGATCAAGTCCAGGATTCCCACACAGAAAGCATGTGCTCAGCTTGTTATTTCTCTTACCCTGTGGTTAGTTCTGATGCATATTTGGAAGAATACTGACAAAGCAGTATGAGATTTGTAATTCAGCAATTTCCCAAGAAGGGGACAGGCCATGCTCTTCAGATTTACTGCCTAAACTCCAAGGAGATGCAAGCCAAGCAGCTGAAATTCATGGACACACCAATCCTCCTGGCTGAAAACTCTGGGATGTCCTCAGTAGGGAAGCCCTGACAGCCACACCCACGTCACTGCTGCTGCCATTGCTGGCAGCAGCCTATGGCTTATGGCCTAACTTCACGGCTTCACTAAGAATCTCTGCAGACTCATCCCCCCAGCTCTACAGATCCTTAAGTGTATATGTGTATGTCTCTGTGTGTGTGTGTGTGTGTGTGTGTGTGTGTGTGTGAGATCCTGGGTTAGTGTCTCCATGTGTGAGATCCTGGGTTAACCTGGGTGTGTGATGGATATGTATCATCTGCATTTTTCAGGGTTCTGTGTGGAGCAAGCAGCCCTGAGAGGAGAGTTAATGTCTCTCCTGGAACAGAATCTTGTTCATTGCTCAACATCAAATAAAGGGTTTCTCTGGATTGTGTTCCTTAATGGTGCGGTAACTTCTGCATGTGCTGGGGTCCATGCAGACCACGGCCACTACATGGGAGGCAAAAGGAATGAATGTGGGGCTGGAGCGACAGCACAGCGAGTAGGGCATTTGCCTTGCACATGGCTGACCCAGGTTCGATTCCCAGCATCCCATATGGTCCCCTGAGTACCACCAGGAGTAATTCCTGAGTGCAAAGCCCGGAGTAACCCCTGTGCATTGCCGGTGTGATCCAAAAAGAAAAAGAAAAAAAGGAATGAATGCAAACATGCCAATGCCCATCCTTCTCTGTGCCATAAGAAAGTCTGTCCCAGTGCTGTGCCCTCTGCCAGCACCCATAATGCAGTGACAGGCTGACACACCAGCCTGCAAGGGGGCAAGCGGAAACCCGAGCCTGAGGTGCTGGCAGCAAGCCCAGGGTGCTGATGCACAGCCTTCCACAGGTGAAAAAAGCCCCGTGGGCTGGGTTAGGGCTTCTGAGAAGACAGACTCTCTGGAACCTGGCAGCAGATATACTTGCCCCATGAGGCCAAGAAAGTGAGTAACTGTTCCCCACAATACCACTTGGGAAGGGGGCAGAGTGGAAAGAAGCAAGATTGAAACACCACCCTGGGGACTGCTTGCTTCTGGGTGAAAGACAACATTCACTGTGTGCAAAGGGAAAGCAAGCCTGGCAGCCCCTGCCAGAGACAACAGGCGAGGCTATTGAACAGAGTCCCTCGGGCTACAGTCCTGAGGGACTCCCCTAAGCTTACACAGAAAGGGCCAGCAGTAAGGAGCCTGCTGTCCAGTACACACCTCTAGTGAAATGAACATAAGCATCCGACTGAGTGTACTCTCCACCCAAAGTCAACCAGACATGCTCTTCCTTTGGGTCTCACAACTCCTCCCCAGTGATGGTGGCCTTCCTGCTTCCAAGAGTACAGGATGTCCTCACTGCCTAATGTCAGAAGGCCATCCTCATGCATCTTCTGATGCCAACGTGGTGCCGTCCGGGGAGGAGGAGGACTTAAACTCAGGGCTGTGTGGGCCACAGCTGCATCCAACTCAATCTCATGGGCAAGAGGGGATTTGTGAGGCAGAGAACCCTGCAGAGGACTCCTGAGGGGCATGGCAGTGTGCCCAAAGCAAAGGGCTGCAAGTGCAAGAATCAGCAGGGGCATGATGAAGCGGAAGGGATACCCATTCTGTGGAAGGTTGGGTATCATCCCTTCCACAGGAGAAGTTTCTGCCCCGCCCAGCATCCAGCATCCCTACTTTTGACCAGGGAATGGTGTTCTCTGTGGATGGCTGTCACCCCAGGTAACCCCAGGTCTCTTAATCTCATAAATCAAGAATTCAAGGCACCCCAAACTCAACGGATAGGACTGGAACCAAGCTCCCAGTAGGAAGGAAAAGTAAAGAGACTCCGTATGGCAGTTATTATTGCAGCTTCCACTGCTAAATGAATAACTGCCCTTTATCCCATATGTGTCAAAGAGGATTACAACCATTCAAGGGCTGTTGTATGCTGAGAAATAATTCTGTCTTCTTCGCCAGGAGAAAGAATATAAAATCTAAAAAAAGAAAAAAAAAGAAAAGGAAAGAAGAGGAAATCACAGCATTAAAGGTGGTGGCAGCCAGAGTGCTGAAACCATTCCCCCAGATGTCAGCGCCACCTGCAGGACCAAGTCCCAAGCATATGCCTTGTACAGTAGCTAAGGCTGCAGCCATGCAGTGGTACTACCCTGTTGGCTTTGCCAACCCCCACGTATTGGGAGTCTAAATAAAATCTGATGATGATCCAGATAAACTATAAGAGAAAATATTAAACTGAAGTGACCTGCTGGGGTCAGAGCAATAGTACAGCTAGCTGGTAGGGCATTTGCCTTGTACATAACTGACCTGGGTTTGATCTCCAGCATCCCATATGGTCCCCTGTACACAGTCAGGTGTAATTCTGAGTGCAGAGCCAGGAGTGACCCCTGAGTATCACTGGATGTGACCCAAAAATCCAAAAGAAATGACCTGCATTCCTGCAGGTAATATGTCAGGACACTGGGGAAAATGGGTCACAGAATGTCTTTCCATTAGGTAAGGGAGTTGTTTTGAGGTAAGGGGTAACATAGCTGTCTGACAATGACAGTTAAAGATCAGAAACCAGACTCACAAAGGAATCTTGGAAGAGAGCAGCATGCTGCAGAGATGTTGCCCCATTTCACGCTAGGCTGACTTCATCCGGGCACCTCAGAGGGGAGCATGTCCCTCCGCCTGCCCCAAATGAAACCCAAGAGCCACAAATGTCCAGAACCCAATCGCTGCCATGCTCATGGCCGAGTCTCCCATGCATGAGAATGAATCCACTGAAAAACTCAGGTATTCGGGACTAGTGACTGAAACCTCCAGGCTTCATGGAATCAGGAATGGGCCCTTCCACCCATCTCCCCAACTTCCGGTTTCCTGGCAGTCAAGCCCACGAACTGCCTCTGGGTGCCATTTAAGCCAACTAACGGCCATAATCCAAAGACTCACAAATGAATCTCAGAAGAGAGCAGCATGCTGCAGAGATGCCTCCAGATTCCCCAAATCACCATCCAGTTAAAAAATTTAACTACAGCTCTAGTATCCTATTTAAAATTTTAGAATTCCAGGAGTGCATGGCCGCTTTCATGGCCATGTGATCTCTCATACTTTACGCCACTCATATACCAAGAATAGCACACCACGTTTGATGGGTGTAAGGTAGAAGACAGTACAAAGCATTAACCTGTGGGTGACCCCAATTTCTTAGTGTTAATGCTCATAATATATCCTTATTTTACTTGCCATGAGCACTAACTTCTCTGGATTGGAATAATAACAAGCTCAGTTATCAAGTTAATAAAATCTCAGTAAAATAACCTGACAGTGCATTAGCTTGCTTGCTTTTTACTGAGGAATTCCATGCTATTTGTCTTTGCTATCTGAGCAACACCCGTGGTGAGAGGGGACTTGTGGTGAAGGGGAGTAGGAGGTGCTGGGGATGAAACACAGGTCTCCTGCATACAAAATGTTTAAACCCACGGGGCTATTGTGAGGTCCAGGAGTTCTACTTCCAGTATTCCCTACATTAGCCTCCTCAGCCAAATTGAAAAAACACTCCAAATGTCACTTGCTGACCAAACAAAGATAACCATTTTCAGACAGCATACAACTTTTCCTTCTTCCACCTGGAGACTTATAAAAAATTATCTCATGAGTCAATCTGCAACTGAAATTCTACAAAATAAAACCTATAATAAAGATTTCTATTTCTCCCCCCCCCCCCCCACTACAGCGCTACTCTTGCTTCCCTGGTACCCTTGTCACCGCTCCTGGACACCCAAGTTGTCCCAGTTCTTGAGGAATATTGAGGCATCTCCCTCTCCACCGATGCCCTGAAATCCTGCAGATGAGAAACTCGAGTTTTGGAAAATTCTACCCTAAGAATTTCCAGTTCTCCCTGGAGCCTTTAAAAGCCACAATCGGGGGGGGGGGGGGGGGGGCTAGAGCAATATAGCACAGTGGGTAGGGCGTTTGCCTTGCACGCGGCCGACCAGGGTTCGATTCCCAGCATCACATATGGTCCCCTGAGCACCGCCAGGAGTAATTCCTGAGTGCAGAGCCAGGAGTAACCCCTGAGCATCGCTGGATGTGACCCAAAAAAGCAAAAAATAAAAGAAAGAAAATAAATAAATAAATGCCACAATGGGGGCTGAAGCAATAGTACAGTGGGTAGGGGGGATCCGGATTCCTTCCCCGACATCCCCTAGGGTCCCCCCCCACTCCCAACCCAGTCCGCTAGGAGTGATCCATGAGCACAGAGCCAGGAGTAACCCTGAGAATCGCGGGTGTGCCGCCCCCCAAAAGCCACGGTCGGTGGGTCAGTAGAGTTAGTGCCACCTGGAATACCTGAAAGCGGTCTCCCCGCCCAGCTTCCCCCCCAACCCCCCCGCCAAACACACCGCCCCATCTCACTCGACCCCCCCCCCTCCGCCCCGGGCTACCCCTGCCCAGCAGAGGCAGCCCCACCCCAGCCAGACTCTCCCCGCCGGTCCCTGCAGCCCGGCCCCTTCTCCCGGGAATCCCACCCCCTCGGCGCCCCGGAGCCAATCAGAGGCCGCGTCCTCTTCCGGTTGCCGTGGTACCCGCCGCGTTTCCGGGCGTCGCTCACCAGATGTGCGGCGGCTGGTCCAGACGGTGGAAGCGAGTGGCGAAGGACAGCAGCGTCACCAGGGCCATAAGGGCCCAGCGGCCGGCCGCGTCCCAGCGCCGCGAGCCCCGGGCCGGCCGTTTGGGGCTGCGCACGGCCGCCTCCGTCGCGTCGTCCGGGCTTACGGCGTTGGCGGCCCGCGGCCCCGAGCGGCCCCGGCGGGATCGTAGCTCGGAGCCCGGCCGGCCTTCGCCCACGGACGGCGGCATCCTTCCCCTCCTCAGGGTGGCCCGGCGGCCCACGGGCACGCAGGCTCTGATGAGGTGTCCCGCCGTGAAGTAGTCGCGGAGCCGCCGCTCGGGGCGTCCTGGGAAATGTAGTTCCCGGCGCCGGCCGCGGGGCGGGGCGGGGAGAACGGTCGGCGCCAGCAGGACGCCGGAGGCGCGGAGCATGACGGGCCGCGAGGGGGGCCGGCCGGCGCCGCTCAGGGACCCGCGGCTCCCCGGCGCGCCGGGCGCGGGGGCGGGGCCGCGGGGCAGGGCGAGCGGGCAGACTCGGCCCCGATCATTCCGGCCCCAGCCCGCCCCTCAGGGGCACGGAAGCCGAGGGCCTGACGCGTCTCCGCCGTCCGACGAGCCGGGGAAGCCCCAAGGGCGAGATGCAAGCTGGGAAGGTCTGTGCCCCACACCCCTGGAGAGGGGGCGCCGCTGCTTAGAGACCCAGAGGCCTGGGGGCGGGGTCGGAGGGGAACCACTAGGCTCGGCCCCGCCGCCCTGACAACGACTCCCAGCAGGCGCTGCGCCGGTCTGCGCCTGCGCGGTGCTCGGCGGGGCCGCTGTGCGCCTGCGCAGTGCTCGGCGGGCTGCTTTGCGCCTGCGCGGTCCTTACCGCAGGCTCTGCGCTTGCGCGATCCCCCGCCGGGCCGCTCGGCACCCGGGGGAGCTCGGTGGACCGTTCTGCGCCTGCGCCGCTCTTCCCGGGCCGTTCTGCGCCTCTGCCCCGGCCCTGTGGTCCGAGGGTTTGGGCTCAGGACCTCTGACGGCTGAGACGGGGCCCTGTTCTTCGCGTTGCGGGTTCCACGCCCTTCACCGGTCTCTCGCAGAGCCATCCGATCTGGAACAGCTGCTTCCAAGCCTTGGCTCTCCTACCCCAGTCTCGCAGTCGAGTTGACTAATTCTGGGTTGTTGGGCTTTTTGTGTGTTTTCGTTTTTTAATATCTGTATTTTGGTTCTTTTAGGGCCATTCCCGGCGGGTGATCAGGGCTTACTCCTGGCTCTGCTTTAGGGATCAATCTTGGCAGGGATTGGGGGAGCAGATGGGGTCCCCCGGATCGTAGCCGGTTTGTACCCGGCCGGCCACTTGCAAGGCCGGCGCCCTATACCAGCTGTGACTCCACTGAGTCCAGCTTAACTGGTTCTTAATTGACTGATGGTCTAGACGGCAGGGTTTTGCCTGCATTTTTTTTTTATTAGTGAAACACCATGAGGTACAGTTGTAGACTTACAAATTTTTGTGCTTGGGTTTCAATTATACAATGATTAAGTACCCATCCCTCCACCAGTGCCCATTCTCCACCACCACCAGTCCCAGTATCCCTCCCACCCCCATCCCCCCATCCCACCCTACCACTGTGGTAGGGCATTCCCCTCTGTTATCTCTCTCCTTTTGAACGCTGTGGTTTGCAAAAGAGACATTGAGTTTGCCTGCATTTTTAACAGCGCCTGGGAATAGCAGGGGTGGGGGAGGCACTTTGTCAGCGCGCACACCGGAGGTTTCCAGAGGAAGGGTTGCGAGCATCTGCGTGTTTCATGACCTTCCAGAAGAATTTTAAAACACTGAAGTTTGAGAACCACTACTGGTGGCTGGAAGGAAGCAGGCAAGCACATTTGGTGCTGTAAAACAGCCACTATAAAACCTCCAAGTGAGAATGGTACAGGAATTAAGGCCTTGCAAGTAACAAACCCACCAACACAGTTGGATCCTGGCACCAAATATTGGCCTCTTGAGCCTCACCAGAAATAATCTCTGAACACAGTGTCAGGGCTACACCTTATGCCTCTCTGTGTGTGGCCTCCCTAGGGAAAAAAAAGAAACATGCTAGCTGGAGCTCAGTCATGGAGCAGGTGCCTTGCGTCTTGGGACCCTGGTTTTGACCTGTCCATACGCAAAATAAAAATGAGAATCTGCTCGGAGTGGTCAATCTATATTTGAATTTGAAACAAAATACCTCCAAGAGTGGTGAGGAGATACTGCTCTACCAGGGCATAAAACTAACCCTTCGAGATCAACAGGGAGCAGATGACGGGTGCCACTGGAGTGACCCCATCCTGCTCTGCCATGCCAGTCCCAGTCTCTCACTCCCAGAGATCCCCCAGGCTGTTAGGACAAAGCATGATGCACCTTGGAATAGTGTGTGTTGTTGAGGGCCCCCCAGCTCTCTAGTCACCTGCTGCCTTTCATGGCAGAAGGTTCTGCCTTGTGTACAGGACTGCCATCACTACTCACACAAAGGAAAGCAGCTCGAGGAACTTCAAAACTGAATGCAGAAACAAGCTGGGAAGAGTCTGAGTTTATACCTGTCCCCTGCCCACCTTGTAGTTTGGGATTCAGGGAGAGTTAAGACCTTTCAGGGAGCAGCCTGATGTTCTGGGGGAAGAAAAGAGACAAGTAACTTGTAATCACATGTCTGGTCAGGAGACAGTGATCTGAGGAGTTCTGCTGAGATCTTTGCTCCCCGCCCCCCCCCCCATAGGGACACACCAATGTCTGCCAGAAACTTTAAGGGTGCTAATTCCTGGTGGCTCTGTCTTGAGTTCTGCTCCGAAACGCTGGTTCCCCAAGAAGCATCCATGAGATTAACTTTGGAGTCCCTTAGGATTTAGAGGTTACACACTTAGCCTCCAGGAGCCTGAAGTTAACAAGAATTGGGGGCTAGGAGTGGGGCATAACAGATCGGGGGGCGGGGGGAAGGCCTGATCAAGTTGACTGCGATCAAGTGTTGCTACTCAAGAACTCCACTGTCTCCGGATTTTTCCTAAAAAGAAAAAAAAATGTGTTTGTGAAACATTTAATGCTGGCAGGAATGGAATCATTTTTAAATGCTGTGTAAAGGGGCTGGAGTAATAGCACAGCGGGTAGGGTGTTTGGTTTGCATGCAGCTGACCCAGGTTCGATTCCCAGCATCCCATATGGTCTCCTGAGCACTTCCAGGGGTAATTCCTGAGTGCAGAGCCAGGAGTAACCCTTGTGCATCGCCGGGTGTGACCCCAAAAAGCAAAAAAAAAAAAATGCTGCGTAAGACCCAACACCATGGGGCTGCTACTTCTACTCTGGGGCTGATGGGCAGCTTCCCAGCTATTCCTGGGAGACCAGCTGAGTGCCTGGAGGACCCGAGGGGGAGGGCAGGGGGAGATGGGTGCTATTTTCTTGATCTTCCCACCACTGCTGGAAGGAGCCTCAGCCAGCATATTCAGGCAGCCCCGGGTTTTGCAGATGAGGAACTGAAGCTAGAGAAGGCAGGAGGGGGCAAGTGTCAGGAATTCAGAGCTGGTGTGGGCTCTGCAACTAGAACAAAACCTCCCAGTCCCCTGCAAGCAAGATGCTGCCTGTCCACCCGGGGCAGCAGTGGGAAAGACGTCCTTCCCCACCAGAGTCTAAGGTCCCCTCTGTCCTGCCAGCCCAGCCTTCTCATTGGCTAGTGGGATCCACCCCTTCAGGCTTCTTCCCCTGCACGGAAGCTCCGTGAGCCCAGACATTCTCTGGCAGGTCGAGGGTCACTAAAGCACCATGACCGAATCTGGCAAGGTAAGGGAGGCACTTGGAGGCTGGTGACCCATGGGTGCCTCAGCAGTACCTGATGAAGGACACAGTTTGGAGCCCTGAGGACATGAAGGAAACCCCTGGCTGAGGGGTTGGGGTCCCGACTGTGGTCTCGCTTCTGGGTGGGAACCCACCCAGCAGGGGTTAATGCTCACCCTCATCTCTCTCCTCAGCCCATCCTCTATTCCTATTTCCGGAGCTCCTGCTCATGGAGAGTTCGCATTGGTAAGCCCCCTGCGTCCTGCTGGAGCCTTTTGGGGTGGGAAGGGCCAGCAAGCCCTGGTTAAGCTAAGAACAAGGGGTGCACTGCCGAACAGGCCACCTCCCCCTCTCCCCCAGCCCCTAGCATTCTTTGTTTCCGAGTCCAGTAAGAGGGGAGAGGAGTGGGGGGGCAGGGAGGGTGGATTTTCCTCCTGTCACTCCAGTTCTCCCACACCACGGCCCTCCAAAACTACTTGGCAACCCTGTGAAAGCAGCTTGGCCACTCTGGAGGGCCTTGGAAATGGGCAAAGAGCAGCTGGCCTTCCACACTTCTTGTTTGACCAGGCAAATTACACTGGACCAGCTGGCCAGGTGTCCCACTGGGGCCTCAGGCAAACAGAACTGGGGTCCTCTGGTTTCATCCTTGTCTGACCCTGCCCTTGCTCTGCTTCACAGAGCCCTTGGTAGACACTGTGGCAGTTAGCAGCTCAGACTGAGAAGTCTGCCAAGTGCTTTTGTGTGCATTTCTCTTTAAATCTCAGTAACCCGGGGGCGAGAGAGAGAGAGAGAGAGAGAGAGAGAGAGAGAGAGAGAGAGAGAGAGAGAGAGAGAGAGAGAGAGAGAACAGCGGGCAAAGTGCTTTCCAAACCCGGTTTGGTCCTTGGCACCAGATATGGTCCCTCAGCCTTGTGAGGAGTGATCCGTGAGCGCTGCCAGGTGTGTTACCCAAATGTTAAGTCAATAAATAAATCTCAGTAACCCCTGCTGAGAAAGAGCTCCGTGGGCTGGAGCATGTGCTGTGCATGCAGAGGTCCTGGGTTTGAGCCCAAATGCTGCAAATTCCCACTGACGGGACCCTAGAGCACCTTGCCAGGAGCAGCCCGAAGGACAGAGGGGACAAGTTTGGACAAAGCCCCCAAACCAAAAGAAAAAAATCTCCAAGAACTTCCATCAAAATAAGGAGGTGCGTTTAACTGATCCCCACTGCCGAGGGCGCTCGGGCACCAGGAGCTAGAGAGCGCCCGGGTGCTGCTTGTCAGAGGTAGAGCTGGACTCTAAACCCAGCCTGGCTCCCGAGCCAGTGCCCGTCGCTGACTGCTCTGCGGCGCCGCCTCTGATGTTCACAGATAAAGAAACGCCGCTTTTCAGGGAGTTCCTTGCTCAAGGCTGCACCACTGGCAAAGGGCCGTGGTGAAATTCCAGCCAAGGCAGCCTGCCTTCACAAGCCTGGCCCCTGGTGCAAAGCCAAACTTTCTTCCATGACCTCTGCCAGTCCCACACATTTAGAATTTGCAGGAATCCAGAGGCAAGATCCAGCTTGGTAGGGCCCACATGTGTTGGCAAAGAGGATGGAGAGGGATCTGTTCTCTGGGCATCAGGGAAGATTACTGAGACTACCAGGCACCTGATGCCCAGCTAGATCCGGTTATGGACCCTGAGAGCAGAGATGGATGTGGACGGGACTCTTCAACAAGGGTGCCATTTGCCCCTGGCACCTGGCGTGGGCCCTGGCGTACCTCTCCATCCTCTGCCAGCTTTCCATGGCACAGGGAAGGGGGCACTCTT